ACCTCCCTGGTGATGCAGTTAAGAAGAAGGACGGACAGGCAAAGGCACGCGATAACAGAGCAGTAATATTCAGATTCTGGGTTGATTCTGGAGGGTTTGCAATGCAATAGCGGAAGGAACACTCAATGTGAATCCGTACTAGTTGCTGTGCGTTACATCATGCGTTACATCTCACCCTGCACCATGCGTTACATCTCACACCCTGCCCCACGCGTTACATTTCATCTCACCCTGCACCATGCGTTGCAGTGCGTCCACAGCAGAGGAGTCAATGGTGACGAAGGTGGGGTTCTTGGTCATCACTGCTGAGGCCAGCGTGCTGTTCACGTCCAGGCCCTCGCCCACACATTTCAGCGCCAGGTCCTGCACGCAGCCAGAGCAGAGCAAGAGCGAGGGTGTGGGGGGGAACGAGTCAACGGTGACGAAGTTGGGTTCTTGGTCATCACTGCTGACGCCAGCGTGCTGTTCACGTCCAGGCCCTCGCCCACACACTTCAATGCTAGGTCCTGCAACTCAGAAAGAGCACCCAAGCACCACGCACACAAACACAGATCAGTGAGGGTGGGAGGAGGGGGGTTCTTGGTCATCACTGCTGACGCCAGCGTGATGTTCACATCCAACCCCTCGCCCACACACTTCAATGCTAGGTCCTGCAACCAGAGCAGAATGAGGGAGAGAGAAGAGAGAAGGGGAGAAAGGGAGAGAAGGGGAGAAGGAGAGAAGGGGAGAGGGGTACTAAATAGAAAAGACAAGTGCAGCAAGACACCACTAGGCCCATGAAAGCGAGTATTCCAGAGAGCACCAGACTCACTGTACTCGCTATAAGAGTGACGCGATCCGTTATGACGCCACGACGATTGCCTGTACTCGCTATAAACTTGAGTGACGCACCCGATCCGTCATGATGCCACAGAGCAGCGCGCTGGAGTCGGTGAGCAGGCACGCGTCCACGCGGCGGTTGGCCATTCGCCGACACGCGTCCGCCACGGTGGTGGAGTCGGGCAACGTTAGCGCCTTAGACAGCCGCAGGCGCCGCACTGCTCGCTCGCCTGCCGCAGCAGTACTGAAGGTTGTTAATCGGGGAAGGGAAGGGAAGGGGTGCATTGAACCAGCAGCATATGCCATCCGCCACAGTGGTGGTGGTGTCTGGTAGCGTGAGCGCCTTGGACAGTCTCAGGCGCCGCACTGCTCGCTCGCCAGCTGCTGTGCTGCAGTGGAGAGAGAGGGAGGAGTGAAAGGTAAGGTACGCTGTGAAGGAAAGGAGCGAGAGAGTGCAGAGGTGACGTGGCGAACAAAAAAGGAGTGAGTGGAAGGATCGAGTGCGGACGATGCGGGGGAGTCTAACGCGACGATGAGCTAAGGCGATGATGATAAGCCAATAGAGCTTTAGCATTTGATCGACAGTAGGCAGATATCGAACTTCGAGAGTCGTATCTTCCCTATGAGATCTACGCGCGCATTAGCCGGATCGGCCGTGGGAATTGAAACGATCACCCATAATTCCGTCGGAATCACCTCATTTTCTATCTAACCAATCACCAATCACCTCGATCCGCCCTTGGAAGCGCCACTCCGCCGGCTGCCGGTGGACCGCTTGCTCGACTTCTTCGACGCATCGCGAGACCCGTCCCCCGCTCCGCCTCCCCGCGCCGCGTTCATAGCTCACGATCCGCTACGAAACGACAAGACACCCTCGCGCGGTTCGAATAAATGCCTTAAAGACGACCCGGAAAAACCAAGGCTAAACCGTGATGTTCGTCGCCGCCCGATCTGAACTAATGAACAATGAAGACGCAAGTCCGTCTGTATTCCAAAAAGAGCCGAGACGAAGAACCTATTTCTCCGGAGCGTCTGAGCATGCGAGGCAACTTCAAGGTGCGTGCTTCTGCCCTTCGACGTTCGCTTGCGCCCAACTTATTTGAAAGTTTAGGTGTTTGGCGTTTGCCCCTCGAAGTTGGTGTGTGAACTCTCTGTCATACTCGCCGTAAATATGCTCGATAATGAAATACAAGATATTGCCTGTTGCGCTATCATACTAGTATACACCCAGCGATTTCGACAAATTTAGTTCAGCAGTCAGCTGACATTTCATTCAACAGATGTGTCGGTCGCGGCTCGCTTATTGAGCATCCCTTGAGTTCGGCGAAAAGTCCATCAGATTCGTCAACCGCGCAGACCGCTTCGCAACTTGCATTCGCCGAGCCGCGACGAGGGACTACAAATTCGCCCGCATTCGCTGAGAACAATCACACTGCAAATCTCGCCCCATCCTCCTCCGAGTGGATTCACCAGACCCATCATCCATCCGCAATTCTGTTTCCGCCAAGCTATTTCTCACACACACCAGCAGCGCGTGCATTCGAATTTCGAATCCTAAGCCATACCATCGACATCAGGTTTCCCCCCCGTTCACTCCTCGCCATGGCTCGCGCTATCGTCCTTTTCGCCGTCCTCTCCCTCCTAGCCGTTGCCGCCACGGCGTGCAATGTCCCGCCTGGCGGTTGCCACGTCACCAAGGTGTGCCAGAAGCTCGTCAATCTCGAGAAATACAACATCACGGAGCAGAATTTCCGCAAGTACTCGCTGATTGGCTACTTCAAGGGCATGTTCAACAGCCAGGGCGGAAAGGTGAAACCCCAGAAGCCCGGATCCGGCCCCCTGAACCTCGAGATCTTTCAGGAGGTGGGCAATTTCGTCGAGGTGGTAACCAGCACGAAGGGCAACACGCTCGCCAAGTGCTGCGCGGCGTGCGCGAAATCCCTGGACTGTTACGAGTACCACTTTTTCGTGAGCCCTCGCATGGAGGACAACACGAACGTGAAGAACTTCCGCGACGGCGTGCAGTGCTACCTGCTGCAGAAAAACGCGGGCACGGGCATGTCAGGCGGCCTCTCGCACCCGTACGCGGGCGACCGGAAGGAGCAGGCCGCCATGGCGCCGTATTTCCCGCTGAGCTGGGTGGGCGGGCTGTGCAACGGTAAGGCGACGGTGGAGAACGACCCGCATCTGACGGGCGCGCACGGGACGCACTTTGACTTCACAGGGCGGTTGAACAAGGCGTTCTGCCTTCTCTCTGACGAGCGCGTGCATATCAACATGCTGCTGAATGGGTACCAGGGCACCCCTCCTGCCGTGACTGCTGGCGCTGTGACTGCTTCTGGTGCCGCTGTTGCTGCGCCTAGCACTGGCCTCCACACCTGGATCAAGTATGGTGTTCATGGCACCTCTGGTGCTTCTGCTTCTTTGTCTTTCTCCTCTCATTGCTTCCTGCTGGACAGATTTTCTCTTTGCTCATGGTTTGTTTTTCTCATTTGCTGTGGTTTTCCGTTTCCTAATTTCACCGTCCCCATGCTCCTCCCCTACTCCATCCCACCTCGCCCCTGCGTGCTGTGCGGCGACAGGGAGGTGGGAGTGGTGTGGGTGTCATCTGGCGGCAAGCAGCACTCGCTGCGCATGGTGGCGCGCACAGGCAACCAGCAGGACAGGGGCGCCCACGGCTTCCTCGCTCTCATGCAGGTGGACGGTGCTGATGTGGCACCGCCCAGGCTCATGGAGGAGGCAGTGGAGGCGGAGGGGGGAGTGGTGGTGAGCAAGGTGGCGGAGGGGAGGGAGGGGCCGTTTGATGTGGACCGCTACACGGTGTCCCTGGAGGGGGTGGGCGAGCTGGACGTGCGCATGAGGGTGGCTCACCCGCTGCTGCAGACTCCTGAAGAGGCAGAGGCGCACTTCAACATCGCTCTTACTGACATCGTGGTGAGTGATGAGTGGCAATAGGCTGGATGTGGGGAGTGGTGGTGAGCAAGGTAGCGGAGGGGAGGGAGGGGCCGTTTGATGTGGACCGCTACACGGTGTCCCTGGAGGGGGTGGGCGAGCTGGACGTGCGCATGAGGGTTGCGCACCCGCTGCTGCAGACTCCTGAAGAGGCGGAGGCGCATTTCAACATTGCTCTCACTGACATTGTGGTGAGCTGCTGCTGGGTCTGGATGGGTACCTGGTGGTTCAAAGAGCTAGTTACCGAGCAGCATGAGTTGTCTCTGCCTTCGCTTCTCCATCTCACCCTTCTCCCCCTCCCCCACCCCTTCATACCCTCTCCCTCCCGTCTCCTCCACAGACCACCCCTGCGGTGCACGGGGTGTTGGGTCAGACCTTCCGCGACACGCCCGAGCAGCAGAGCAGGGCGCTGCGCTACACGCACCTGTCGGCGCTGCTGCACCACCCCATCGCGGCTGACCAGGAGGAGGGAAGGGGCTTCCTGGACGGCAGCGTGGAGGACTATGTGTCGTCCGGCATCACCCACCCTGACTGCCGCTTCTCTGCCTTTGCCGGCCGCCAGGGGGCTGCTGCTGTCGCCGCTGCTTCTGGTGGTGCTGGTGTTGCTGGTGCTGGTGGTGCTGGTGCGGCTGGTGCTGTTGTGGTTGCTGGTGCTGGTGCTGCAGGGAGTGCTGGTGCGGATGGGGAGGATGCTACAGAGGATGTGCTGGCAAGCGTGGTGTAGAGAGAGGGCAGTTGAAAAGAGCGGTCAGAAGCAGTGGGAAGAAGGGAAGTGCTGGCTTGATTGTTAAGAGAGCGAGATGGCGTGCGATGGAGCAAAGGAACGATGAAACCGTGGAGCAACAGAGGAGGATGTGACTACAACGAAGGAGCTGCAGCTGGAAGGAGGGGGGGTGCTTGCAGCCGGAAGCGACTATACCAAAGGAAGGAGAGACAGCGACCTGCTGAAAGGGCTGCAAGCACCGCCGAATAAGGCAGCCAAGAAGATCAGTTGGTGTCAGTGTGTTACAGTTACAGCAGCAGCAGTAGGATGCATGGTAGATTGTTAGGAGTGCCTGCTGTGCGCAGCAGGTAGCTCGGCTCAACCCTGTATATACGAAGGAACACCACGGTATGACCCTCTATGTATGCACCTCGTTTCACTATTTATATGAATCATTACAACTTGCCTCCCCAAACAACCGAATATGGCTTCCAACTTTTCTGGCTTCCGAATTTCCCTCCACCACTCACAACACAGCTTTCCGGCCTCTGGAAAAGCGGAGGCTGCGCCTGGGGCCTGCTTCCGCCCCTGCTGCCACTGCTTCTCCGTCCTCTTCTTTCTTTCCACCACCTCCACCCTCTGTGCTCGGGGCATCACCACACTCGCCATGCTTACCATGCTTGAAACGGTCCCACGAATCAGAGGGGGAGACCGCGGGTGGGGCAGAAACGGCAAGGACGAGCGAGCTTTCAGGCAGATCAAGACATGGTGGATCAGCAGTGGGTGCAGTGCTGGGGGCATGCTGTGCGGAAGTTTCTGGTGTGGACGTGTCAAGGCATGGCGGTTCGCCAGTGGGTGCAGAGTTGGGGGCATCAACTGGTGTCGACATGTCCGGCGCGGTTGTGCTTGGAAGGAGAGGGAGGGAAGGAGGAGGACGAGGACGAGGGGCTGGGAGGCGGGGGAGGGAGGCAGAGGGGCAGAGCGAGAGGGAGGCGAGGAGGCAGGAGGAGCAGCGGGGGCCGATGGGCAGGCATGTGGTTTGGCCGAAACCCACAAGGAGAGGGTTGATGCCCATCCACTCGTCCTTTGGCAGTAACTGCTCTAGAGCCCGCCGCGTGTCCTCTGGTGTCTTAGCCTGGGGTAGTCAGCACAGGGGGGAACGGGACACACCGGAGCAGTGGGAGAGAAAGGGCACCAGGGGAAGGACGGCAGGCAGGTGATTTGGCCGAAGCCCACGAGGAGGGGGTTGATGCCCATCCACTCGCCTCTGGGTAGCAGCTGCTCTAGAGCTCGTCTTGTGTCCTCTGGTGTCTTGGCCTGGGGTGGTCATGGCAGGTGAGGGAGGGGAAAGAGGGCAGGTGATTTGGCCGAAGCCCACGAGGAGGGGGTTGATGATGCCCATCCACTCGTCCCTGGGTAAGAGCTCCCCGCCGCGTGGATGGCAATCAACCCGCTCCTCTGGTGTCTTGGCCTGGGGAGGGTTGGGTAAGGGTGGAAAAGAAGGAGGCACATGGGGGCAGCGGGGGCAAACAGGGCATAGGGAAGCCGACAAGGAGAGGGTTGATGCCTATCCACTCGTCCCTCGGTAGCAGCTGCTCTAGAACTCTCCGCGTGTCCTCTGGTGTCTTGGCCTGGGGAGGTGAGCACAGGGGCGGGGACGGGACAGACACACGGGAGCAGAGGGGGAAACGGGGCAGGAGGGGAGGGACGGGCAGGCAGGTGGTTTGGCTGAATCGTACAAGGAGCGGGTTGATGGCCATCCACTCGTGTCCTCTGGTGTCTTGGGGTGTTGGAGACGGCGGAGGGAGACACACGCGGGTACGCGGGGGCAGTGGGGGCACATGCACATGGATGGAGAAGCACAAGAGCACATGGGCACATGGGCACATGGGCACATAAGCGGATGGGCGGATGGGCGGATGGGTGATAGGACGCATTGCCAGAATGCATGCATACCTTGGCATCCGTCCATCCCAAGCGCCGTGCGATGCGGTGCACATGAGTGTCCACACAGATGCCCTCCACTCGCTCCCACGCCACGTTCATCACCTGTGGGACAAGGACAAATCATGGGGCATGGAGTTTGGGAGGAGCATGCATGCATGTGGAAACAGTGCATCACAAGCCCATCCCATTTCACAATTGAAGTGACTCAATGGACGGGACAGGCATATAGGGTGGTGTGGTGGCGTGGTGTGGTGGTGTGGTGTGTGCATGCATATAGACGCAGTGCTGCATCCAGCTCATCCCGTCTCTAATCTTGACTTCCCTTCTTGCTTCACCTTCCCCTCCTCCACCCTCCTCCATCTCCCACCTCCCCAACCTCCTCCCTCTCATGTTCCCCCGATTCCCCCCTCTCTCCACGCACCACCAGCATGCATTTCAACTCAATTACGAAATCGCCCCAAACCTCCCCCCACCGCCTGCACGCACCAAATACGCCATCTTCGGCCCGACACCGGGCAGCGCAAGCAAATCTTCCAGGCTGCCCGGAATTTCTCCTTCATGCTTCTCCAGACAAATAATGGCCGTTTTCTTCAGGTACCCTGCCTTGCGCACGTAAAAGCCCACCTTTAGAATGGGTGGGCAGGGGTGGGGAGGGGTGGAAAGGGATGGTTAGGGTTCATGTTCTTCAGGTACCCTGCCTTGCGCACGTAGAAGCCCACCTTCAGGACGGGTGGGAGAGGGGTGGGGAGGAGTGGGGAGGGGTGGAAGGGTACGGGCGGAGGGGTGTCGGGAGGGGTGGAAGGGTGCGGGCGGAGGGGTGTCGGGAGGGGTGGAAGGGTGCGGGCGGAGGGGTGTCGGGAGGGGTGGAGAGGGATGATTAGGGGTGGAGGCCCTTGTCAAACGGAGAAAGAAGGTGATGAGAGAAGGAATAGGGAAAGAATAGGTGGGTGTGAGGAGAAGGTTGGCGAGGGATGGAAAGAGAGGAGGAGATGGCGATGGGTTGGGGAAATGGAGTGGGAGTGGGGATGGGAAGAGAGGTTGGGGGGATGGAGAAGAGGTGGGGATGGCAAGAGAGGGATGCCATGCATGGTGAATGCTTGACTAGGCCATACATACCGCAGAAGTGCTTTGGACAAGACATACCGGGTAGATGGTTTGGCTGATGGTCGTTTCCTCTGCTGCTTTGAGCGCTTCAGGTGATAGCAGCCCTGCTGCGTGCAGCCTTGCCACTGCGCCTGGAGGTGGTTGGGATGAAAAAAGGGAAGGAGGGGAAGGATGACCCAGGAATGGTTGGGGAGGAATGGAGGTGAGTGAGGGAGGGTTGGGAGAGGGACAAAGGAATGTTAGGGTTGGGACGGGTGAGAAGGAAATCGGGAGTAGTGGAGAAGGAGACACGCCGATGATGAATGCCACTTTGAGGCAGAGTGAGGCGCAGTTAGGCGCAGTGAGGCGCAGTGGGGCATAGTGAGGCACAGTGAGGCACAGTGAGGCACAGTGAGGCACAGTGGGGCTCAGTGAGGCGCAGTGAGGCTCAGTGAGGCACAGTGAGTGGGTGACGGGCGGTGCACGCACCGTGGGTGACGGGGTCTTTGGTCTGCGAGGAGAGCATGGATATTCTTGCCTTGCAATGTGGCACACGGCCTTGCAATGCATGGTGCACGCACCGTGGGTGACGAGGTCCTTGGTCTGCGAGGAGAGCATGGATATTCTTGCCTTGCAATGTGGCACACGGCCTTGCAATGCATGGTGCACGCACCGTGGGTGACGAGGTCCTTGGTCTGCGAGGAGAGCATGGATATTCTTGCCTTGCAATGTGGCACACGGCCTTGCAATGCATGGTGCACGCACCGTGGGTGACGAGGTCCTTGGTCTGCGAGGAGAGCATGGATATTCTTGCCTTGCAATGTGGCACACGGCCTTGCAATGCATGGTGCACGCACCGTGGGTGACGAGGTCCTTGGTCTGCGAGGAGAGCATGGATATTCTTGCCTTGCAATGTGGCACACGGCCTTGCAATGCATGGTGCACGCACCGTGGGTGACGAGGTCCTTGGTCTGCGAGGAGAGCATGGCCGACACCAGCACTGCAAAGCGCCGCGGCTGCTCGCAGGAGCAGGGGAAGAGGAGAGGAAACAGTGGGCGAGAGTGTAAGGGGATTGTAGAGGAAGGCACGAGTGGGAGAGGGAGGAGAGAAAGCAAGGGGAAGGAGGAGGGTGGAGGGTGGGAAAGAGGATGTGAGAGATGCAAAGAGAGAGTGCATGACCAAGTGAACCATTCCTTATTGACTACTATTTCCCAGGTGCCATTTTCCCAGGTGCCATTTTCCCTGTACTTCATTTGTTTACAACAATTATCAAGTTATTTGCGTAACTCCTACCTTCTCCCCCATGCCCTGACTGACCCACCTTGTCCGCCATGCCCTGCCCTGCCTTCTCACACCCCATGGTATCCACAGGCGCGTCCCCCCCACTCCGCACCTCCTTGACTGCCACTACCACCTCCCCCATTCCCTAACTCACCTTCTTCCCCTTGCCCTACCTCCACCCCCATGCGTTAACCCATCTTATCCACCATGCCCGCCCCTCTCCCCTTTCAAGTAACGCCCACCTTGTCCGCCATGCCCTGCCCCGCCTTCTCACACCCCATAGTATCCACAGGCGCGTCCCCCCCACTCCGTATCTCCTTGATTGCCGTTACCACCTCCTGCCAACTCCCCACCCCGGCCCTTTTTGCCTGCCCGCCGGAAAATCTTTTCGGCTGCCCGGCGACAATTATTTCCCCCCCAGCTCTGCTATCTAAAGCGTCGTCTTCTACCGGCTGCCTTCGTTTCCTCCTGCCCCTGCCACCACCCGAAGCACCCTCAGCCTTGACTAAAGCCATGTCAGCAGCCTCGTTGACAGCCAAACCTTCTGCTTCGGCCAAAGCCATGCCTACAGCCCCGGATACAACCATGCCATCAGCCTCGGCTCCACGTGCTTCCCTGTCTGACATGTCGCTCACCTCCTCACTCTTCACAGTCACATCCTCTGCCTCCCTCTTTACAGTCACCTCACCTCCTTCTCTCTTTACAGTCACCTCAGCTCCTTCACTCTTTACAGTCACCTCACCTCCTTCACTCTTTACAGCCACGTCATCTCCTACTCTGTTTACGGTCACACCATCCGAACCTTGCTTCACAACCGCATCGCCTGCTTGGTGCGTTGCAGTCAACTCCTCTAATTCCCCCTTCACAACCACCTCGTCCGTTTCCCTCTTTACAGTCACACCCGTTCGCTGCCTTGCAGACCTGCGCCTCGATACCTGCATTGCCTGTTGCCCGTTTTCGTTACTGTCATCTTCTTTACAGTCCTCTTCGTACTGCACAATTATTGCCGGCTTTCTCTCCCCCCGTGCGCGCCTGCTGTAGACTCTTGTGCCTGACGGCCGTACACTCTCTGATGCGTCACCATCCATTGCACGTTCGCGAATCCCTGCCGGCCAACCGCCTCCTGCCGGCCAACCGCCTCCTGCCGGCCAACCGCCTCCTGCCGGCCAACCGCCTCCTGCCGGCCAACTGCCTCCTGCCTCCTGCCTCCTGCCGGCCCGCCACTGACAGCGCCAGCGTACGCAAAGCGCATGAATTCGTTCATCGGCGCGCGGAGAAGCGCAATGCGCGCACGGGCGGCGGAGATCAGGGAGAGGGCGCGTATTGCTGCGGTGTGGGCGAGCATTGGGCGCGTCCGTTAGGCAGACTATACGGCGCTACGGCGCGGCCGCTCTAATGCATTACACCGGTGGCAACGAGCAGACCGCGTGGCTACAAGGCGGTACGCGGTGCACCGGGAGGTAAACGCGAGAACGGGCGTTGCTGATGACGACGACGCCCAACCGGGAAACCTAATGTCGCGCAAACGCAGCGGACAAAAAAAAGGCACGAAAAAGGCCGATTAAGTCCGACAAAATTCTGCAAGGAAGGCAAAAGGGTGTGGGAATGGTCTCGTGGCCCAAGCCTGCGAGGGAAACCCCGGCCGCGCACTCAGCCTCGCTATCCCTCCACCGCTGGGAGCGGGGGGTTTTCGCTGCTCGGTTTCCCGCCTCACGCGGTGCCCCCCTCTCTAACCGCCACGTCGCCACCTCTTCCGAGATAGTGCCGCTGCGGACTCTCAGCTTGGAGTGGACGAGTCATCGAAGTGACAGGCCGAGGGTCTCGCAGGTGTGACACAATCCCATGGTTTGGCCCCCACTCGGGTTACAGTCGGGCGCGACCCCGACCGGCGATCAAACCAGGTGAAAATGCAGTATTTGTAAAGCAGGCTAATGACACGAAGTATTTGGTGGGACAGTTTTCAACCTTTCCTGACAAATCACATGTGCTTGCTTGCCAGCTGTTCAGACACATCGTAGGTGGTGGTGGTAGTGTGGTTGAAGTGGCCGAATAAACAGGAACAGCGGATGGCCCCTGCCACCCAAATTCCTTGTTCCAATCTTATGTTACAAATGGTAAAAACCTCTTGATATATTTCCCACTCAATCTCTGAATAAAAGAGAGACAACACCGGCAGAGTTCCCCTTTCTACAGCTGCATCACTTTGACGAGCCGAGCAGCAAGAGCCACCCAGGACACAACTACCTATCATTCTCCCACGAAGAACTAAGTTAGTTCTCACAACTACCCCTGCCAATCCATGTGACTGATCTATATTTCCTTTCCCTCCCAATCCCTCACTCATTCACTCCTGCACCATGCCCTCCTCTACCACCGCCCCCAACTCCCCTGCCTCCCCTGCCTCCATCTCCCTGTCCCCTCCTCCACCCCCCCACTTACCCGCACCAGCACCCTGCACCGCCCCTTTCGCCAACTCCCCATCCTCGCCCCGGCCCGCACCAGCACCAGCCCCCATTCTCGACGCACGCGCGTCAGACGGAGCAGGGGGAGGCGGAGGGCGAGGAGGGCGGGCATCACGAGGAGCCTCTCTTGGGGCATCTCGGGCATCTCGGGAATCTCGGGCATCTCGAGAATCTCTGGGGGCATCTCTGGGTGCGTCCCTGGGAGATTCTCTGGGTGCATCCCTGGGAGCACCTGGAGGCGCATCTCTGGCGTCTCTGCCCTCACGGGCGTCTCTGGAATCTCTGGCATTTCTCCCACGCTCCCCTCCTGCCCCAGCGCCCTCAGCTCTGATCTCCATGCGTCCGTCGCCGTTGCCTGCATCCTCTGCCCCCTCCCCTCCTCCCTCCCTCGCCAGCCCGTTGGGTACCCTGTGAGGGCTGCTTGCACCAGACACAGGGGCAGAGGAGGAAGGAGGGCCCTCCCCTTCTCTCCACCTCCGCTTCCATGCCTCGCTCCTCTCCTCCCCCCTCTCGCCTCCCCTCTCACCTCCTCTCTCACCTCCCCTCTCGCCTCCCCTTTCCTCCCCCCTCTCCCCTCCCCTCTCTGCACTCTTCCCAGACCCGCCATCTCCCCCCTCCGCTCTCCCCCAACCACCACCAGAAGGCCGGTCTGAATCTCGTCCGTCTGATCTCCTCCTCTCTGCCGCCCACGCCGCACCCCCTCCTCCTCCTTCTCCTCCTTCTCTCCACTCCCTCCCTCTCCCTTTCTCTCTATCCCGCTCCCCTTCCCTCCCTCTCTCCCCCTCTCGTTCCCGCCCTCTCTCCCTCTCCCTCTCCCACCTCCCCACTTCCCGAACCTTAAACGACCGGCCTCCCGAACCATCCACCGTGTCTCGTTGCGCCGGATCCCGAGCCTCTCGTCCAGGTTCGGAAAGTCGGTGCGGCCTCTGCGCAGGTTCGGCAGCAGGTGGTACGGCAGCGCCAGGGTCGGGAGTCATTTGGGCACTCCCAGGCTCAGAAGAACCACGCCTGTCTCTCCCTCTGTCACGCGCCCTCTCAGCCTCACCTCTCTCCCAACCCCTTGCTTCTCCTTTCACACCCTTCCCATGCTCCCTATGGTCCCTATGCTCCCTGTGCTCCCTATGCTCTCTATGCTCCCTATGTTCCCTGTGGTCCCTATGCTCTCTGTGCTCTCTGTGTGTTCTATGCTCCTCCTGCCGGTGCCTATCATCTCTGTTTTTCTCGTCTCTGTGCCTCTCATTCCTGTGTTTCTCATCCTGCTCCTTCGAACGCTCGTCTCCTCTCCCCCTCTCCTCCCTCCATTTTCTCTCCCTGCTCCGCTCCCTGTCCTTGTCCCTATCCTTTTCAGTGCCCCTTTCCTTATCCTTCTCCCTTTCCCTCTCCCTTTCTCTCTCCCTATCCTTATCCCTATCCCTATCCCTATCCCTATCCCGTCCCCTCTCTCTATCCCTCTCCTTCTCCCGTTCCCGCTCGCGTTCTCGGTCCTTCTCTCCGCCCTCCTTCCCATCGCTCCCGCGGTCGTCCCTCAGCTTGCGGTAAATGTCGGCCAATCGCGTGCCGGACAGGTGTGAGTGCAGAGCCACGTAGTTCCACAGGTCCTCAGAGATCTCTGAAGGGAGGTGGAGGGGAGGGACAGAGATGGGGAGCGGAGGTGAGGAGCAGAGGTGGGAAGACTGTCGGATGCCGGACAGGTGCGAGTGCGAAGCAACATAGTCCCACAGGTCCTCAGAGATCTCTGAAGGGAGGTGGCGGAGGGGGGCATAGGTGTGGAGCGGAGGTGAGGAGCAGAGGTGGGAAGACTGTCGGATGCCGGACAGGTGTGAGTGCAGTGCAGAGCCACATAATCCCACAGGTCATCAGAGATCCCTGCAGGGAAGTGGAGGAGAGGAACAGAGATGGGGAGCAGAGGTGAGGAGACAGGAACAGAAAGAGGTGCGCTGTTGAGCCAGCGAATCAAGCGGGAACAAGAAATCAGCTTAAATGAATGCGATGTATTGTCCAGCAGTCTGTGAAAGCAGCAAGCCTGATTAAGAGGCAGGTGGTGAGACAGTTCACGGAGAAGGAGAAAAGAATAAGGGGGAGGGGAAGGAGAAGAATTGGAGAAATACAAGGAGAAGGAGAATGAACAGGAGAAGGCAAAAGCCGGGACTCACTCTGCAAGTGGGGGCGAGGGAGGGTGGCATTGCTGGCCTCGCGCTTCATGACGCTGTCGATCTCATGGCCCAGCTGCCTCAGGTACTTCTTCACCTTCTGTGTCACCTCCTTGGGCGACAGCTCCACTTCACTCACTCTCAATAGCTATGCAAAGTGACTCAGATTCAGAAGGAGCAGACGGAAAAGGAAAAGGAGGAGAAGGAGAAGGAGTAGGAGAAGGAGAAGGATAAGAGGAGAAGGAGAGGGCGAGAGGCGGGACTCACTCTGCAAGTGGGGGCGAGGGAGGGTGGCATCGCTGGCCTCGCGCTTCATGACGCTGTCGATCTCATGGCCCAGCTGCCTCAGGTACTTCTTCACCTTCTGCGTCACCTCCTTGGGTGACAGCTCCTGCCGCGTCTGCAGCCGCTTCAGCCGCTGCAACACACTGTCCTGCGGGGCCAGCCTCCCCTTGCACCACGCCACTCCCCGCCTCCCCTCCCCACCCTCTCCCCCTCCTCCTCCCCCTCCCCCTGTGGCTCCTGCTCCTCCCACAACCCCCTCCTCCTCCTTCCCGACCTTGCTTCCTCCTCCGCCTGCTGCTGCCCCTGCTGCTGCGCCGGCGGCGGCTGCTGTGGCTGCTGCTGCAGCGGCGTCCTCCCCTTCGGAGATCTCCCCCTCCTCCTTCGCCTCCTCAGCCTCCTTTTCCTTCTCAGGAGACCGCTTCTCCTTCTCCTCCTCCCTCCTCCCCCGCCTCCGCCCCTCCCTCTCCCCACCATGCCTCCTCTCCCGCTCCCTCTCCCCCCCTCGCCCTCTCCGCCCTCTCTCCTCCCTCCCACCCCCGCCTCTGCGCCCCCCACCAAGAGCAACGGCTTCGTCAGCTCCAGAAGCAGCAGCAGAGCCAGCAGCAAACGCCCCCTTGCCTCCTCCGCGCACCTTGATTTTGACCTTGAGGGCGTTGGCTGCTGCTGCAGCCTTAGCGTGGTGAGGATCTGCCTCCAGCTCCTGAGGGGCCAGGTAGGTGGGGGAATAGTTTCACGAGAAAGAGTTTCATTAAAAAAGGCTGCAAAGGACGAATTGAAGGCTTGAGATGCACAAATGACATGGGGACTCACACAGTCCCACTCACCCTCAATCCAACCCACTCTTGCTCGCCCCACACACACACTCTTGAGCCCCCTACCTTGCGCAACAGAGCAGACGCCCTTGCATCCAAATGGCTCCCCCGCGGCAGCTTCCCCTCGCCGCCTCCCCCAATCCCACCCGTCGATCCCGGCGGCGCGATCTTATTCTCCAATCCCAGCCGTTCATCCAGCCGAACCTGCTCCCAGTTGCCAAACCCATGAAAATGCACCCCTAGCAGCAGCCTCGCATCATCCACAGGCGTCCAAGAAGTGGTCTTAGCCCACGAGGGCACGCGTGCATGCGACCGCAGGCGAAACTGCTTCACAGGGTCGCTCACTCTCTCCACCCGCTTCGCCAGAAACTGGAGCTCTTTCACCCGGTGCAGCAGCTCCGGGGCTTTAACTGCCATGCCGAAGAAATCCAGTAGAGGGATCTTCCCTGCCGCTGCCGACCCTCCTGCTGCTGCTGCCGCTGCTGCTGCTGCTCCCAATGCTCCCAATGCTTCATCTTCCTCTGCTGCTGCGGCGGCTCGGACGGTGTCTTTGCAGGCCTGCATGAGCAGGGAGTGGAGGGACCGCCGCTCTGCTTCGCTCGCTGCCTCGATCGCACCGCCGGCCTCCGCTGTCATCTGTGCGGCCCTCTCTGCCCCTCCGTACCGCCGCACTGCCTTGACAAAGGCGTTGGCGTCTCGCTTGGATAGCCGCCGGATCTTCACACCAGCAGTACCACCAGCGGCACCAGCAGCAGCAGCTGCACCAGCTTCCCCTGCCCCAGCTCCCGTTCCCCCCTCTGCTGCACCCGCCCCCGCCCCTGCCGCTGTCTCCTTCCCCCCTGCCCCCTCTCCCCCTTCCCCCTCCCCCTGCACCGTCCACTGAGTAATTCTCACCAGCGCCCCTTCCACAGCAGGCGCAGCAGCAGGATACCCGCCCTCCTCCCCACCCCCATCCCCCTGCTCCCTCCGCCCTCGCTTCCTCTTCCCCCCACCGTCCTTCCCGCCCCGCCTCCCCCCCCTCCCCTCTCTCCCATCCTCCTCCTCATCGTCAGCATCTGCAGCAAGCCCATCGCCGGTGTAGGTGGCGTGGCGGCGGGAGGAGCGCGGCCCCAGCGCCTTCTCCTCCTCCGCCGGTGCCGCCTGGATGAGGCGGCTCCAAAACGCTGCGTCGTTCTCCGTGCTGCTGAAATTCGCCACCTGGGGGGGGGGAGAAGGGGGCGGGGGGGAAGGTAAGGAGGGAGGAGCGCGGCCCCAGCGCCTTCTCCTCCTCTGCTGGAGCTGCCTGGATGAGGCGGCTCCAAAACGCAGCGTCGTTCTCCGTGCTGCTGAAATTCGCCACCTGGGGGTGGGAGAGGAAGAGAGGGGAAGAGAGGCGAAGGGGCAAGGGGGTTGGGGGCATAGGTGGGTGCTGCCTGAATGAGCCGGCTCCAAAAGGCTGCATCGTTCTCCGGGCTGCTGGAATTCGCCACCTGGAGGTGGAATTGGAGGGGAGGAGGGAGAGGGAAGAAGAAGCGGGATAGTGGATGGGAGGGGGGATGGGAAAATTGGAGTGGGCAGCAGGAAGGGAATGAGCATAGGAGGCACTGCTCCCTAAAGGAACTCACAGTAAATGCAGAGAGCAGCTCGTTGGCTCCCTCCCCGGCCGTGCTGCTGTCAATCTTCTCAGCGCGTGCCAGGATCTCATCAATGTCCAGATTCTCCAGCCGGCTCGCACATGCACATGCACATGCACATGCACATGCACGCACACGTGCACACTCACCCACCCAAACAATCTCAACACCTAACAGGACTCACAGTGAAGGCGGAGAGCAGTTCATTAGCGCCCTCCCCGGCCGTGCTGCTGTCGATCTTCTCAGCGCGCGCCAGGATCTCATCAATGTCCAGATTCTCCAACCGGTTGGCGCCCTCCTCCTCGCTCACTTTCTCCTTGAACAGCTCCTCCGCGCCAAATCGCAGAATGGCCGCCAACTCGTTCTGATGGGGAAACAGGGACAGGTAAAAGGGGCAAAAGTTCTGTGCCCTCCTCCTCGCTCACTTTCTCCTTGAACAGCTCCTCCGCGCCAAACCGCAATATGGCTGCCAACTCGTTCTGATGGGGAAATAAGAGGAGGGAGGGAGGGCAAAAGCTTAAGATGCTGGTTTTGGAGCCAACTCAAACGAAACCCACTCGCTCCTTGCACAGCTCCTCTGCCCCGAAACGCAGAATTCTGGAAGAGAGGGAAATAATCGCGCTGTTCCCCTCCTTGCTCACTTGCACCCTCCAGCCCACTGCACCTTGTCGAACATGCTGCTGCGCTTCTCGCTCTCTTTCTTCGCAACGATTACCACCCCACACTATACTAACGCATCTCACCACAACCCACCCTACCCATCCCCCCACCGCACCCCACCTTGTCGAACATGGAGCTGCTCTTCTTGCTGTGGGTCTCCCAAACCTGTCTGTCACCCACACACCCTCCCCACCTCCCCCATCCCCCACCCCACCCAACCGCACCCCACCTTATCAAACATGGAGCTGCTCTTCTTGCTCTGCGTCTTCTCCAGCCGCCCGGCGGCGTTGAGTTTCTGGATGACGAGGTGGTCCAGCACCATCTTGCGCTTGTCACACCCCCCCCCCTTCACCACCCCCCACTCCCTTCAACTGCACTGCACCTTGTCAAACATGCTGCTGCTCTTCTTGCTGGTGGTCTTCTCCAGCCTGCCAGCGGCGTTGAGTTTCTGGATGACGAGGTGGTCCAGCACCATCTTGCGCTTGGCGCGCTCCAATATGTCCTCCTCCACACTGCCGCTCGTCACAAACCGGTAGATGTTCACCACGTCCTGCTGCCCTATGCGGTGCGCGCGACTCATGGCCTGGTGATGGAAGGAGAGGGAGGATAGGGGAGGGGAGGAGTTGGGGAGAGAAGAAGTTGGAAATTGGGGGTCTGCAGATGTGCGGTTGTAGGGTGGAGGGTTTCTAGGGAGCAAAAAGACTTCAAAGAACAGTACATGATTGATTCAGGACAATCGCTTGCCGGGCGGGCAGCATTTCATTTCCTCACGTGGCAGATTCAGTCGTTCTGTCAAAGACCATGACAGTATCCGCCGTGTGTGGCAAGGTTGCTCCGAACACTCACCCACGCCCAGCTCAGCTCATCCTGCCGGCTCCAAGTACTGAACCCCTGACCCACACATGCCTCCTCACCTGCAGGTCGTTCTGCGGGTTCCAGTCGGAGTCAAAGATAATGACCGTGTCCGCTGTAGCAAGGTTGATCCCCAGCCCGCCCGCGCGTGTGGAGAGCAGGAAGCAGAAGTCTTCACTGCCGGGCGCATTGAAATGCTCCATTGCCTGCTGCCGCAGGTCCGCCCTCGTGCTGCCGTCCAGGCGCTGAAATTGAAAGCCCCTCAAAGCCAGGTAGTCGGCTAGAATGTCCAACATGCGCACCATCTGTGGGAGTGGGGAGGCAGGGAAGAGGGAGAACAAGGAGAAGCGGAAGGGGAAGCATTGAAGTGCTCCATTGCCTGCTGCCTCAGGTCCGCCCTCGTGCTGCCGTCCAGCCTCTGGAACTGGAAGCCCCGCAGAGCGAGGTAATCGGCTAGAATGTCCAACATGCGCACCATCTGAGGGAGTGGGGGGAGGAAAAGAGAAGAGATGAAACAATAGTTGGTCAGCATAACTTTAACCACAACGACACTTCCTCCCAGGCAGCATCAACACCTCTGAAGCTACCTCGGATGAGCCGCACTTTCAGAAGCCCCAATCAGATAAGATCAGATCACATGTAATCAAACCCACCTGGGAGAAAATGAGAACACGGTGGCCCGTCTCTTTAAGCCGCGTCAGCAGCTTATCCAGCAGAGTCGTCTTCCCACTCCCCAGCACGATCCGCTGCGCCTTTCCCTGAGCGTCCAGCGCCCCTCATACCCATCCCTTTCCAGTCTAGGTGCCCCAAACCAAATCGAGTCAGTTCAAACCCACCTGGGAGAAGATGAGAACGCGGTGGCCCGTCTCCTTGAGCCGAGTGAGCAGCTTATCCAGCAGAGTCGTCTTGCCACTCCCCAGCACGATCCGCTGCGCCTTGCCCTGTGCGTCCAGCGCCCCTCCAGCCGCCCCGCCCCCGTAGCCGTAGTCAGCGCTCTCAAAGAGGAAGGGGTGGTTGCAGCACTTCTTGAGCTCCGCAACAATGTTGAGCAGCGAGACTTGATTGCTGCGCGCGTTCTTGTTCAGATCCTGAAAGTTGCGCTCCAATATCCACTTGTAGTACCTGGGGGGGACGGGGGGAAGGTGGGGGAAGAAGGGGAGAGTGAGAATGCATGTGAGAATGAGAGGAAATGTGGTTGCTTGCACCAACGCCCCCGTAGCCGTAGTCAGCGCTCTCAAAGAGGAAGGGGTGGTTGCAGCACTTCTTGAGCTCGGCAACAATGTTGAGGAGAGACACCTGGTTGCTGCGCGCTTTCTTGTTGAGGTCCTGAAAGTTGCGCTCCAGAATCCACTTGTAGTACCTGAGAGGGGGGGGGAAGAGGGGGAGGGGAGGGTGGGGAAGGAGAGGAGGAAGAGGGGAAAGGCATGCGAGAACAAGCGAACGGCATGTTCAGATCCTGGAAGCTGCGCTCCAGAATCCATTTGTAGTACCTGCGAGGGGGAAGGGCGGGGGGGTGGGTGGTGGGAGAGAGTAAGGGGGGTGAGCAAGGAGAGAGGAGTAGAGGAGACGGAGGGCAAAGAAGCCAACCACTGTTTTTTTGCAGGGAGGAGCAAACAGGCACAGGCACTGACTGCTTCTCCAGGGAAGCTCCAAACAGCCACTCACTTAAAAGGGTTCTTTGAAGGGCAACGAAAGCGGCACTCACTGCTTCTGCAGGGGCGACATTTCAACGCGCAGGATGCGTTCGATCTTGGGCGGCAGCGACTTCTCGACGTCCTTGATCACCCGCCGCAGCATGTGCGGGCGCAGCTCCTGGTGTAGTGACGTGATCTGCATGTGGTCCGGGGGGGAGGGGAGGGGAGGTGCCGTGTAAGAGAATGAGTAAGACTGGGCACAGTAGGCAAAGCGACTTCTCGACGTCCTTGATCACCCGCCGCAGCATGTGCGGGCGCAGCTCCTGGTGTAGTGACGTGATCTGGTGGGGGGAGGGGGGGGGAGGCGGGGGAAGGGGGAGCAGCAGGGGGGAATGAGAACAAGCATGTGTGGCCGTAGCTCCTGATGCAGTGACGTGATCTGGTGGGGAGAGGAGGGGAGGTGCCGTGTGAGAGAATGAGTAAGACCGGGCACAGTAGGCAAAGCGACTTCTCCACGTCTTTGATCACCCTCCTCAGCATGTGCGGGCGCAGCTCCTGATGCAGTGATGTGATCTGGTGGGGAGATGTGAGGATGGAGGAAGGGAGGGGGGAGGGAGGAGGAATGAGGATGTGATGTGCGGCAGCTCCTGGTGCAGTGAAGTGATCTGATGGAGAGATGTGAGGATGGAGGAAGGGAGGGGGGAGGGAGGAGGAATGAGGATGTGATGTGCGGGCGCAGCTCCTGGTGCAGTGACGTGATCTGGTGGGGAGCGGGGGGGAGGGAGGGGGGGGCGGGGGAAGGGGGAGCAGCAGGGGGGAATGAGAACAAGCATGTGCGGGCGCAGCTCCTGATGCAGTGACGTGATCTGGTGGGGAGCGGAAAGGGGCTGGGGCAGGGGAGAAAGGGGAGAGGGAGGGGGGAGGGCAGGGGGGGGAAGGGGAAGGAGGAAGAATGAGGATGTGATGTGCGTGCGGCGAGCTCCTAGTGCAACGGCGTGATCTGGTGAGTCGACTCAAAATGTATCGTGTGCCATGGTAACGAGGTGACTTTTGAGTCGACTCAAAAGTCACCTCGAAGGGACTTTTGAGTGGACTCAAAAGTCACCTCGAAGGGGAAGGAGGAAGAATGAGGATGTGATGTGCGTGCAGCGAGCTCCTAGTGCAGCGGCATGATCTGGTGAGCGCATCCTGCGCAAGGGTGGAGAAAGGGGAGGGTGGGGAGGGGCGGGGGAAAAGAGAATGAGGATTTGACGTGCAGCCACTGCTGCTGGTGCAGCGACGTGATCGGGAGCTCCCCCTCCTCCAGGAAGAGCCACGGAAAGAAAAACCGAGAAAGAAATATAGTTTTGCAACAGAGTATACTGCAAAATTGCAGCACTTCTCCCCACTCTTCTCTCATACCGCCTCCATCTTGCCATCTGCCCTCATATCCTCCTCACTCTCCCCTCGCCTCTTCCCCCTCTCCCCTCACCTCCTCCCCACCTCACCTCCTCCCCACCCGCCCCTCACCTCCTCCCCTCACCTCCTTCTCGCTCTGGTTCTCCAGCAGGTGTTTGTACTTGGCTGAAAACTCCTCCTTGTCGCCAAACTTCCTCTCGTCCAGGAAATGCAGCAGCGCCCTGGGGGAAGGAATGGGGGCGGATGGGGGGTAGGGGGGAATGGGGCGCAAACGGAGGGAGGACGAGGGGAGAATGGGAAAGGGAGGGGAAACGGGACGGACGGAGCGAGGACGAGGGCAGGGTTAGTCAGGAGGGGGCGGGCGGAGTTAAGATTGGGGTGACAGGGGGAAGACGTTGCAGTTTTTACTTAAGCCGTTGCAAATATTACATGAATCCTCACCTTCGTTGCTCCAGCTCTCCTAATCTATGCTGCTACACCTCTCCCACAGCAGCAGCACTCACCAGAGCTCCTCCACGCTGTTCTGCAGCGGTGTGCCGGTGATCAGCAGCTTGTTAGCTACTGCTGCTCTCCTAACCTATGCCGCCACAGCTCTCCCACAGCTCTCCCACAGCAGCAGCACTCACCAGAGCTCCTCCACGCTGTTCTGCAGGGGCGTGCCCGTGATCAGCAGCTTGTTGCGCGCATGGAAGCTCTGAAGAGAGGGACGGGGCCGAAGGGAGGCGGAGGGAGGCGGAGGGAGGTGCAACGGGCAGAGGGAGGTGCAACGGGCAGAGGGAGGTGCAACGGGCAGAGGGAGGTGCAACGGGCAGAGGGAGGTGCAACGGGCAGAGGGAGGTGCAACGGGCAGAGGGAGGAGGAAGTGGGAGGGTTGAAGGCTGGAAGCAGGAGGGGAAATCACAGCTGACAATGGGTGGATGGCAGGTGTGCAGGACAGCTTACAATGAGCGTGGTGTAGAGAGCCGCTTCAGAGTTCTTAAGGCGGTGGGCCTCGTCCACCATGAGGTAGGTCCAGCGGATGGGCGAGGGCACAGCCTTGTCCTTGAGGACAAGCTAGCTTGGTGTGGATAACAGCTTACAATAAGTGTGGTGTAGAGGGCCGCTTCAGAGTTTTTAAGGCGGTGAGCCTCGTCGACCATGAGGTAGGTCCAGCGGATGGGCAAGAGCACGGCCTTGTCCTTGAGCACCAGTATGCTGCTACTTTCTCTTATGGCTCAACAAACAACAAGTGTGGTGTGCAAGAGAACCTACAATGAGTGTAGTATAGAGTGCCGCTTCAGAGTTTTTAAGGCGGTGAGCCTCGTCGGCCATGAGGTAGGTCCAGCGGATGGGGGAGAGCACGGCCTTGACTTTGAGCACCAGAGTGCTGCTACTTCCTCTTTTGGCTCAACAAACAACAAGTGTGGTGTGCAAGAGAACCTACAATGAGTGTAGTATAGAGTGCTGCCTCAGAGTTCTTGAGGCGGTGAGCCTCGTCCACCATGAGGTAGGTCCAGCGGATGGGGGAGAGCACAACCTTGTCCTTCAGAACCACCTCGTACGTCGTCAGCAACGCGTGGAACTTGGTCTGCCGCCCGCCCTTCCTGCCCGCCTGCCCGAACTCGTACTGCTGCACCACCTGGTGGTGTTGGGGGGAAGGGGGGGAAGGAGTTAAACAGAGGAAGGAGTTAAAGAGAGGAAGGAGTGATTGAAGAGGCAAATCCCGTCCCACACCTCACTCCTGCCCGCCCTTCCTGCCCGCCCTTCCTGCCCGCCCTTCCTGCCCGCCCTTCCTGCACGCCCGCCCTTTCTGCCCGCCCTTCCTGCCCACCTGCCAGAGGTCATACAGCTGAACCACCTGCCGGCTCGAGATGGGGGGAAAGGATACTGGGGCAGAGGGGGAGGAGGGAGGGAAGGGGACATAAGCGCGAGATAGCAGTGTGAAGAAGGAGCCCTGGATGTGCTGCATGTGTGGCAGCAGACGGCTGACACAGAGCACGCCGTTGAGGGAGGACAGCCGGTGGCAGCTCAGGCGATCTGCACATCTCAACCCTGTACACATCACAGTCCCTTGCACCACGCCACCCCCCTGCACCACGCCACCCCTCTGCACCGCGCCACCCCTCTGCACCCCTCATACCACACCTTTGCAGCGCAACTCACCCCTCTGCGCCCCTCATGCCACACCCTGCACCTATCTGCAAGCCTCGCCTCTCTGAGGTGCGGTTGCCGACATAGAGCACGACATTGAGGGAGGGCAGCCAGCAGCGATCATCCCTCTGCACCCATCACACCATTCCTCTGTATTACGGTCCACGACTCACCCCTCTGAACCCTCACACCATTCCCTGCACCACGCATCACCCTTCTGCACCCCTCACCTCTCTGGAGGCGCGGTTGCCGACATAGAGCACGACGTTGAGGGAGGGCAGCCAGCGGCGCAGCTCCCTCTCCCAGTTGCTCATGGTTGACAGTGGTACCACTATCAGGAACGGGCCCTGTATCTGCTGCATGTGCTGCTTGTTGGAAGGGGGGGTGGGAAGGGGAAGCGGGGCAAAGGAAGGGGAGGGGGGAGGGATGGGGAGTGGAGGGCGGGGAGGAGGAGGGAAGAGGAGAGGGAGCCGGGCAGAGTGGCGGTGGGAGGGGTTGGGAGAAAGTTGAGGAGTTGGCAGAATGGGGCAAAGGGAAGAGGACGAGACAGGAGGAAAGGATTCAATTAGTGGCACCACTATCAAGAAGGAGGGGAAGAGGGGGTAGAGGAACGAGGGGGAGGGGGGGTTGGGGTGGGGGTGGGGAAGGGGGGGGGGAGGGAAGGAGCTGAAGCGGGCATTAATGCGAGTGTACACATTCAATGCACATGCATCCCATCCGCATGCACCCCATGCACCCCATGCACCCCATGCACCCCATGCACCCCATGCACCCCATGCACCCCATGCACCCCATGCACCCCATGCACCCCATGCACCCCATGCACCCCATGCACCCCATGCACCCCATGCACCCCATGCACCCCATGCACCCCATGCACCCCATGCACCCCATGCACCCCATGCACCCCATGCACCCCATGCACCCCATGCACCCCATGCACCCCATGCACCCCATGCACCCCATGCACCCCATGCACCCCATGCACCCCATGCACCCCATGCACCCCATGCACCCCATGCACCCCATGCACCCCATGCACCCCATGCACCCCATGCAAGGATGAACGTACAAAGAGAAAGCCGAGCATGGAGACGGACTGCACGGTCTTGCCCAGCCCCATCTCGTCCGCCAGAATGACATTGGTGTCCCTCATCCAACTGCCACCATGCACATCCGCATCCATGCACATGCCCACGCACACACATGCACATGTACATGTATGTACATGTACATGCACCATACACACTCGCAAATGTGCATACATGCAGACATGCAAATACGTGGGCATGCACACATGCATCACATGCGCTTGCGCACGGACACACAAACGTACATGCACACATGCAACACACACATACACGCACACACACTTATAGGCATGAGTATGGGAATGCACACGCATGTACATAGAAGCATTCCCACATGGAATGGAAGTAATGGTGAAAAACAGACACTCAAGCTGCAATCCCTCCTCCTCCCTCCCTTCCCTCCCTCCACCTCCCCCCAACCCCTCCCTCGACCTCCCCCCTCCACCTCCTCCCCATCCCCTCCTGCCACCTCCCCCCCTTCCCGTCCTCCACAACCCCCACCTGCGTCAAGATGCAGTGCCCCCACCTGCGTCAAGATGCAGTGCCCCCATGTCTACCCCACCTGTGGATGAGGAAGTTGAGCCCCATGAGCTGGTAGTCCCTCAGAGTGCCGCCCTTGCGCCTCCCAACCCCCCTCTTGCTGAGAGGCGGGTACCCCCCCACCTGCGTCGTGTTGCAGTGGCCCCACCTCCTACCTGTGGATGAGGAAGTTGAGCCCCATGAGCTGGTAGTCCCTCAGCGTGCCCCCCTTGAGCCACTCCGGCTGCACCTCCAGCTTGCTCATGGCTGGGTGGGAAGGGAACGGGGAGGGAAGGAATTAGAGGGAAGGATAGGAGGAAAGGGGGTATTGAGTCGACAGAAAAGAGAGGATCACATGAAATGAGAGGTGTGAACGGGGATTGGAGGGGGTCAAAAGGGGTCAAAAGGGGTCACGAATCACACCACCAGCTCAAGCTGCAGATCACACCACCAGCTCAAGCTGCAGATCACACCACCAGCTCAAGCTGCAGATCACACCACCAGCTCAAGCTGCAGATCACACCACCAGCTCAAGCTGCAGATCACACCACCAGCTCAAGCTGCAGATCACACCACCAGCTCAAGCTGCAGATCACACCACCAGCTCAAGCTGCAGATCACACCACCAGCTCAAGCTGCAGATCACACCACCAGCTCAAGGGGTCTCAGCTGCAGATCATCTGAGACTGCACAGCTCAATCAACCTTCACTTCCCTTGTCTCACCTGCTCGCTCATGCTCCTCACAACTCCCACTCCCACCCGCACGTCCTCCTGCTTACTTTGGCTGCCTCACTCACCACTAAACAACAGTTTCCCACTATCCCTTGCCCAACTCACCCCTGCCCCACTCCCCCTGCTCCACTGCCTGCCCCACTCTCTGCCCCACTCTCTGCCCCACTCTCTGCCCCACTCTCTGCCCCACTCGTCCCCACTCCACTCTCTCACCAATCCCCACCTCGCCAGCTCTTGCCCACCACCCTCCAATATGATCACACCAGCTCCACGTGGCTTGACCCTGTGCAAGGCCGTTCCCCCTTATCCCCTCTCCCACTGCCTCACCTCGGCAGCTCTTGCGTTGCGCCTCCACGCTTTTGCCCACCACCAGTGCTCCCGCCTCCCTCACTTTGAACTCGTCTATCGCCTCCCGCGCACACTCTATGTCCGCCTCCGCCTCCCTGCACTCGTGGAACGGACAATGGGAATGGATAAACAGGTGAGCGTAGTGACTTGCTGCAATCGCCTATGGCCTCCCTCGCAACCTCTATGTCTGCCTCCGCCTCCCTGCACCCGAAGAGACAAGCGGTGAGGGAATGGGATACAGAAGTGATCGACTTTGCCCCTTGTGTTGTTGCCAGTTTTCTTAGCTCCCAATCACCAACACAGCAGAGGGATGATGGTGGTGAGCACATCTCTTGCAGAGAACAAACGCACCAGGTGGCTTCAGAGTAGGAGAGCCCCTTCCAATTGACAAAGAACTCGTGAAAGGGATGGTGGTGAGGCGTTAACGGTGGTGAGGTGTTAACGGTGGTGATGGACGGTGAGAGGAGAAGAACGCACCAGGTGGCCTCGGAGTAGGAGAGCCCCTTCCACTTGACAAAGAACTCGTAGCTGCTGACCTCATCGCCCTCCCGCCCCGCCTCCCCTGCCGCCTTGGCTGGCCGCTCCGCCACCACCCTGTCCACCTGGATGGGCGCAGGCAGGCACACAGGCAGGCAGGCAAGACACGAGCCCAGCGTCAAGAACGGGGAGGAGGAAAAGGAATAACTGGCATCTCACGTCCCATGAGGACAAGAGCCAAGAGTCTAACTGCACCCGCCCACCTGTAAGTAAGAAGACTAGCCCCTTTGACCCCACCTGCGAGTACTGCTTGACCCCACCTGCGAGTACTGCTTGACCCCACCTGCGAGTACTGCTTGACCCCACCTGCGAGTACTGCTTGAGCAGGTCCAGCTCCATCTCGCGGCCCACGTTCAGCGCCTCCACCTCCTCCGCTGACACAGTGGTGCACGCAGCATGCCTGCCTACCCACACCCCCCCAAATGCCAGTCTAGCCTGCAAGACTAGCCACTCGAGCCCACCTGCGAGTACTGCTTGACCCCACCTGCGAGTACTGCTTGAGCAGGTCCAGCTCCATCTCGCGGCCCACGTTCAGCGCCTCCACCTCCTCTGCTGACACGCTCAGGCGGTACCGCCTCTCATCGTCCGCCCGCTTCATGTAGTTCTGCACCTTCTTGAACCCAGGCAGCTGCAGGTGGGAGGGTGAGAGGGTGAGAGGGTGAGAGGGTGCAAGGGTGGAAAGACAGAGGGGTTGAGAGGCGGTACCGCCTCTCATCGTCCGCCCGCTTCATGTAGTTCTGCACCTTCTTGAACCCAGGCAGCTGCAGGTGGGAGGGTGAGAGGGTGAGAGGGTGCAAGGGTGGAAAGACAGAGGGGTTGAGAGGCGGTACCGCCTCTCATCGTCCGCCCGCTTCATGTAGTTCTGCACCTTCTTGAACCCAGGCAGCTGCAGGTGGGAGGGTGAGAGGGTGAGAGGGTGAGAGGGTGCAAGGGTGGAAAGACAGAGGGGTTGAGAGGCGGTACCGCCTTTCATCGTCCGCCCGCTTCATGTAGCTCTGCACCTTCTTGAACCCTGGCAGCTGTGGATAAGAGGATAAGGGGCGATGAGGATAGGAGGCTTGGAGACGGCTTGATAGGCTGGAGAGGGTGCTTAACAGGCAGACAAGATGCAGTACGGTGGAGAGGGATGCAGTACGGTGAAAAGGAGTGCGGTACCGTGGAGAGGGTGGAAATGGGCAGCCAGTCGCAGTGCAGGAACGAGCGTCCCTTCCACTTGACGTACAGCTCCTGCTGCTCCCAGTCGATGGCCTCGCTCACATCATACTCCAACACACACGGCCCTGTGGGCTCCCCCGCTGCCCGCATCTCCTCACTCCTCCCCAGCGGCTGGTGCCACAGCACCCGCTCCACCACGTCCCCCTCCGCCTCTGCCTCTGCCTCAGCTGCATCCCCTCCGAGCGGCATGTCGTCGTCCTCCTCCTCGCCCTCCTCCCCCGCTGCTGCGATGCCCTGCGCTCACACAGACGCACGGACAGAAGTGAGTATACAGTGGTATGGATGCACACCTACAGACGGGACAGCTAGAGACGGGACACCTACAGACGGGACAGCTAAAGACACCGAGGTATTGTATAGCTACAAGGAAGTCACATCTAGGGCCGGTACAGCTGGGCATAGTACCGCTAGGGGCGCACCTTAAGTTTCTTCTTAGCAGGGGGCGCCAGGTCGTCCGAGTCCTCATCATCCTCAAAGTACGACTTGCGCGGCACAGCCCTCCGTGACATGCGTGTCTCCCTCGCCGCCACCCCCGCCCGCCCTCCCGCCTTCCCCGACCGCCCCTTCCGCCCCTCCCCTCCGCTGCTCTCACTCTCCGAGCTCCCCGCCCCGCCCCGCGCGCGTTTCCTCCCCCCTTTCCCCCCGCCCCCGCCCCCTCCTCCGCCCGCGCCAGCCCCTCCTCGTCTGGCCCGCGGCTTCCCCCGCCCCTCGATCTCACTCCCTGACTCGCTCACCGACCCAGAGAAATCCGACGAGCTCTCATCGTCCCCTCCACCCGCCCCAGCCTCGTCAAACGACTCGCTCCCGCTCCCTGCCTCCTCCTCCTCGTCCCCCTCCCCATCATCATCTGACGACTCTACAGTCCGCCGTCTCGCATTCGAGCGGTTGCTAGCGCGGGTCCCTCTTCCCCCACCTCCTCCCCCTCCGCCTCCGCCTATTCCGCTCCCGGCGGCGGGTCTGGGAGGCGCTTTTCTGCGGTTGTTGGGGCGGCGGGGCTGGGGGCGGCGGGAGCCGCCACTGCTGCCGTCGGATGCGGAGGAGGACGCACTGCTAGAGTCCGACTCGTCACCAGACGACGCGGGTGAGTCGCGGCCTTCCTCCTCCTCCTCCTCCTCCTCCTCCGCAACGTCGCCCTGTATGGGACAGCAGCGGATGGGCGAGGCAGGACAACGTGTGAGTCAGAACCGCAGGGCGGCAGGGGCTACTTTGCGCAGCAAAAGGTGAAAACAAAATCTCGAGATTGTCCGCGCTCACCTCCCTCCCCCTCCGCGCTCACCTCCTTCCCCCGCCGCGTTAGTTGCCCATTCGGCGCGCAGCTGGTGGGGTCGAAGTCCTCGTCGTCCGGGTCGTCGCCTGCACAACGCAGACCAGGGGACAAGAAGGCGTGGATGGTTAACGAATCCGCATTTCACGAGGCAGCACGGCGTGGCATTCACACGAGTCCGCGAACCACGAGCACGGCACCACAGCAACAGGTGTTTCAAAACGGCACGAAGCAGTTAAACAACCTCGGCACGGTTGCTTAACAAAGGGGATCGAGGCAGGCGTACCTGCTTCATCCTCCTCCTCGTCTTCCTCCGACCGCTCCTCGTCCTCCTCCATCTCATACCCGGCCTCCTCGTCCCCCTGCCCTCCCCTCCTGCCGCTGCCCGACCGATCGCTCCCGCCCAAACTGCCCGACCCACTGCCGTCGTCCTCAGGCTTCATACTGGCCGCGCCAGGTCCCGTTGTACGCGCTATAGGAACCCGAGAATGAGTGCAGCGCACAATGCCCTACAGCAAGCCTATTGTGGCGTTGACCCGAGGTCGAGGAAGCGAAGGGAGCGGAGCCGCCCTTGAAAAATCGAGCTTCTGAAGCTTGAGAAAACGTTAAATACACGCTGAGGGCACGCGGGGCAGTGGAAGTACAAGGATGGAGACACCAGGCGGAAAAGCCGTTAGGCCAAGGCAAACAACATGGAATCCTGGGTCATGACTGAGGTGATAGTGCAAGCAAAGGTGCAAAATTCCCGAAACGGAGGAGCCCGGAATAATTTCGGACTGTAAAATGTCTCAAATCCACATATGATCGCGTAAACGCGCCTATTCTTAGATCCCTGCGCGGCCCTGCACTAATGTTTGAAGTAGTGATCAGATCTCGGTCTGGGGCCTGATCGTCGAGCTCTCCGCCAAAAGGAAGTGACAAACGACGCTAGTCGGAGGGAAGGATGCCAGACGGACCGAACGCGCGACAATTTCTAGCGTTAAGGCGACCACGCGGGTTGCTCTGAGTGACCACAGGCCAGACACAATGCGTGATCTGCAAGGGCGATGCTGGGCTGAGGAAGATCTGAAACCCCACCTACCAGCCATCCGACATGTGGCCTGCCGCTTACTTCTCCTAAAACAACAGGATTTCTTAAATTAGGGTTACGCTCCAACAGGTTAAGTGCTTGCGTAAAACCGGAAATTAGGCCTCCGTATGCGGTCTCTGGGGATGGATTTGACGCGGGAACGCATCGGAGAAATGTTTAATGGGCCTCGGACGACGCATTTTCGACTACATAAAAATTAGGGTTAGCATGTCCGGGCTGCTGGACCAGCAGGTAAGGCCTTACATATTCAGAAATTCCGATCTAATAAGTCCGATCTGAGCACACATCTAGGGTTCTGGAGACTCTAGGGACCTCACAACCGACGACTGGATGCCTCTAACAGCCAATTAAATACATCTGAGAGTGTCTGAAAGGCTCTAAGATGGGCCCGGAACAGCCATGGAACTCCCACATCCGCAGGCGGAACAGAGGCCTTACTGAAAGATAAGAGTCGCTATGAATCACACCAGGCCGCAGCGGACAGAAGGCGCGTCACAATCGCCCAAAAAAAACGCTTGTGCGAACGCTATGCGTCAAGGCAAGGGAGCCGAGCTTGGGGCTTCCTGCTGCTGTCATGGCTTCCGCACTTGCAGTTGTGTGAAACCACCATTTCTGGTTTTGTGTGACTTGTGCTTCAGCTCTCAGTGGCAGAGGCGAGGCAGGAAGAGAGGCGAGGAAGGGGAGGGGGGCGGAGCGGAGGGAAATCGTGAGGGAAAGCGCGCGGAGAGGGCGGGGCGGAAGGGAGAGTTCAAGGTTCGGCCTTGGGGATGGCGGGCCAGGGTGCGGATGACATCAAGGGCTGGAAGTCTCCGATGTTGGATTATTCTGAACAAACTACCATGCGAGATCAGTAGATGTCAAAACTTCAACTGTACAGGCTTAGAACTACTGGGCAACTTTTACGGTACTCTCAGAGATTGTTGGAAACAGAATACTAGTGGAGGACTGGCAATGGCAGGTATACTTCACCTAAGGGATATGAAAGTGGGTTTTCCTGAAATAATCTCTATGACGTTCACCTCCTAGTATAAAAGGCTAGCTCTGTAAACTTGAAACACTTTTATCAGTAGTTGATTATTCATGCTTACACACAGCCATTCAGCCTTTGGTGCAAACAGTTTCCATTCTCTTCGGGCAACATGATACGCAACCTTATAATGGGCTCCTTCATCGCAGCAAAACGGCCCTGATGCTGTTTATTGGGCTTTATTCATAGGCCTACATGCATCTAGCATGGTGTTAGTACTGTTAGTGGATGACTTACCCAACCTACATAGCAGCCCCTATCCTGCAATTCGTACTCAAAATCGATGGGGTCACATAGTCGAGTGCAGTCCTGTGCGTGGGTGGCTGCCCGGAGTCTCTTACTTCAGATATTGGGTGATGAAGCAGATCCGACAGATGAGTGTACGTCAGAGTGCCATGGCTCCCTAGTTTATCAAGGTACCTTCCAGTAAGAGCTTGACTCAGCACCCCTTGGACAGCTGAGCTGGTCTGCACAAGAAATAAGAGCATACGGTAGGAGAAGAGTGAGAATTTTGCTGGTTTTTGCACAAACAGATGATCCTGCAGTGCACGCAGATCTACATTATGCTATGGTCTGAATGACACCACAGTCACCCCTCTTACCTGCAGTTCAACCACCCGGATGTTGAAATGGGTCTCAGCTTCCTCTGGTGTTTGAAGCAAAGGGTGGGCAACCCTCATGCTCACATGCACCTTCCCCAACCCTTCAATCGCAACTTCATATGTGTCCACGTCGAAAGGCCCATCCTCATCCTCCGCCGTCTTCCTTATCTCCACACTTCCGTCGGCTCCCACCACTGCCAGGTCATCATGGAAACGTGGCGGTGCCACGTCAGCACCGTCCACCTGCATGAGAGCGAGGAAGCCGTGGGCCCCCCTGTCCTGCTGGTTGCCTGAGCGCGCCACCATTCGCAGAGAGTGCTGCCTGCCGCCAGATGCACCTGACACCCACACCACTCCCACCTCCTTCACCCACACATGCAGGCTTCCCTCTGCCACTCTCCTCGGCATCCCTGCTGCTGCTAGCGCCGCTGCTGTGGCAGACTCTTGTCCCTGGTGGCTCTGCAGCAGCACGTTGATGTGGATCCGACGGTCGGCGAGCAAGCAGAAAGATTTTCCGAGCTGCCCGGGGAAGTCGAAGAGGGTCCCGTGCGCGCCTGTGATGCGCGGGTCAGTGTTGTCCAGGCGAGATGTGTCGCATGAGCCTCCCACCCTGCGAGGGGTCATGGCGCAAGGGGATGGAGGTGTTGAGGCATTATGGCTACACCACATGCACCTAAGACAGCCACACTTATACTAATATAAAATAAAGCAGTTTCGACACATATAGTAAAATATACCTAGTAAAGGCACGCACCATACAGCATTGTAGTCCTCCTCCAACACATCCACCGTTCAGCACACCTTGTATGCCGCAGGATTGCCAGCTATGCGAGCACATGCAGTGCCAGGGGTACATACCAGCTGAGCGGGTAGTATGCGGCCATAGCATCCTGCTCTCTTCCATCCCCGCTATAAGGATGTCTGAGCCCCGCTGTCCGTCCCGACCCCGCGCTCTTCTCCAGCAGGTAGCACTGCACGCCGTCAATGAAGCCCCGCACGTTAGCATTGTCGGCTAGCCGTTTGCTCGGGAAGAAGTGGTAGGCGTGGCAGGCCTTGTCGCCCGCGCACGCTCTGCAGCAGCTCTCCAGCGTGCCCCCGCTGTCGCCCCGCACGATGTCCACGTGGTTACCAACCTCCTGTTACACATCGGTGAATTCGTTGTAAGTCGGTTTATTGGGAAGGCGTATTTGAAACGCGAGGCACAAAATTGTAGCGCACGATTTCGCGACAACGATGTTTTAAACTATTCCTGTGAAGCCCAAATTTCACCAAACCATTTAGAAAATGCGAGGAAAATGTTTCCCATCCGAATTTAAGACGTGGGCGGAACTTAGAGAATGATGCAGCCGCAAACTAAGCACGATGCTTTGAAAGCTGCTAACAGTGACGCCAAACAACGACTTGGAGTCGATGCAACCAATACGAGCAAAGCGCCTCGCTCCGCACCTGATAGAGTTCGAGGTTTAGCGGGCCTGACCCCGCTTCGTGCGCCTTGTATCTTCCTCCCTGACTGTTGAACCGGCCTCTGTACTGTCCAATCAGCGTGAGGTCCGTGAAGTTTCCTTCCGTTATAGTCACATCGCGGAAGCTGTGGAGGCGGGAACACACGGCTTGGACGTGACACCCGTTCGCGGGGAGATTCGTGGCTTGGGAGCTTCTTAGAAAAAGAAAAATGACTATGCATATTCTCATATACTCGTATTTACTTGCCATAGTACTACGCGTCAGTTGAGTAATTACTACGCGATTGCGAATTCTTGCTATGCGCGCGAGCTGCGCTTTGTACGAAGAGACCCTTAGTTGTGTGTACGGACATGCCGTTAAACGTAACGCTGGTCGGCTAACCTCACAGGTGGGGTGGTCTCGGGCGATGCCACGAACGACAAAAGGTAAACGACTTCTCCGTAGTACGGAAAAATGCACGCCATAGCATCGCTGGAGAGAAACTTGCTCTACTCAGTCACGTCACGGCTTCACCAAACAAGGTTATTTTTCCAGCCATATTCTGGAAACAAGGCGATTGCATCCTCCTGTCGCGCCGCTCCTCGTTTCGGCCCACTGGGAAAGCATTGTCGATGTGTGTTGGCGAGCTGGCGATGAGGACTCGCGCTATCGTGAAGACGACTGAAGTGCCGGTTGCAAAGGTGCAACTCTTTCGCAAACGCCAGAGCCAAGGCCCCCTCCAATCAGCGTCGCTGATGGACATCCCTCCCTGCCTTTTTTGGGGGCTGGAATCGGCAAATGGTTGGCCCCTCTGGATGGAGTGAGGCGAAATGTGGGTTGGTGTTGTCGGTCAAATGCTGCTCGCTGAATCCCGATTGAATTCTCCATTAGAGATCCTTGAGAAGTTATTGGGGGATTCAGAAAAGTAATCTGTGGTCATAGTTGCATGTAGATTCAGAAAAGTAATCTGTGGTCATAGTTGCATGTACATTCACACAAAGCCAGCACAAAAGTAGAGAGCTTATTTATTAGCAGCCATGCACATTTTCTGTACACATTCACTAGACATAATGCAGCCAGTTCTTCTGTACACACAATACCATTCACAAGCAGCCGTCAAATCCCATGGTCCGCTCATCAATGATCCAGTCCATGTGTGCTGAATCACCCAAAAATGAGCATCCCATTGCATCTGAGACTCACACGCCTGTCCTATTCCATATGCCAGACATCTTAAACAAGGATGTAAAAATGGTGGCCAGGAGGGATTCAGGAACGAACCTACCCATGGCCTTGCATGTGAAGTAGCATAGGAACGGGATCACAGTGAGCATGACGAGAATGTTGATGATCATGTTTCTCAGGAGATGCTTCACAAAGTGCCGGAGGAAGAGACCGAATTCCTCCCTGTCTATTACCCCGTCATTGTTGAGATCGAACTTCTGAAACGAGGAACACAACGGGGGAATGCAACAATATCTGAGCTAGAAAACAACAGAAGCAGAGCTGAACCAGTATCACAGCAAAAATGGCTGTTCAAGCGCATGAGGAGAGTCTGGCAAAGTGCCACAGTGAGGGTGTGAAGACAAAGCAATGACCCAACAATGGCGGAATCACACCTTGACCAGCTTGAGAACGTCCTTCTTCCTTGGTGGGCTCAAATAACTCCCCGGCGAGTAGCGGTTCACGTAGCTGGAGTGTGGAAAAGAGAATCAGAGGGGAGAAGGAGAAGGAGGTCGAAGTGCATGGAGTGGGAGAATCGCGGGGGAAGGGTGAGTGTGTCAGGTAGAGGAGAATGTGGACGGGAGGGGAGAGAGGAGAGGGGGATGGTGCGTGTGGGAAGGGAGGAGGAGAAGGATGCTCATGGGTTGTGATATTTTTTTAAAAAAGGGAGACGGTTAGGAAATTCATACAGGACAAATCGTGACGCATTCGAATGTACACTGTACACAGCAGCACGGCGGCGTTACCGAGGCGCCTAAACGACCCACTCACTTGTACACGAGCAGCACGCCGGTGTATAGCTCTGGCACGTTAATCACCGGCCGCCCCTCCTCGTCCTTCTTGCCGTCCAGCTCCGCAAGTTCCAAGAAGGCGCGGTCCACGGCTTTCGTCACCACGTCCCCTGTTACCGCAGAACACATCGGAGTTTTCCGTCAAGCTTACCATTCACCACTAAGTTACAGGAACATGCGACAATGTTACCATCGCATGCGAAATCGGCATGATGTCAGATGTTGTAATGACTCATGAAAAGAGTTTACGTCGGATTCCATGCGTGGTAAAATTTATCACTCACAGCTTGCGACTTTGTTCGCCACTGCGCGGCTTCTATCGCGTATACGAAGCGATGACGGCATCGTAACGAGTGTGAATATGAGAAGCTGTGAGTCAGTAACCGTTTCAAGTAGAAAGCTGACGTCGACCGCTGAACTTAAAGAGGACGGCCGACTCGATGTTACGTCCAAAACAAACTTTGAAAGCGCGTTTCACGGAAGATAGAATCTAAGATGAGGAGAGCAGATATGCGCGCTTCCTAAACGGGTAAGGCACATTCGCGTTCGAGCCACATTGTATTTTGCGCCTCACTAGATTTGCGCCCGTCACATTTGGGCGCATCCCCTCCCCCCCACCCCTGCCCTCGCCCCATCCCCGCCCACTACCCCAGTGTCCTCATGCTTGAAGTTTGGTCCCTGGAATGGGCCAATCAGGATGCAGCAACCCCCCGCCCTGAGCGAGTACGAAGACATGCGAAATTACTACGCGAATAAAATACAGCACACAGCACAAGAGGTTACCACAAGAAGCGAGTTGCACTAACGGAGGGAAACATTGATTGAGGCACAGACGCACTTTTGCTTTGGAACAAGGCAACAAAGCACGTAAGGTCACTAGTTACGAATTTGACGTAAGGTAACGACGAGTGGTGATAACGAGTGATATATTTTCGAGAACAAGTAATGATCAGCTTGAACCAGATTGCAATCCATACCTCGCTACAATGCTCCTTACCTCGTCTCGGAGCGTGATTTCATACCTCGTCCATATATCGGACGAGGGAGCGTGACCGCATTACAATGCTCCTTACCTCGTCTCGGAGCGTGACTTCGTTACCATCACCTGATTCCCAAATCCAGCGCGGCTCGATTCCAGCGTTAAATCTATTCAGCATCACTCAATCCTCGAATCTACTCGCGTGAAACGCGCGCCGCGTCACCATCGTCGAACTCACGGTCGTCTCTCCCGATCCGCCCGTCCTGGACAGCACTGCTTCGAGGCGCCTCAAAAGTAACGGGTAGCGTCACCCTTTCCGTTCGAAAGGTCTCAGCTTTTTTACGGTTTCAGCGTATTATTCATTATCGAACTTAGTGGCTGATTTAATCGAATGACTCAGCTCATTAACGGGTAGTTGAATTCATTCTTGGCGGCTGTCCGCACATGGCCGTAAAATGTCTCTTCGCTTGTGCTATCAGATGCTTCTCTCCTCTGCATCGTCACCGTTGCCTCTGCATGCCCGTGCGGATGGCACTCTAACGTCAAGTCGGGCATGGCCATCAAGTCGTCAGCAAGCATGCCCGTGAAGACAGCAGGTGCCACTCAGCGAATAGCGCTCCGCGGATGGCGCTCCGCGGATGGCGCTCGGCGGATGGCGCTCCGCGGATGGCGCTCCGCGGATGGCGCTCGGCGGATGTCGCTCGGCGGATGGCGCTCGGCGGACGGCGCTCGGCGGATGGCGCTCGGCCGGTCTCAGCCACAGCCTCTGCTGAGCATGTGCTCTCACATGCTTGTGCTCTCACATGCTTGTGCTCTCACATGCTTGTGCTTCACCGCGCTGCACCCAATGCATGTGCTTCACCGCGCTGCACCGCGCTGCATATTCATTTACATCGGAGTCCGTCTTCTCTCCATGGGTCGTTGGCAGGTCGGAGCATGCAGCTAGAGCGGAGGGGGCATCTGAAGCAGAGGGGACTTGCTTTCAACACTTGTTGTCTTCAACATGAGTGGTATGATCGCACCATGCTGCCATGCAGACAGGGGATGTGCACGTCAGTTGAGATGTGCACTTCAGGTGAGATGTGCACTTCAGTTGAGATGTGCACTTCAGGTGAGATGTGCACTTCAGGTGAGATGTGCACTTCAGGTGAGATGTGCACTTCAGGTGAGATGTGCGCTTCAGGTGAGATGTGCGCTTCAGGTGAGATGTTCACTTCAGGTGAGATGTGCGCTTCAGGTGAGATGTGCACTTCAGGTGAGCAGAGCACCATTCTTACAGACTTATGCAGGCAGCACTCACACACGCACACGCTCAATCTCGCTCTCACCACGTATCCCCGCTCCCATCCCAGCACATACACCCAGCACAGATATTCGCCCGGTCTCGCTCCCATCCCAGCACATATGCTCCCAGCTTCTTCTCCCAAGTGTACAGATTTGTCTGTAAGTTTCCCAAAGTGACTCAGCGCACAGTTTTCTAGGCGCGCATACACTCATGTGTCTAGCACTATCCAAAATTGTCTGGTTATTTTGCTCTTATCATGTTTCCCCGGCCTCCCTGTTTTCCCCAATCTGACAGGCTGTGGTGAGTTTTCGTCGGTAAATGTGGGCTGCATGTGTGGGTGGCATGTGGGCAGCATGTCCATGGCATGTGGGCAGGATGTTTGGGTTGCATGTTGGCACACAGCACAGCACAGCACACAGCAGAGCACACAACAGAGCACAACAGAGAAAAACACAGCACAGCACAGCATACAGCACAGCACAGCACAGCACAGCACAGCACACAGCAGAGCACACAACAGAGCACAACAGAGAAAAACACAGCACAGCACAGCATTCAGCACAGCACAGCACAGCACAGCACAGCACACAGCAGAGCACACAACAGAGCACAACAGAGAAAAACACAGCACAGCACAGCATACAGCACAGCATAGCACAGCACAGCAAACAGCAAGCACACAACAGAGCACATCACAGCATACAGCACATTTTATCTCTGTTGCATGTTTCTGATTGATTTGCATGATATGCTAAACTGAATGGATGTATTAAACGTCCTTGTTTATACATCAATAATTCCGTTCGGCAGCTCTGCTGCGCCATATGCTTCTCTGCTGCATGGTAACTACCTATTCTCAAATGCCCACGCTGAGACGCAGTTGTCTGATTTGAAACCTAAGCAGACCTATCTGCTACGCTGCACCATATGCTTCCCTGGTTTCGGCAGCTACGCTGCACCATATGATTTGTTTAAACTACCTATTTTCAAGTGACCATGATATTTTCAACTACCTAGTTGTCTGTTTTGTAACCTAACCAGATCTATGACTATTTAGGCAATTAAAATGTAAAATCATTCGGGCAATGACAGAGTGCGCCACGGTCTTCGATCTTCTGGGCCCCTAGTGTTACACCCACACACCGCGCTGAGGTGGGGACCCTTCGTGTGGGACCGCAGCCCCTAAGCGACACGAGCCGGGCTGCAGCGTCCCACAGCCCAGCTCAGACCAGGTGGCGTAACACCTGGCCAGGCGAAGGCGGGGTGAGGAGGCCATCCGAGTTCAGGGAGCGTCCCCCCATCCCTCGTCAGAACACTCACTCACACACAGGGGCGCTTCAGGCGCGGGCCGCGTCCGACCCAACGCCGTCAGCAACCCCTGCCGCACAAAACCTATGCCGCAGTCGGAGGCGGTCTTCGGGTCTTGGACCCTGCCAGCTGCAGAGCGACACACAACACAAGACAAACACAACACACGATCAAGTGAAACAGGCACGAGAATACATGTAACGCGGAAAAAACAGAAAGAAAGCAAGACAAATTTGAGAACGAAAGCAAGATAAAACGGACAAAGGAAGAAGGTCACCTCCGTCCGTGTGCCGCCCGCTGTGCCGCCCGCCGTGTCGTCTCCACGCTGCCCGCCATGCTGAAGGGAATGGAAGGGGGGCATTAGATAGAAGCCTCTTGCTGCCCCGCGCTGCCCCCTCGCCCTCCTCGCCCCACGAGTCGACCTGAAGGGAAGGGGGGGATTAGAGAGACACACAGGAAACAGGATCAAGTGAAACATGCACGACAAATACATGAAATGCGAAAAACAGAAAGAAAGCAAGGCGGAAACGGACAAGGGAAGAGAGGCTTACCCCGCTGCAGCGATGGAGCAGAACCTCACCTCCGCCCGTGCCGCCCGCCGTGTCGTCTCCACGCTGCCCGCCATGCTGAAGGGAATGGAAGGGGGGGGTTAACCAGGGGGACGCCTCTTGATGCGCGCGCGCTGCCCCCTCGCCCTCCTCGCCCCACGAGTAGATCTAAAGGGAATGGAAGGGGGGTGGGGGGTAGAGAGACAAACGGAAGAAAAGGATCAAGTGAAACATGCACGACAAATACATGAAATGCGAAAAACAGAAAGAAAGCACGGCGGAAACGGACAAGGGAAGAGAGGCTTACCCCGCTGCAGCGATGGAGCAGAACCTCACCTCCGCCCGTGCCGCCCGCCGTGTCGTCTCCACGCTGCCCGCCATGCTGAAGGGAATGGAAGGGGGGGGTTAACCAGGGGGACGCCTCTTGATGCGCGCGCGCTGCCCCCTCGCCCTCCTCGCCCCACGAGTAGATCTAAAGGGAATGGAAGGGGGGTGGGGGGTAGAGAGACAAACGGAAGAAAAGGATCAAGTGAAACATGCACGACAAATACATGAAATGCGAAAAACAGAAAGAAAGCAAGGCGGAAACGGACAAGGGAAGAGAGGCTTACCCCGCTGCAGCGATGGAGCAGAACCTCACCTCCGCCCGTGCCGCCCGCCGTGTCGTCTCCACGCTGCCCGCCATGCTGAAGGGAAGGGAAGGGGGGGGTTAACCAGAGGGACGCCTCTTGATGCGCGCGCGCTGCCCCGTCGCCCTCCTCGCCCCACGTGAAGCCCTGACTGAAGGAAAGGAAGGCAGGGGTTAAGCAGAGAAGTCCTCTTGCTGCCCCGCCGCGCTGCCCCCTCGCCCTCCTCGCCCCACGTGCTGAAGGGAATGGAAGGGGGAGGAGTGAGGACGGAGTGCGGGTCAGGAGGACGTGAGACAGAGGCATGGAAGAGGACAGATCCAAGGGCCAAGGTGCTGGAGGTATGTGAGTAGCCGCAGAGGCCGAGGGTGGGCCCCGTGCTTCAGGACAAGACCAAGAGAGAGCTGGGGCCCCCCCCACTCTCAAATGATCGAGTCCGTCTGCCCCTCGTCACTGCATGGCGCTCACTCTCCATTCAACAGCACCCCTCCTTGAAATCGCCTCAGCCAGCCCGTCAGTCGCTCCGTCTCGTCCCTCCGCCTCACCCCATGGACGCAGGGGGAGAAGCCAGCACACGTGGGAGAAAGACGCAGCGCTACCTCCTCGCCTCCAAGCGCGTGGTCAGCAGGGCGGGTAGGAGGCAGCCACACGCCTGTGACTGCCGGCCGTGCGTCATCCCAACACGCTCGCTCCCCCGCATGCCTAAGAGAGAGATGATTAAGGAGAAAATGAAGGACTGAAGAATGTAGCGACACGGAAATCTGACAAAGGATGCAGCGACACGGAAATCTGACAAAGGATGCAGCGACACGGAAATCTGACAAAGGATGCAGCGACACGGAAATCTGACAAAGGATGCAGCGACACGGAAATCTGACCAAGGATGCAGCGACACGGAAATCTGACCAAGGATGCAGCGACACGGAAATCTGACCAAGGATGCAGCGACACGGAAATCTGACCAAGGATGCAGCGACACGGAAATCTGACCAAGGATGCAGCGACACGGAAATCTGACCAAGGATGCAGCGACACGGAAATCTGACCAAGGATGCAGCGACACGGAAATCTGACCAAGGATGCAGCGACACGGAAATCTGACCAAGGATGCAGCGACACGGAAATCTGACCAAGGATGCAGCGACACGGAAATCTGACCAAGGAAGCAGCGACACGGAAATCTGACCAAGGATGCAGCGACACGGAAATCTGACCAAGGATGCAGCGACACGGAAATCTGACCAAGGATGCAGCGACACGGAAATCTGACCAAGGATGCAGCGACACGGAAATCTGACCAAGGATGCAGCGACACGGAAATCTGACCAAGGATGCAGCGACACGGAAATCTGACCAAGGATGCAGCGACACGGAAATCTGACAAAGGATGCAGCGACACGGAAATCTGACAAAGGATGCAGCGACACGGAAATCTGACCAAGGATGCAGCGACACGGAAATCTGACCAAGGATGCAGCGACACGGAAATCTGACCAAGGATGCAGCGACACGGAAATCTGACCAAGGATGCAGCGACACGGAAATCTGACCAAGGATGCAGCGACACGGAAATCTGACCAAGGATGCAGCGACACGGAAATCTGACCAAGGATGCAGCGACACGGAATTCTGACCAAGGATGCAGCGACACGGAAATCTGACCAAGGATGCAGCGACACGGAAATCTGACCAAGGATGCAGCGACACGGAAATCTGACCAAGGATGCAGCGACACGGAAATCTGACCAAGGATGCAGCGACACGGAAATCTGACCAAGGATGCAGCGACACGGAAATCTGACCAAGGATGGAGCGACACGGAAATCTGACCAAGGATGCAGCGACACGGAAATCTGACCAAGGATGCAGCGACACGGAAATCTGACAAAGGATGCAGCGACACGGAAATCTGACAAAGGATGCAGCGACACGGAAATCTGACCAAGGATGCAGCGACACGGAAATCTGACCAAGGATGCAGCGACACGGAAATCTGACAAAGGATGCAGCGACACGGAAATCTGACAAAGGATGCAGCGACACGGAAATCTGACAAAGGATGCAGCGACACGGAAATCTGACCAAGGATGCAGCGACACGGAAATCTGACCAAGGATGCAGCGACACGGAAATCTGACCAAGGATGCAGCGACACGGAAATCTGACCAAGGATGCAGCGACACGGAAATCTGACCAAGGATGCAGCGACACGGAAATCTGACCAAGGATGCAGCGACACGGAAATCTGACCAAGGATGCAGCGACACGGAAATCTGACCAAGGATGCAGCGACACGGAAATCTGACCAAGGATGCAGCGACACGGAAATCTGACCAAGGAAGCAGCGACACGGAAATCTGACCAAGGATGCAGCGACACGGAAATCTGACCAAGGATGCAGCGACACGGAAATCTGACCAAGGATGCAGCGACACGGAAATCTGACCAAGGATGCAGCGACACGGAAATCTGACCAAGGATGCAGCGACACGGAAATCTGACCAAGGATGCAGCGACACGGAAATCTGACCAAGGATGCAGCGACACGGAAATCTGACAAAGGATGCAGCGACACGGAAATCTGACAAAGGATGCAGCGACACGGAAATCTGACCAAGGATGCAGCGACACGGAAATCTGACCAAGGATGCAGCGACACGGAAATCTGACCAAGGATGCAGCGACACGGAAATCTGACCAAGGATGCAGCGACACGGAAATCTGACCAAGGATGCAGCGACACGGAAATCTGACCAAGGATGCAGCGACACGGAAATCTGACCAAGGATGCAGCGACACGGAATTCTGACCAAGGATGCAGCGACACGGAAATCTGACCAAGGATGCAGCGACACGGAAATCTGACCAAGGATGCAGCGACACGGAAATCTGACCAAGGATGCAGCGACACGGAAATCTGACCAAGGATGCAGCGACACGGAAATCTGACCAAGGATGCAGCGACACGGAAATCTGACCAAGGATGGAGCGACACGGAAATCTGACCAAGGATGCAGCGACACGGAAATCTGACCAAGGATGCAGCGACACGGAAATCTGACCAAGGATGCAGCGACACGGAAATCTGACCAAGGATGCAGCGACACGGAAATCTGACCAAGGATGCAGCGACACGGAAATCTGACCAAGGATGCAGCGACACGGAAATCTGACCAAGGATGCAGCGACACGGAAATCTGACCAAGGATGCAGCGACACGGAAATCTGACCAAGGATGCAGCGACACGGAATTCTGACCAAGGATGCAGCGACACGGAAATCTGACCAAGGATGCAGCGACACGGAAATCTGACCAAGGATGCAGCGACACGGAAATCTGACCAAGGATGCAGCGACACGGAAATCTGACCAAGGATGCAGCGACACGGAAATCTGACCAAGGATGCAGCGACACGGAAATCTGACCAAGGATGCAGCGACACGGAAATCTGACCAAGGATGCAGCGACACGGAAATCTGACCAAGGATGCAGCGACACGGAAATCTGACCAAGGATGCAGCGACACGGAAATCTGACCAAGGATGCAGCGACACGGAAATCTGACCAAGGATGCAGCGACACGGAAATCTGACCAAGGATGCAGCGACACGGAAATCTGACCAAGGATGCAGCGACACGGAAATCTGACCAAGGATGCAACGACACGGAAATCTGACCAAGGATGCAGCGACACGGAAATCTGACCAAGGATGCAGCGACACGGAAATCTGACCAAGGATGCAGCGACACGGAAATCTGACCAAGGATGCAGCGACACGGAAATCTGACAAAGGATGCAGCGACACGGAAATCTGACAAAGGATGCAGCGACACGGAAATCTGACAAAGGATGCAGCGACACGGAAAGAACGAGTGGCGAGAGGAGGAGGTAGTGGCAATGACGGCGAAGGCGAGCAATGAAAGAACGAGTGCAAACAAGAGCGTGAAAATATCAACAGAAGGGAGATCTCTTAGCCGTATTCAGGAGGGGTCGAAGCTGCATGCACGCGCGCTCGCCAGCAGCGGCACTTCTCCCTCTTCGCTTCGCCGTTCCTCCACAGGCGAGCAGTGATCAGCAGGGCAGCAGTGGTGCCTGCCGTGCGTCATCCCCCTGCCGCCATCCCACAGGTGCAGTGCAGCAGCCTCCGCCCCTCCAGCAGTGCGCACAGGTGCAGTGCAGCACCCATCCATCCTCCTCCACCCACCCATCGCTCCACTCCACCTCGCCTGCTCCTCGCCTCCTCCTCCGCGCCTTGCCTGCGAGCGCGTGGTCAGCAGGGCGGGTAGGAGGCAGCCACACGCCTGTGACTGCCGGCCGTGCGTCATCCCAACACGCTCGCGTCCACCACGTGCCGTCCACCTCAGCCACACGCCCACACGCTTGCATGCGCTTGCGTTGAGTGCGCTGCATGGAACAACAAGCAAGGAAGCGAACGGAGCGAAGAAAGAAGAGACAACAGCAACAAGGAAAGGCGGGAACACGACGAGCGACATACCGTGAGTGTGGGGCGCAGTCGGCAGCAAGGCGGGGTCTTGTTAGTCCCGAAGGTGGCGCGTTGAAGGTGCTGCAGCAACGCACGAGCGCGTACCCACGCCCGTGCACACACCTTGCTGCAAGCATGCACTCACCAGTCGAGCTCGCCCCTGCCGTTGCCGCGTGTGCCTCACACGCTCGGGCCTCTGCCCGCTTGCCTCAGGGCACTGCCCCTAGCTAGCCAATGTCCAAACCAATGTCCAAACCAATGTCCAAACCAATGTCCAAACCAATGTCCAAACCAATGTCCAAATCAATGTCCAAACCAATGTCCAAACCAATGGCCCAATGTCCAAACCAATGTCCAAACCAATGGCCCAATGTCCAAACCAATGTCCAAACCAATGGCCCAATGTCCAAACCAATGTCCAAACCAATGGCTCAATGTCCAAACCAATGGCTCAATGTCCAATCCAATGGCTCAATGTCCAAACCAATGGCTAAATGTCCAAACTAATGTCCAAACCAATGGCTCAATGTCCAAACTAATGTCCAACCAATGGCTCAATGTCCAAACTAATGTCCAACCAATGGCTCAATGTCCAAACTAATGTCCAACCAATGGCTCAATGTCCAAACTAATGTCCAAACCAATGGCTCAATGTCCAATGTCTGCTGCTGCTGCTGCTGGGAGGCGCATGCAGGGACAGCGGTGGTCAGCAGGGCACGCCCAGGCCGTGCGTCATCCCACCGCCCCGTAGCTACCTCTGCCTCCTCGCCTCAAGTGCGTGGGCGACCTGCACAAGTGACAGAGCACAGCATCAGTCCCTGGCTGTTCGGATCTGACAAAAACAGGAAAAAAGGACGCGTTTCAATGCACCAGGGCGGAACGAGTGGTGGAGGGCAACTTACATGGTGAATGGCAGAGGAGCCCCGCCAGTCAGTGATTCTGGCACCTCCTCTCCTCTGCACCTCCTCTCCTCTGCACCTCCTCTCCTCTGCACCTCCTCTGCAGCTCCTGGCCTCCCCACGCCCATGCGTTGTGCCCCAGTGTCACCTTAGCCCTGTGCCTCTGCAAGGACGGGGAGGGGAGCACGTGGAGACAAGGAGGTGAGCCAGCGCACGAGAAAAGCGATAGTGACAATGAACCAGCCAGGGCAATGAAGCGAAAGGGCATTGCTTCAAAAGAAAACAAGGCGGTGAGAGCAAAACGCACATAAGCTGGGCGGGTAGGGAACTCACATAAGCTGGGTCGCAGGTGGGAGAGGGAGGCCATCCGACAGGTGCAGTACAGCAGCCTCCGCCCCTCCAGGTGCACTCGGCACGGCAGTGCTCCCAGCAACAGGTGAGCAGTGATGAGCAGGGCAGCAGCAGTGGTGCCTGCCGTGCGTCATCCCACTGCCGCCATCCCACAGGTACAGCAGTCTCCTGGCCTCCCCACGCCCATGCGTTGTGCTCCAGTGTCACCTCAGCACCGCGCCTCTGCAAGGACAGGGAGGGGAGCACGTGGAGACAAGGAGGTGAGCCAGCGCACGAGAATGAAAGAGAAAGGGACAATGGACCGGCCAGGGCAGAGAATATCCGTGGCATTACTTCAAAGGAAAACAAGGCGGTGAGAGCAGGTGGGAGAGGGTGGCAGGGCCGACCAGGGTGTGGGGTGGTGAAGGAGAAAACACACATAAGCTGGGCGGGTACGGAACTCACATAAGTTGGGTCGCAAGTGGGAGAAGGAGGCAGGTTCGCCCACGCCTCGCCTCCTCGCCAGCAGCCCCTTGCCTCCTTGTCGCCCCCTCGCCTCCTCAGCTGCGCAAGTCAGCACCTTCACCTCCTCGCGTCATCGCGTCGCATCCTCACCAACAGCGTTGCCTCCTGGCCTTGCTGCTGCCGGTGTGGGGAGGGCAGGCAGGCACACTCTGCCTTGCTGCTTGCCGTGTGCACTGAAAAGGGTGGAAAGAGATGGGGGAGAGGAACAAAGGAACCAAGGAAAGAATAAAACAACGGACGGTGGCAACGTATTGAAGGTGCTAAAAGAAAACCAGATTCACCGTCCAATACTGAAGGTGCCAAAAAACAGATTCAGCTTCCAATACTGAAGGTGCTAAAAGAAAACAGATTCAGCTTCCAATATTGAAGGTGCTTAAAAACAGATTCAGCTAACGTAGGGAACGCAACGAAGGGAAGGCAACTCACAAGTTCCTCCGGTGCGGCAGCAGTGGCGCCATTCCTCCTCGCCTCAGTCGTTCGGCAGCAGCCGTTGGCAAGCAGTCGTTCGGCAGGAGTCGTTCGGCAGCAGCCGTTGGGCAGCAGTGCTCAGGAGAAGCGGTCCAGTGATCTCTGTAGTGAAAGAAAGAAAGGAAAAACAAAACAAAATTATTAGCACAAACGGAAATATGAAAGACGGACGATCAGCAACGGAAGCCAGAAGAGCAAATCAGGAAACGATAGCGCGAAAGAAACGGATCAAGGCAAGTATAAGGATTCAGGTAGCCCACCGTTGGCCGCGGCGTCGCCGCTACGGACGTGGAACGACACTCCCACCACGACTTGAAATTCGAGGAGAGGCGCCTCGCCCGAGGAGAGAAGGCACCTCGTGTAAGAGCGCGCTGTACTCCGAATTGATCGCGTAAGAGCGCGCTGCAGCGAAAGAAAAAAAACAGATTATTAGCACAGACGGAAAAATGAAGCGGGCGATTAGCAAGCCAATGAACACAACGGAAGCCCGAAGAGCAAATCAGAGCGAAACAAAACGGAATACGGCAAGCATAGAGATTCAGGTAACCCACCGTTGGCCGCGGCGGCGAAAGCCATCCCACCAGAGCCGTCGCTGCCTCCCCCTCGCTGCCTCCCCCTCGCTGCCTCCCCCTTGCTGCCTCCCCCTCGCTGCCTCCCCCTCGCTGCCTCCCCCTTGCTGCCTCCCCCTCGCTGCCTCCCCCTTGCTGCCTCCCCCTCGCTGCCTCCCCCTTGCTGCCTCCCCCTCGCTGCCTCCCCCTCGCTGCCTCCCCCTTGCTGCCTCCCCCTCGCTGCCTCCCCCTTGCTGCCTCCCCCTCGCTGCCTCGCCCGTCGCTGCTTCCCCCTTGCTGCCTCGCCCGTCGCTGCTTCCCCGTCGCTGCTGCCCCCCACGTATGGCGTGTGCCGGCCTGTAGGCGTGCAAGCAGAGGATGTGGGCTGGAGGAGAGGGCGGGCAAATGATTAGTAAGAGATATGGAAAACTGACAAGCATACATGTAAGCAACGAAAAATGCAAGACGATTAAAGCTGGAAAGCACGCATCAGGTGAAGGTGGTGTGAGTGGCAGTGACAGTGCAGCGGAGTGAGTGACAGTGCCAGCGGCAGCGGCAGCGGCAGCAGCAGCGGCAGCGGCAGCGGCAGCGCAGGCGGGGTGGTGGGTGGCAGCTGCAGGGCGGGCACCAAAGGACCGTACCGTACCTGAACACACCTACTTACGCATGATGCCGCCGTTACCTGAACACACCTGGGGAATGGTCCAATGGTGGCGCCGGTGCGAGCTGGAGGAGGAGGAACGAGTGGCGCGAGGAGGAGGAGGCGGCTATGAGGGCGGAAGCGAGCAAGTGCGAATGAGTGCCAACAAGTGCGTGAATAATCGAGATATCTTAGCCTTATTTCAACAGGCAGGGGTCGAGGCGGCGGCGCCCGTTCCTCCTCGCCTCAGCCGTCGCTCCGTCCGCCTCTGTCCTCCTCGCCGCTACCGCAGTTTGCTTCTCGACAGCTCCCTTGAGTGCAACTCACAAGTCGCCAGCTCCCTTGAGTGCAACTCACAAGTCGTACAGCAGCAGTCGTACAGCAGCAGTCGTAGAGCAGCAGTCATTCAGCAGCAGTCGTTCAGCAGCAGTCGTACAGCAGCAGTCATTCAGCAGCAGTCGTTCAGCAGCAGTCGTTCAGCAGCAGTCGTTCAGCAGCACGCAGCAAAGCCGTTTCCTCACCCTCAGGTGCAGCAGTCGTTTCCTTGGCCTCAGGTGCAGCAGGTGCAGTAGTCGCTTCCTCAGGCTCAGCCTCAGGTGCAGTAGGAGCAGCAGGCCTTGGACCTGCACAGGTCAAACAGGACAGCATTAGTACCTGAACATTCACTGAATGCTAACAAAATAGAAGAAAATGAAGAAACATCACTCAAGGTTTCAATATGCAATGTGATGAAACATTGCCTCAACTTACCATGGAGGAATTCCTCGTAAAAAAATCACGAGCTTCGTATGAACGACGTCCGTTCATCAGCTGCGCCTCCTCGCCAGCAGCGTCCTTTTTGCACATGCTCGCACGCAGCAAGTCACCGTCCCGCACACGGTCGCACGCAGCAAGTCGCCGTCGCGCACACGGTCGCACGCAGAAAGTCGCCGTCGCGCACACGGTCGCACGCAGCAAGTCGCCGTCCCGCACACGATCGCGCGCAGCAAGTCGCCGTCCCGCGCACGGTCGCACGCAGCTCGTCGCCGTCCCGCACACGGTCGCACGCAGGTCGTCGCCGTCCCGCACACGGTCGCAAGCAGCAAGTCGCCGTCGCGCACACGGTCGCACGCAGCAAGTCGCCGTCCCGTACACGGTCGCACGAAGCAAGTCGCCGTCGCGCACACGGTCGCACGCAGCAAGTCGCCGTCGCGCACACGGTCGCACGCAGCAAGTCGCCGTCCCGTACACGGTCGCACGCAGCAAGTCGCCGTCCCGTACACGGTCGCACGCAGCAAGTCGCAGTCCCGTACACGGTCGCACGCAGCAAGTCGCCGTTTCGCACACGGTTGCGTCGCATTTACGCTCTCTGATTCCGCTCGTCGCATTTACGCTCTCTGATTCCGCTTCTCGCATACCCGCTCTCTGATTCCGCTCTTCGCTTCTCCGAGGTTGATGCTCGTCGGTCATCGCCTTTCGCCTCCTCGTCAGCAAAGTCGCCTTTCGTTAACAGCTCGTCGCTCGCCGGCTTCATCACATGACACGAATAAGAAGACAGATCCGTGAAATCTCCGTGATATAATTTGTCAATGATGCCACGAAATTTGTCAACTAGGGCCGCTTCCTAACGTGTTTGACCGATGGAAACCGCGTCATACGAACACTGAACGAAAAATGTATGCGTTAATACAGGTCCTCGCTTAGGTTACGAATGGGGCGTGTAGAACGCCTTTTTCGTAATTCTTTCAAATTTCTAATACAGCTTGTTTCTTACGATAGATGGCAGCAGGAAAACCTTTCCTCCAAGCCACTGATAGATCACTCATCTCCAGCTAGGATGAACGAACTACTCCGCAACATGGTCGCTTTGAGTATGGCTGATACTAATATTTTCGATCACGATACCAATCTTGAGATAATATGATAGGATCTAGAGCATTACTACCACTTAGTTTGGAAGATTCCGTCGCACGCGCGGATGGGACGCGCGTAGGTGCAGTGCACATGGTCGGAGTGCGAACACGGATTTTATAATGTTGGAAGTACATTCCTAGAACGGGAAGACATTGAAACTCCAGTAAGATAACGTAACATGAAACGATCAGCTCAAAATCGCTGTCAGATGCTGTATCCGACCCACTTACAGTCAATCCTTCCGACGCACAGAAGAGGAGGCACAAACTGCAACCCACAGTGAGCGGGCGAACTAAACTAGCTATAGGGTAAAGAATGCACATAGTCTCGCAATATGTCCACGGAGCGAGCCTTGGTAAAGACCATTAGTCGTCCAAACTTCTTACTCAACCGCCCTCGACTGAGCGTTGCGAATTATTTGGAAAAGAGCTGCACAGCCCAAGAAGAAACAAAATCAGAGTCTTATTCCATTGTTGAGTCAAGTTCAATTCGTTTGCGTGTTCGTTAGCAACCAAACACTTACACGAGCCGATGACAACGAAGATGAAGAAACCGAGAACCCAGACGCTGACCGGGAACTTCTCACTCCGTTTCGTGACACTGTCAGGCACGTTTCCTCGTTTCGTAATGTTCTTGTGAAAAGCAGAGTTCTTCTTCTCAGCCAATCGCTTGGAGGTCGTCTGCAAGACCAAAGTGCACGCTCGTTGTCAGAATCTAACCAGAGAAGTCAAACGATCAAGAACACGCAAGAAGCCTCTAAGAATTAGGCAGGAATCGAAGTACTAACCATTCTGCACGTATCGTTGACAACCTGAGGAGGCAAACGGACTCCAAGCTAACAGGAAAGGCTGAAAGAAACGGCTTGAGAAACTGGAAACTGGTCAGCTGAATGAAACTACAGCTGTAGGGGATTCCAGCTTTATGAAAGGGAATTCATCCCACCCTCGCTGGATCAGACTGCGCCTTGCTTCTGCTCCGACCATTGAAGCGCAGCAGCTGAGAAGCAGGTTCGACTTGGCGGGAAGGTCCGCTCACCTACCACTTCAACCAACCACCACCGCTGCAAGGCTCGGCCTTGGCTCTGGCGGAGCTAGGGTGTGACTAACGCGTCCGAGGTTCAAGGGCAGGACGAACGTATGCGAGGGGTTCGGGCTACCCAACGATCAGGAATGATGCAAATGGCTTCGAGCGATTCGTCAAACCTTCCAGAACGCGTTTGTGCGACGGAACCAGTCTTCGTCGCGCGTGCAGGACCTGACGGTTTCGGCAAATCACTGGTCAAATGGTTTCGACTGCCGAATCTCACTACAAATACAACAAAACACACCGATATAGTGGTTGTGAGCAAATGAAATATGGGTTGAGCTTATAACAGTCGTATGGCTTTGAAAAGGGATGTCATGAAACAAATGCACCTGGAAGTTCTCTAATACAACCATATTACCGTCCCAAATTACACGAAATATGTTAACACCAACAATACCGCCTTGCCTGCCAAACGAAAAAGGGTGTGAAAAAAGTGGTCATCTACAGCCCAATATATGCAATGGTACCAACTTGTGACGCTATCAGGAAAGTTTAGAAGCGGTCCTAGTTCCTCTCCACCGTAAACGATTTCACACAGAATCATTTGTATTTTTGTATTAATGATAGTTTCTGTTTGATTGGTGTTTTCTACAGTTGTAAGGAAAATTCCTTTTCCTTACTTCGCGTCCCCGCTTACCGCGTACATGCCCGTTCCCGCCATCGGCACCTGTCAAAGTAGGCTCATAACTCACACCTTAGTGACCTAGGGTTTAGCTAGGAAGGGTGAGTATCGAGAGAGTTGGTTGTCAAGCAAAAGAGGAATTGCATTAGAAAGTTGAGAGATTTATACAAGGAAAGCATAGGGAAGTGGTGCACCACCTACAAACAATGTAACACAGCAGTAACTATCGCTACAAGCAGTTTAAATATATATAATATATTTCGACACACCCCCAAACTGCTTGCAGTAGATAGTTAATGAAGGAACACCCCCTGAAGGGGTACACCAAGCAGAGTGCAGCGGAAGAAGAAGTAGTAGGCAAGACCAATGGTAACCGGTGCGGTAGATACTGCGGTGGCAGATGCACTTCACTCCAGCCACCCCCTCACCCTGTTCCCCCACAGTAGCAGGTGAGGCAGTAGAGGCGGCTGCTGCTGTAACACATCCGCCACCCCCTAACACTCACCCCCACAGCAGCAGGCGTGAGAGATTAGGAGGCGTGGCGGCAGCAGCTGCTGCTGAAACACATCCGCCCCCCTTCACACCCTCCCCCCCCCCTTACTGCTGCACGCGTAGCAGGGAGATGGAGAAGAAGGGGGGGGGGGGGGGGGGGTAGGAGCTGCGCGCGTGACTGGAGGGCGCACGGGCAGGCAGAAAACCGCCGCGCGCTCGGGGCGCGCGACGGGCAGGAACCGCCGCGCGCTCGGGGCGCACGACGGACAGGAACCGCCGCGCGCTCGGGGCGCGCGACGGGCAGGACCCGCCGTGCGCTCGGGGTGCACGACGGGCAGGAACCGTCGCGCGCCTTGGGCGCGCGACGGGCAGCAAGAAGGGCAGGGGCGCTGCATGACGGGCAGAGCGACGGTGGGCCCATGAGAAATCATTACGGAGGTCCATAGGATTCCGGCTCTAGATACAATGTCAAAGTAGGCTCATAACTCACACCTTAGTGACCTAGGTGTCAAATCATATATGCATGTTTAGGTTATCTAGGCTGTATGGGGGTTAGCACTAGGGGGTACAACATTTCTCTCGACATTCTTCTTGTACCCCCCCCTTGACCTAATCACACATTCCTTCCTAGTATTCTAACATGGTATTAAGAGCTAGGACGGTCCTAGCCTAGGACCGTAATTAAGGGCCCACCACATTCGTTTTCACCTGCCCGACCGTTAGTTTCTACCCTGCCCAGCGTTTCGCGCTGCCCTGCCCTTTTCTGCCGTGCGCAGCCCGTACAATCCGCGTAGGCCCGAGAACAGCCCGTACAGCCCGCATCAAGCCGTCGCGCAGCCCGTACAGCCCACGCCAGGCCCGCGCGCAGCCAGTACAGCCCGCGTAGGCCCGTCGCGAAGCCCGTACAGCCCGCGTAGGCCCGTCGCGAAGCCCGTACAGCCCGCGCCAGGCCCGCACGCAGCCCGTACAGCCCGCGCCAGGCCCGCACGCAGCTCGTACAGCCCGCGCCAGGCCCGCACGCAACTCGTACAGCCCGCGCCAGGCCCGCACGCTTCACGAGTGGTACGCTCAGAGTAGAGGGTCTTTGAGTACCGTTCGCTGCCCGTACGTCATTCGCACAGGTGATCAGGCTGGTCAGGCTTGCGAGACGCTTGGTCACACACAGTCCCGCTGCTTCGCCCGTCTGAGCGACGCCTGGCGTACCGAGTTTGGCGACGAGGCTGAGCTCCCCACCTGGCTGGAGCTGCTTAGGCAGAGGGTAGATATCTTTGCTCTTGACTATGATGCTATTCTCACTGCCATGTATGCATTGCCTACTAGTGCTGACGGTGCCTGTTACCTGTGCGTACCGCCTGACCCAGGTATAGAGCATGCTGCTCTAGGTGCTGGTGAGGGTGCTGCCCTAGGTGCTGGTGAGGCTGCTGCTCCAGGTGCTGGTGAGTCTGCTCTCTCAGGTACTGCGCCTGCTGAGGCCTTGTACACCTTCACACTTGACTCAGGTGCTTCCCGCTCCTTCTTTCGCGACAACACCACCCTCACGCCGCTCCGTCGGCCGGTTGCAGTCTCCCTGGCAGACCCCTCTGGGTGTCCAGTCCTTGCGCACTCCTCCACGGTCCTGCCGTGTCCGGCGGTCCCGTCGGGCTCCCTGTCAGGTCTTCACCTCCCCTCGTTCTCTACGAACTTGGTGGGTGGTGCTGACCTCCAGGACCAGTGGGTTGACCAGTTCACTCCTAGAGGTCAGCGAGTGACCCACTGTACGTGCTCCCGGACGGGCCGGCACCTGGCCACGTTTACTCGTGCGCCTGGCTCGAGTCTGTACACACTGACTACTGTGTCCCCTCAGGTCGCTGCGTCTGCGTCTGCGTCAGGTCAGCTAGCGGCCCCCTGCTCGTGTCGAGCTTTGTCGCACCAGACCCTCCTTTGGCACCACCGCCTTGGTCACCCCTCGGTGCAGCGCCTTCGTAGCATGCACCGCCGTTTCCTTGTCTCTGGACTTCCAGAGACTCTGCCTCCTCTACCACCCTCGCCTGCTCCTCCCTGTCTTCCCTGTGTCGAGGGGCGGCAGCACGCCGCTCCTCACTCCTCCTCGTTCCCTCCCACAGAGGCTCCCCTGCAGACTCTCCACCTGGACGTGTGGGGCCCAGCCCGCGTCCGTGGACAGGGCCACGAGCGGTACTTCCTGCTGGTCGTCGACGACTACACGCGTTACCCCACGGTCTTCCCCTTGCAGCGCAAGGGGGATGTCCCTGATGTTTTGATCCCCTGGATCCGCGCTGTTCGTCTCCAACTCCGCGAGCGGTTCCAGTCGGACTTTCCTGTCCTGCGTCTGCACTCTGACAGAGGTGGTGAGTTCTCCTTAGACCTCTTGGCAGCCTTCTGTGCGGAGCACGGCATCCGCCAGACGTTCACACTTCCGGCCTCTCCGCAGCAGAATGGGGTTGCTGAGCGCCGCATTGGCTTAGTCATTGAGGTCGCTCGTACCTCCATGATCCATGCGGCTGCCCCCCATTTTCTGTGGCCGTTTGCGGTCCGGTACGCCGCGCATCAGCTCAACCTCTGGCCCCGTGTCTCCTTGCCGGAGACCTTGCCCACACTGCTGTGGACGGGGAAGGTTGGCGATGCGTCGCGTTTCCGGGTCTGGGGTGCTCGTGCCTTTGTCCGCGATACCACCGCGGACAAGCTCTCCGCCCGCGTTGTTCCCTGTGTCTTCCTTGGCTTTGTCCCTGACGCGCCTGGTTGGCAGTTTTACCACCCCACCTCGCGCCGTGTCTTCCCCTCTCAGGACGTCACGTTCGACGAGTCGGTTCCCTTTTACCGTCTCTTCCCCTATCGCACTGCCCCTCTCCCCCCCCCGCCGCTCTTCCTCGCTCCAGGTGCTCCCCAGGTAGACCCCCTCCCCGCTCCCGGTCCTGCTCCTTCAGGTGTGTCTCAGGTAGACCCTCCTCCCTTGATTGCGCCGGTTGAGGTCACTGGTGACTCAGGTCCTACTGAGGGTGGTCCTGCTCGTGGTGCTGCTTCTGGGGGTGCTGAGCCTGGGGGTGCGGAGCCTGGGGGTGCTGAGCCTGGGGGTGCGGAGCCTGGAGGTGCGGAGACTGGAGGTGCTGAGCCTGGGCGTGAGGAGTCTGGGGGTGCTGAGCCTGGGGGTACTGAGTCTGGGGGTGCTGCGCCTGGGGGCGCTGAGGCGTCTGGTGAGCAGTCTCCCTGGAGCGGCCGTCTTCGTAGTCGCTCCGCTGGTGCCTCGCCGCTGCACTCTCGTCGTCGACTCCCTCTCTCCCCACAGCAGCTGAGTGAGTGGTACGTTGGCCGTCAGGGTCGCGCTGCTGGAGCTAGGGGCCCTGCTGCGGGAGGCGCTGGAGCTGGTGACTCTGCTACTGGAGGTGCTGGCGCTGGTGGCGCTGGAGCGGGAGGTTCTGGAGCTGCTGAGGGTGTTGGCGCTGGGGGTTCTGGAGCTGCTGCGGGTGCTAGTGCTGGAGTTTCTGGAGCTGCTGCGGGTGCTGGCGCTGAGGGTTCTGAGTCTGCTGTTGCGCGGTCTCCTTGGAGTAGCCGCCTTCGTCCGCGTGTGCCTCTCACTTCACAGCAGCTGCACGACTGGTACGGTCGCCGTCAGGGTCGCGCTTCTGGAGCTCGGGGCTCTGCCGCTGGAGGTACTTCTGCTGACGTCACTGGAGCTGGGAGTGGTGCTGGTCCCGGATGTGCTCGTACTGGAGGTACTGGAGCTGCTGGGGCTGGAGGTGCTGAGCCTGAGGGTGCTGCTGCTGGAGACACTGAGGCTGGAGACCCTGGGACTGGAGGTGCCGGTTCCAGGGGTGCTGCTGCTGGTGGAGCTGGTCCTGGAGGAGCTGGCGCTGAGGGTTCTGGAGCTGCTGGAGGTGCTGAAGCTGCTGGTGCTGGTGGCACTGCACAGCTGCGCCTGTTCTTTGCTCCACCGTCTCCGTCGTCTCAGCCACCATCTGACTCTGTGCTTCGCCAGGTTCTTAGTCTCCCTTCGTCTACTGGTCTTCCGTTACAGCCTGGCTCACCGCTGCCTGCTTCTCCTTACACTGAGCAGAAAGGGGGTCTTACTGAGCATCGTGAGCTTGCGTCGCGTCCTGTCTCGCCTGTCGGTTCTGGTCGTTCCGGTCGTCGTGTTCCTCGTTCGCGTCAGCCGGCTGTCTTCGGCACCCACCTCGTAGTCCGTCGTCCTTCCTCTCCTCCGCAGCGTGTTCCCCTGCCGTCCCCTCCTGCGTCTTCTCTGCCTACCGTTCCTGAGCCTGAGTCTGACCGGTTTCGTGCTGAGCACCCTACTGTCACGCGTCTGCTAGCCACAGTTGTCACTGACCCGTCGTTTGAGTCTGCTGCTGCGTCTGCCTTAGTCGCTGAGCTTGTTGACTTTGCTGCTGCCTGTCGTCTAGACTACGCCACTAGTCTTGTTTCTGAGTCTGAGTCTGTCTGTCCTCCGTCCGTCGGGGGTGAGTGTGCCCTTAGCACGGACGTCCTTGAGGACAGGCAGGAGGACCTTGAGTGTCTTGCAGCCGCTGCGCCTCATCTCGTGTCCATGCTGCTTGCCCCTGAGGGAGACCCGGATGCTCCAGACATCCCGACCCCGCGCTCTTACGCTGAGGCGATCGCGGGTGAGTACTCCTCTCAGTGGCAGACAGCCATGGACGCAGAGATGACATCCTGGAAGTCCACAGGCACATACGTCGACGAGGTTCCCCCTCCTGGGGCGAACATCGTCAGTGGCATGTGGATTTTCAGGGTGAAGCGGCCGCCAGGTTCTCCGCCTGTCTTCAAGGCTCGTTATGTTGCTCGAGGCTTCAGTCAGAGGGAGGGAGTCGACTTCTTCCAGACCTTAGCATCAACCCCGTGTCGTACGCGACGATCGTCATCGGCGTCGCCGTGTGCTGCCAGATCGTCGCACTTGTGTCGCTCGGCCCGTTCACGGACTACGGTCGCGGCAGGAAGCAGGTGCGTGGACATTGTTTCTTGAAAATGTGCAATTATTGAGTAGGGCGATTATTGCAGAGTCAAGAGACAGGTGTGTGCGTCGTGCCTCGGCCGTTCACTGAATGTGGCCGCGGCAAGAAGCAGGTGTGTGCGCGGGTGGAACGGTACAGTTGAGGTGAGCATGAAGGAGCAAGCATCAGGCAGATGCTAATCTCTAATTTCTCTTTCTCACCTTCCCCTCAGTCCTGAATGCTCGAGAGGCGCTCGCGTATCTTCCGTCTCCCTGCCATACTTCCTTCATCGCCAATCCCACTCCCTCCCCCTCTCCCATCCAGATGATTTCTACCCAGCCGGCCTGACATCCTCCTTGTCTCATCAATTCCCCTCTCCATCCCGCTCTCCATCCCCCTCCTTATCCCCCACTCCATCTCCAACCCCGCTCCTCCCCCTTCTCCCATTCAGATGCTCAAGGTGGGCACGTGGATGGGAGCAGCAGCCTGCACGGCCCTTCTCTTCATGCTCTCCCCGTCCCTCTGGCTGCTCGCGGGGCTCCTCGTCATCATCGCCAGCATCGGAAACGGCCTCGCCACAGTCAGCTACAACGGCTACCTGCCCCTCCTCGTGCACGCGTCCCCCGAAGTCCCAGCCAGTCTGGCTGATATCTTCCTTGTCTCATCATTCCCCTCTTTTACCCCAAACCCTCTCCAATTCCTCCTTCATCCATTCAGATGCTCAAGGTGGGCACGTGGATGGGAGCAGCAGCCTGCACAGCCCTCCTCTTCATGCTCACCCCGTCCCTCTGGCTGCTCGCCGGTCTCCTCGTCATCGTCGCCAGCATCGGCTACGGCCTCGCCACCGTCAGCTACAACGGCTACCTGCCCCTCCTCGTGCACGCCTCGCCCGAAGTACTCTCCGCAGAGGCCACGGCCGACCCGGAAGCAGTCGCAACCGCGCGGGAAGACGTGGAGAATTGGTACTCGCTCATCGGGCTAGCGGCGGGGTGTCTGGGTGATATACCGGTCACGCTCGTCGCGTTTGCGCTCACGCTGGTTTCCTCGGACGAGTCGGTTCAGATGCGCGTTGCCACCGCGTTTTGCGGCCTCTGCTGGATCCTCTTCGCGCTCCCCACTTTTCACTACCTCCGTGCCCGACCGGGACCCCCGCTCCCGCTTCCCCCTCCCCTCTCTGCGGGGAATCATGAGGCAGAGGGGGCAGGGGAAGGCAGGGATGGGGGCTGCTGCTCCGGCTGTAGCGGCGCTGGCTGCTACAGCTCGGGCGAGGCCTGCCAGGGTTGTCGCTACAGCTGCGGGTCTTGCTACAGCCGGGTGCGGTTCTTTTTCAGCATTGTGGGGGCGAGCTGGAAAGGCATGGGGGACACATTGGCCGACGCGTACCGGCACCACCGCAACGCTCTCGTCTTCATCGCATGCTACTTTGTGTATGCTGACGGCTTCTCCACTATCATCCAAGTGGGGGTAATCTTCGGGCAGCAGGATCTCTGCGTGCCGCCCGCAACGCTCGCCATCCTCGCCACCTCAGTTTCCTTCTGGGCGGCAGCCGGCATGCCGGTTCTCTACCTCATACAGAGACGAACCAAGTGGAGCAACAAGACAATGGCGATGATTGCTCTGGGCGGCATGCTACCCCTGCCGATCTGGGGCCTCATCGGCTACTTCACAGATAGCTTCGGGTTGAAGCACACGTGGGAGTTATTCGCTTACGTGGGGTGGTTCGGCCTGTGTCTCGGCCCGCTGCTGTCGTACTCGCGTACGCTGTATGTGGACCTGATGCCGTCGGGCAAGGAGGGGGCGTTCTTTGCCATCTACACCATCAGTGACAATGGCAGCTCGTCCTTCGGCCCGTTCGTCGTCGCCATCATCGCTCAGGTGCGGTGCTCGCTTCACTCGCTATGGCTTTGTCTGCTCCTTGCCATGCAGTCCGGTCATTTGTGCTTGGCCACATGAGCTGGTTGATGAGCTGGGCTGGAAGCATATCCACATAAGACCTGGGAGCCAACGTGGTGTAGAGCCCACCCACATGTTGGTGCGATCTCCATCCATCCCTGCCGTCTGTCTTGTTCACTACCTCAGTCCCAGCCATCTCCATTGCGATCCGTCACTGATTATTTTGCCCTCCCTTTGTCCCCAACCCTGCCACCCTCTCTCCATCCTGCAGGTTTCTGGCACGATTCGGCCCACCTTTGTGTACATATTCCTGGTCATGTTCATACCCCTTATAGTCGTCATCTTTTGCCTCGACCACAAGCAAGGCATAGAAGATGCCGGCCGCAACAAGCTCACAACAACAGTGAAGACATTGGAGGACGGCGAGGAGGCTCCTGCAGCATGTGGGGAGGGAGGATCGGAGCTTCACTCTGCTGGTGCTCAATCCAGTCACAGTGGCAGTAGAAGAGATGATGCAGGGTAGGAAGGACATCCCATGCCACAGCTAGTGACATGACATGTACCCTCCTATTGTACAACTAAATTCAATATACAGTGTCTACCCACCAACCTGACACAACACTTGTTGGAGTTTAATTAGATGCAGCAGGGGTGGTGCAGTTTCTTTTGAGAAGGCATGGGTTGAACATGGGAGGCCAATTATCTTTGCACCCCCCTGGAAATGACATTGAAGATTGGACTGTCAGTGAAGGGTTTAGTAGTAACCTAGCATACAAGTGCTTGACAGCACTATGGTATGTTCCCTACATGGGCACAGGCCCTTAGGCATACTCAGGAATCGATACTGGATAATAATAAGATTTTTCCTGGATCCATTCCCAGTCCCACCTCCCCTCCCCCCCTTTCTCCCGCCAATCACTCCAAACGGCCTCCCTCACAACCCATCTTCTAATTCCCACATCCCCACAACAGCCAACCACTGTCCATTCGTCTGAACCCCATCTTATGGATAAACCAATCCCGATCGCCTCAGATGAGCGCCTCGAGAGGCTTGCCATCGTCGAAGCACCCGATGAGTCCCGCCAGGAACTCCGCATCCGCCAACGTATCCGCGTCCTTCACACCCATCTCCTTCACACCTGTCAACCCCGCACCCATCGCACGCGCCCGCGCCAACCCATCATTCCCCGCGTTCGCTCCGTTTGCTCCGTGCGCCACCACAGCCGCGTCCGCCGCGACTCCCTCCGCATGCGACGGCAGCGCGGACGCGCCCGTGATCGCGCTGGGCGAGTGCACGCCCTCCTCTTCCAACTCTTCAAAACTCGTCGGAGCCACTAGTCTCGCGCGCTTGTTCCCCGCGCCTTCCGCCGACGGCTCCGTCACCTCCCGCTTCCCCGCCTGGCCAACCTTGAGCGCGAAGTCCGCGCTCATGCCCGCATCCGCCGCAGCGTCAGTCGGTTTGTTCGCAACGGGGACGCCAGCGCGGGTGAGCGCGTCGCGTAGCCGTTTGAGTTCGTTCTGCAGGCGGTCGTTGCTCTCTTGGTATTGCCGAATGTGGTCTGACGCCTCGTTAAGGCGCCGCGTGACGGCCGCGTTCTCGACGCGCAGTTTCGCGCTTTGGATCTCCAGCTCCTCGAGTCGCTCCTGCTTCCGTTGCCGAGACCGCTTCGCCGACGCGCGGTTCGACATCATCCTGCGACGAAACGGACGACGGAGAAGCAAGGCAGAAACCCGTTAATCCAATGCCAAAACTGGAACACAACGTCCTATCGACGGAACAAAACGTAAGAGTTGACATGACAACGATAAAATCACCAGAAACGGTCTCACGCCTACGGCTGGAGGTGCTACGCGATACAAAACAGCCGATCCCCCCGACGCCTCACCTCTTATGCTTCTTCGGGTCGAGGTCTGCGAGCTCCTCCGCCGTCAAGCCGTCCGTGCTCATCGCGCCCATGTCGCCCGCGTGGAAATCCATCTCCTGCGGCAGCCCGCACGGGATTCCCTGCGCCATGCCCTGCGCCATGCCCTGCGCCATGCCTTGCGACATGTACCCCAGCGGGCCCTTCGCCGCCAAAATCGGGGAAGGCGCCGACATGCCGTGCGCGGCGTGCGGCGGCCAGCTCATCGAAAACATCTGCTGCGCGGACGGCGTGTGCGCGGTTGGGGGTTGCATTTGCGGCGGTTTGGGGAGGGCGGGTTGGGCGTGCTGCGGGAGCAGCCACTGCGCTTGAAGCGGTTGGCGGGTTTGCATGGCGGTCATTTGCGATGGGTCTGCTGACATCATGCCGTACATTCCGGCGTTACCGCCAAATAACCTGAAACAGGGAGAACGAGGGGAGAGCAGCGGGGACTAAGCGCTTAGTGTCAAATACTGCGACGCGAAGCTGGGGCTTCCTGGCGCGGTTCACACCAGGATTAAGGTTGAAATAAATAAATCAGGAGGACTCAGGACATGTAGCTGTAAGCTCGTAACGCTTACCAACCGCCAGGAGCAGTCATAGGATTCCAGTTCCAAGCACCGCCGTACGCAGCAGCGGCATCGTCAATTTGCTGAGCCCGCCACCTGGCGTCGAGTTCTTCCTCCGCCTCGGACTGAGCCGCGCCGGGAATTACATCAGGCGGCCGACACATGGTGGCTGACGGTAAAAAGGCCGGCAACGATAGAAATGGCGGTACGGACGCGGCCTTACGAGTGTTCTGAAGGTTTAACTTATGCTATGATACTAAGATCTTGGTCGGACCCTTCCTGACTTGTTGGAGGTTATGACTAGGTGATGCGATTGAACACTGGGCCAACAGGACGAAAGTAGAAGATTCACGGCGAAAATTGAAGGCAAGGCAAGTATATCCAGCAAAGCAGCCAGCGATTGTGAAAATAAGACAGCGATGCAGAGAGAGCCGTGGGGAAATGTAGGACGAGGTGGAGGTGAGGCCGAGAGAAAGCCAAGAAAGGCGAGGGACGTGGAGGAAACGGAGGGCTCAGCGCAAGCTTGCGAAACACGCGTGTGGGGGGAGGTTTTGTTGGGGGGGGCTGCGGGCAGCGGGGGATGGTGCGGTGGGGCGGGGAGTCATGGAAGGGGAAGGGGAGGGGAGGGGGAACCACTCGGAGATGGATGGGATAGGGGACCACTTTTGGGGCGAAAGGGAAGAGGGAGAGCGGGGTGTACAGTGTTGTCAAGTTGTGAGCTCTCCAATCCATGACCTCGTGCGCGCGTGGTGTGGATCAACATGTGCGCTGCGCGTCCCCAACTGGGTCGGAAAATGACCTGGAAATTGCCTGCAATCACGGGCAATGCTGACGCGCGTGGCATGATGAAAATGCCAGCAGCACAGCCCTAGTCCTTCGGGGAAGCGGGCGCCCTCATCGAGACAGCCTGGCGCGCAGCGGACCAGTCTCGGGAGGACGCGCAATCTGCCGCCTTGCCTTCGGGCATGTTTTGAAGATCGTAAGCGCCACTGGCACATCACTATGGCGAATCTAGGCTAGCTGGCTTGGTGTCACCCCGCTGCTCATATCGTCGCCCCGCTGCTCGCTATCGTCGCCGCACCGCTCGCTATCGTCGCCCCGCTGCTCATATGCGACCACCGATATCTAGCTATCGTCGCCCCGCTGCTCGCCACCGTCGCACCCATTCCTGCCTGTCGCTACCGTTGCGCCTTTGCTACCGCAGATACGTGAGGAATGGAGGGGCGGGAGAGGAATAAGGACGGCAACGGAGGAAAACGAGCGCAATGCGCTTCGAATACGACAAAAAGGTGTTTACGAGGTACGAAATTGCGCAGATATTCGTGAGCACATCATTAGACCATGAAACGCGAGAAATCTTAGCGGAAATGGCTCTGCGTAGCTCGGAAAACGCACTTCAAGTTAGTAAGAACCTAGTTCAAGCGTGAAAGTTTGCCAAGTTTGAGTTGTTTTGAGTTCAAGTTTGAATTTTCAAGTTTGCTGCATGCGCTCCCCCTCAACTCGTTGAGCGGAGCTTTTCCCCGAGCCCTCCCCCGTTTCCCCCCCACACACATCATACTGCGAAGGACTTTTCCGCACGCCCTTCCCCCGCTGGCAGAAACCTCTCCCTGCTCGCTTTCCTGTGTATACTGGGTTACGCGGCTTTCAAACTATAATAGTTTGAACTGGAGCCCGGATATCTGCACCGCGGCTTTAAATCTGTTCCCCCGAATTCTTCAGTTTCATATTGCATACTGTTGCTGACACCCAAATGGTTTGTGTTCCGTTTTCTGAAACACGTGCCAGAGAAGCACACTACAGTGTACAGTATCCCAGTTCAAAGGAATAGTGCACGAACGGTCAGTCGAAATGTGCTCCAGAAATCACGTGGATTCGGAGATTGTTATCCGAGGCTCTAATTTTAATCCATGCCTCACTCCGATTGGTTGCGACCCTGACGTGGATTTGTGCGCTGGAAAAGCACCATCACATTATGATGCGGCTTGTCTGTACACCAACGATATGTCCAACCAGAATAACCAGCCAGCGGAACGGTCAGCCGCTGGACCTGTGCCCCCAAATAGTTAGGGCGAGTTTGGTCGGAAGGTCACATGCAGAAGTTTTGAAGTTTGTGAAATGAGCCAGTGACCTTTGCTCCAGTTCGCAACTCCCGTTCGAAACGAGACTGCAACCTGGCTCGCGTTTCTGATGACCCCTTGATTTCAGAATTAACGGATTTATGTACTCAAAAGATGGAAAGTTGATCACAGTAAACCTCGCTAAAGCCATTCTCACTGTGAACGATCGTGAATCGTTGGGTTCTGGTCCCAATGAGCTATGCATACATGACATTGAGGCAAAATTATTCATGCCTTTAGACTGACGTGTATTCTGGTTCAGGAGCTATTTACACCGCATAGCGGAGCATGATGCAACGCACCACTCGTTCCCCATGAATCTCCACAGCCTTGGGATTGTCAGTTGTCTCTACTTCGGCCCTGTTCGATAGCAAAATGCAAAAATGCTCCCACCATTGTCCTCGCCCAATGGTGGGAGCATAACGACAAACCTCAAGTGGCGCGTCATCGCCGGCAGAGTCATCATTGGGTCCGCCTCCCTGCCGGCTTCGGTTTACAGGGTCCAACGGTCGAATTGGTCGGAAACCTGGCCTCAACGGCCAATTGATGTAGAAACCGTGGGACTCTGATGGTCCCATAGGGTTCCCCACGTTGACCAAAGGTCTGCAAAAAAAAGATAACGCTCGAGTCGGAAAAAAAAAAGGGCCACCCTGTGACAGACCGAACATGGGTGAGCGTGAGAGATGAGCAGAAGTTTCGAGCGTGGGTTGGGTTGCATTTTTTTACACTACATTTGGGCAGCGTTCCAAGGGGAAACCAGTCGTTTAGACTATCCCTAAATAGCCCCTCTGTGTGGATTGGTGTCGACTTATCTCAAAAGTAGAAGTGGCAATGGTGACCACACGGTGTGGAGTTTTACCAGAGAAGCGGTGTGATGATGGGCTAATCATTGGGCGTGGGTCACTGTTCCCGTTCTTTTTGAAGTCTCCCACCATTGTCAATCTTCCCTCCCTTTTTTTGAGACCTGGCGGGAAACCGGTGTCATCGCAAGGGTTTCGTTCCCGCTGGAGGGAAGTTAGACTCGTCGCAAGGAGTCGTAGAGCTTTTCCCGCCCATTTTCCCCCACCATTGTCGAATTTTTGAAGACTGGTTCACCCTGCTATCGAACAGGGCCTTCATTCCCTGTCAGACTGACGCTACTACTTGAATACAGGCACATGTTCTGAAGAATTTGGTCTTTAAAGCAGGAGTATACATTTGGCAGCACTGTTGCTTCTGTACGGTAATTCTGGATGTGTCCTTTAACGAAAATAAAAACAGAATTGCGAGAGTGTTGGCGAAAAACTGAAGCGCTTCTGCGAGGGAACAAGGGTTGGGTAGGTTGTCAGTCACAAAATGGGAAAGGCCTCCCGTCACCTAACTCACTTTCCACCTCACACACCACGGAGAATAAGCAACTATAGCTAATAGATTAGGTACAAACAACCAGGCGCGGGCCTTTCGATGCTAGACCAGAAGCGCGGAGAATAAGCTTCTAATACGCTGTCATTCCGCTAGCGCCACTTGCGCCAGCTACGCTGCCATTCCGCGCGCGGCACTTGCGCGCGCTAGGCTGGCATTCCGCGCGCGCTAACAGGGGCGCTCAGCAGAGCTGCGTGCGCCAGCAAAAGGGACGCATCCCAGCGGCACGCGCGTGCATAGCGCGCGCCACAGCACAGCGAGCGTATGTGACGCTTAGACTCGCTGGCAAACATCACGCGGTTGTAGGCACGCGAGCGCCAGCGAAATGCTATCCAGAAGCGCGCGCGTGCCAGCCATCCTACTGCAGCCACCAGTAACGCGCTGCTCGCCCCACGCGCTGCTCGCCCCATGGATTTCTCCAATACACGAAATGCGTGGGAAGGCCTCGTCCACTCGCTTGAATTCATTCCGCCCCCCCGCTTGAACTCATCTCCCCCGTTTCCTCTGAGCATGCACCCATTTCGCACCCCCCTTTGCTTTCCCTCCTACTCCCCTCCCCCTGTATCCCCTCTTTTCCCACCCTTAATTCCCCTGCGTCCCCTCCTTTCCCCCCCTGCATCCCCTACTTTTCCCCCCTTGCTTCCCCTCCTTTCCCCTCCTTGCTTCCCATGCTTTCCCCCCTGCGTCCCCTCCTTACCCCCCCCTGCGTCCCCTCCTTTCCCCCTCTGCTTCCCTTCCGTTCCCCCCCTGCATCCCCTACTTTCCCCCTCTGCTTCCCTTCCGTTCCCTCCTGCTGCTGCTGCTGCTCCCCCCCTGCATCCCCTCCTTTCCCCCTCTGCTTCCCTTCCTTTCCCCCCCTGCATCCCCTCCTTATGCTCCCTTCCCTTGCTTACCCTCCCTCCCTCCCCCTACCCACAGTTCCCACTTTCCACCTCCAGTACCGTACTACCAACGCGCTGCTCGCCCCATCTCTGCCTCACCCCATCTCTGCCTCACCCCATCTCTGCCTCACCCCATACCTCATGCAGGTTTGGGGCGCTGTGGACGGACGGCAACGGGCAGATTTGCTATGCAGAAATGAATGTGGTGCTGCTGGAGTTGACCTCCAATGACTGGTCCGCCTGGCAGCCCCAAAAGCTTGTGGTGTCCTGGAAAGGCGACCTGATTTGGAGGGATCGCCTCTGATTTTACATACTGCTTTCTAACCAAACTGCTTTGATTACATACTGTGTTATAGTAGAGTAGATGCTATAAAACTGGTGATGTGTTACATACTGCTTTCTAACCCTATAAACCCTATCAACCGTGTATGGCACGACGTGTTGGGTCAGTAAGAAACGCCTAACAGGGGAAGGGAGAGGGTGTGTTTATGTGCTAATGTTCAAGGCGGCATATTAGATGCCTGGACCATCTAAGCACGGGCCAAGTGACCAAGAGCCTTGAAGCTGCTTTGCTCGTGGCCGTTGCCACGCTCCCCTGCCATTCCCATTCCCATCGGCATCGCTCCCTGGAGGGGCAGGGTGTGACCAGAACGCCCTTCGTGGGGGAGGGGGAAAAAAGGGGTAGGGGAGGGGAGGTGAGAAGAGTGCCCCTGGTAGGGGGAGAGGAGGTGAGCAAGGAGTGCCTGATAGGGGCAGGAGAGGTGGTAGGGGGAGGGGAGGTGAGATGGGAGTAGGCGGTATGGGGAAGCGTGGTGGGCTGGAATCCCATGGTAGGAGGAGGGGAGGTGAGATGGGAGTAGGCGGGGGTAGGTGGGGGATGCATGTAAAATTTTCCCATCTTGAAAGTTCCCAGGGTCAAAATGGGACAAAGGGGTGGCAATGGGTGGGAAGGCGGGTGGTGGGGAGCTTAGGGAGAGGCAGGATAGAGAGGGTAAATGAAAGCATGGTTATGGGAGGCGTGATGGGAGGCGTGATGGGGAAATGGGGAAGGCGAGATGGGAGAATAAGAGGCGGGACCAGGAGAAGGGAAGGCGAGATGGGAGAATAAGAGGGAGGGAAGGGAGGGAAGGGAGAGAAGGGAGGGAAGGGAGAGAAGGGAGGGAAGGCAGAGAAGGGAGAGAAGGGAGAGAAGGGAGGGAAGGGAGGGAAGGGAGGGAAGGGAGAGAAGGCAGGGAAGGGAGGGAAGGGAGGGAAGGGAGGGAAGGGAGGGAAGGGAGGGAAGGGAGAGACGGGAGAGAAGGGAGGGAAGGGAGGGAAGGGAGGGAAGGGAGAGAAGGCAGGGAAGGGAGGGAATGGAGGGAAGGGAGAGACGGGAGAGAAGGGAGAGAAGGGAGGGAAGGGAGGGAAGGGAGAGAAGGCAGGGAAGGGAGGGAAGGGAGGGAAGGGAGGGAAGGGAGGGAAGGGAGGGAAGGGAGGGAAGGGGGAGACGGGAGAGAAGGGAGGGAAGGGAGGGAAGGGAGGGAAGGGAGAGAAGGCAGGGAAGGGAGGGAAGGGAAGGAAGGGAGGGAAGGGAGGGAAGGGAGAGAGGGGAGGGACTGGAGAGAAGGGAGGGAAGGGAGGGAAGGGAGGGAAGGGAAAGAAGGGAGGGAAGGGAGGGAAGGGAGAGAAGGGAGAGAAGGGAGGGAAGGGAGGGAAGGGAGAGACAGGAGAGAAGGGAGGGAAGGAAGGGAAGGGAGGGAAGGGAGAGAAGGCAGGGAAGGGAGGGAAGGGAGGGAAGGGAGGGAAGGGAGGGAAGGGAGGGAAGGGAGGGAAGGGAGGGAAGTGAAGGGATAGGAGAGAAGGGAGGGAAGGGAGGGAAGGGAGGGAAGGGAGAGCGAAGGGAAGGGAAGAAAGGGAGGCGGGAAGGGGAGAAAGGGAGGCGGGAAGGGGAGAAAGGGAGGCGGGAAGGGGAGAATGGGAGGCGGGAAGGGGAGAATGGGAGGCGGGAAGGGGAGAATGGGCGGCGGGAAGGGGAATAGGGCGACGGGAAATGAGTACTGGGCGGCGGGAATGGGGAATCGGGCGGCAGGAAAGCGGAATCGGGGGCGGGAACGGGAAATCAGATGGCGGGAAAGGGAAATCGCGCGAGTGCGGCCCGTTATTCTGCGAGGCGCCGCGCGTCGTATTCACAGTGGCGTGAGCACACAGCGTGAGGCGTCGAAGCCACGCCGCCTTGGGCGACGAGGGGAGACAGATCGGGGCGACGAAATCGCCTAATTCCGGCGGGAAAGGGAATATCGAGCAAGGTCATGTATACGGCGCCTTTCAGCGGTGCGGCGACGGCTCGAGCTCTGGCGTGGTCCGGCGTCAATGCTCAGCGATGAGGCAGCAACGGGTCGAGGCTGCGAGGGGAAGGCGCAGCGAAATGTCGTAGTATATGGACGAGAGAGCGTGCGGAGACTACGCGAGGCTGCTCGTGTGCTTGCGAGGCGGCGGACTTCCTACCGTGGAGAGTACTAGACCATTACCCTAAACTCTCGCGATTGAATCAGTCTGTGCTCTGGTATGCCTAGACGGGCTCCCTGGCGTGTGACCTAGACGTGAGCGCTACGCTATGGTCGCACGCCGTTTCTTACGCTAGAGTATTTACGTATGCGCTGAGGAGTGGGCGAGTGGGCTACGCGGGGATTGGATCGAGTATACTTTTGCCAAAACTATAACTTTCGGCCCCCTGGTGAGGGTAGCAGGAGAGTGGGGGAACGTCGCTTACTTTTGACGCTCGTGCAGGTTGTAATCTGGTTACCAGGGTGTACCTTTTATAAACTTTAGCGTTTGGCCCTGCCAAATGTATACCGCTGCTTTAAAACCGGAGTCCCAAACAGCCCGAAACCGCCTCAACCTTCCTAAGGGTGCGTTCTTGGCTGGTGTCTAGCTTCGGGCCAAGTTCCCCTGATGTCAGGCCCCTCCAGCGAGGTCTGACACGAATTTTCGATTTTGCCTCATGCCCGTCAATTCTACCTTGTGTCAAGCAGCTTGGCCCGAAGTTAGACACCAGCCAAGAACGCGCCCTAACTTTGGTTGGGTGTGACCCAGTTGATACCGAGCTCTCCTCGCAAATTGTTGGGACGATTTTCGCCAAGCGAAATTACTGTTCAAGCGAGGACGATAGTGGTGACAAATTCGCAAACACATTTGCAGCCCGTCCGAAACAGTCAGCGAACGAGTTCTGACGTAGCATTCCAGATCTGGTTACACTCGCGACTTTTTCATACTTAGCGACCCGCTACCACCGATTTCGACACCACCCTGGCTCGCGAGCCAGTCACCTTTCTCTCCCCTTTCAACCTTCCTAACTTAAAAACTCTTGGACCTCCGGTTATCGTTATCGGCAGGTTGCGGAACGAGCATGCGTGAAATAGACGTTGCGTAGCTTAGGCTCCGACAAAGGAGAATGGCGTCATTGAATCTCTGGGGGTTCGATGTGCCATGGCTGTCAGACAACACAGATTCACCTATGGCATCAAGCACAGCTTGCGAGAGCCACGTTAACGAGTTCCGTCAACAAGCGAATGCTCGCTGCATTCCGTCTGAGCAGCCCGAATCGGCTCCTTGGATTAATCTGTCTAATCTCGAACGTCCGATACCACCAATTTCCACGGCGAGCCTTCCTGACATGGAGTCAATGCACGATCTTTCTGATGATACTTATGGAGAGCCAAGGCGCGTGTCTCTGGATGATTCCTATGGTGATCTTATAAAGAGGATAAACTGGACGTTTGGTCCGGGAACGAATTGCGGCGACCCGCCGAGGAGTAACTGGATGCTGGATCAGATGCTGAACACGCTGACGCCGAATCCCGTTGTGACATCTGGCATCGCGGAAAAGATGCAGGCGATGTCCACGTGGCATGCCGCTCCGGGAATCTCGGATTTAGAGTCGAAGATGCGGCAGGAGTGGGGGTACTGTTTGCCATTCACCAGGCCAGTCGCTCTCACCGACCTGTACCCTTCTCCGTGCATTCTAACCGAATGCAACTCCTACGTACACCTAGGAGCCAGTTTTGAGACGTCTCAAAGCTCGCAGATAGAAGCCACGGATCGCGTGTTGGAATTCGGGAATCTCGGCTCGCGGAAGGGAAATCAGGCTCGGGAAGGATTGGGTGAGGGTGAAGGAGAGTGGAGGAGCGGCGAAGATAGGCCACCGGGTTCGAGGGACGGTGGGATTGGACGAGGCGGCCGCGTGGTTGCTCGCTGTGCTGACAGCACAGATGACGTGGCGATGGCAGGAGGCGAGAGAAAATGCAGGAAGGTGGGTTCTTCTCTCTTATCGCGGTGACAAATATCCGCACTTCTCTGCTCCATGTCTGCATGTCTGCCGTTGCAAAGTGCTGCGGTGACATTTTATAGCACCATGCAATCCATACTTCACACTCCACGTCGGACATGTACTGCCTTCTCCAATCTAATCTCTTCCGTCCCACCACTCCACTATACTCCCCATCCTCTCCCTGTCTCCCGTTCTCCCCCTCTTTCCCGCTCTCCCTCCCTCTCCCTCCCAACACCCCCCGTGTCTCGCGGTCTGCCAGCATCCACACGCCCTCGCGCACGTGGCCGCGTGCGCTCTCAGGGGGCAGCCCGCCGCCCTCTACGTCCTCCACGCCCTCCGCGCCCGCACCGCTGCTCCCGCTGCTCCCACTGCTCCCACTAGCTCGCAGAAGAGAGATCCCGCAGCGGCAGCTGCAACAGCAAGAGTGGCGCAGGCAGTGGCAAGGCAGGGGGTTGAACAAGCAGTGCTGGGGGAGGTAGTGGCGGATGGGCACGTTTGCCGGAGACTGCACTGCCTAGCTGCACGACTGCAGGCTGCACCTGGTGTTGCGGACACAGCAGCAGCAGCGTGGGCCGTGCCACGTGTGCCTGCTGACGTGGATTGCCAGCTGGCAAGTGTGCCGTGCCCGTTAGCTGCGTGCAGGATGGTGCAGCAGGCGGCAGATGCGGGCAGTGCAGGTGGTATTGCAGGTGGTAACGCGTGTGGCGACGCTGCTGGCGGTGATGTTGGCAGCGATGGGGAGGAGGGTTCAGACTGGGATTCAGAGAGCGGGGATGTGTGGGTGGGGTGGACGGGGGGGGAGAGTGACGACGACGAGAGCGAGGGGGGCGAGGAGGGGGAAGAGCGTGCAGAGAGTGCATTGCTTAAGAGCAGCATTCAACACCCTCTTCCCCCTCCTCAACACCAGCATTATCATGCCACTCCCAGGTCTCAGCGTGGAGAGCCAAGGCTAGAGCAGGGTAGCGCAGTGGGAGCAGGAGGGGCCGGTGCAGAGGGAGATGACGCGGTTCTGAGGGGTTTTGGGCGGGCGTTGTCGCTGGTTCTCGCTCAGTACGAGGCCGGGGTTTCCCAACTCGCCCGGACGTGCATTGCTGCTCTTTCTGCCTCACCACAGACACCAGCAGCAGCAGCTGACTGCCCCAGCCATGTGCGCTCACTACTAGCAGCTGGTCCAGGCAGGGATGCAGTAGAAGCGGCAGACGTGGCAGCACCTGGTGCGTCAGATGCTGTGCTGCTGCTGGCCATGCGTAGCAGGCGACTGAGAGAGCAGCTGAGGCGCCTGGTGGTGCTGCTGGGGATGGATCCTGGAGCGAGGGAGACAGCAGGGGGTGAGAGGAAGGGGCATCCATGGGAGGAGGGGGCGCTGAGGGGGAGGGAGACAGCAGGGGGTGAGAAGGAGGATGCGTGGTCGGTGGTGTACCAGTGCCCTCAGATGCTCATGCCTAGCTCGTCAGATCCAAGCAGTTCAGGCATGCGAGGCATGCCGCTCACTCCACCCGCTGCACACATGCACCGCACGCCCCACACGCACCACATAGACCGTGCTGTTGCTGCCAGCGGTGGCAGCAGAGGCGTGCGCCCCACCACCACCCACAGCAGCCAAGCAGCTGCACTCCTCGCTTACCTCCACACCATGCTCCACCTCGCAGCAGCGGATAGCAGCAGCCGCAGCAGCAGCAGCACTTCCAGTGCACGTGGGCCAAGTCAGAAGCAGGAGCAACAGCGACAGCACCAGCAGAAGCAGCGGCAGCAGCAGCAGCGGCGGCAGGGGGGAGGCGATGGTTCAATGGAGGCAGTGAGGTGGCTGTTTGTGTCGTCGTGCCGGCCACTCGTGTGCCAGCTGAGGAGCACCATGGCTCTGGGTGACCTCTCCTCCCTGCATCCCTCCCTCGCTGCTGCTGCTGCTGCCACTGCTGCTGCTGCTGCTGGGAGTGCTGCTGCTGCTGGGACTGCTAGCCCTGCCACCAGCGCCACCACCGCCATCACTCGTACAGCAGCTACCTCTGCTGGACGGTTCACTCCCACTCGCACCATCACACCTTCACGCATGGTTACCCCGTCTCATCTGGTTACCCCATCCCGTCAGGTTATCCCCTCACATCTGGTGACCCCATCGCCCTCAGTTACCCCATCACAGTTCGACACACCTCGCTTCCTGTCCAACCAGGCAGCAGCAGCTGGCGACGCGTGGAGTGCAACGCTCTTCCTTCGTCCCAGAAAGGTGCGTCCGTAGGCTAACCAAACTGTCGATCTAAGGCAGTGGATTTGTTTTTCCTCCTCCATCTTGTTTCTTTCTTTCTTTCTTTCTTTTTCCATTGGAGGTCAGCATCTTCCTTGGCCAGTACCAAGGTCAAGTCTGCATGCATCTTCATCCCCTGACTCTGCAGGCATCAAGATTGGTGCTATGGTTTTGCAAGCTATGCTCCCAAACCTCTGCAACAAAGGTCAAGGTCAACTGCGCCCCGTGCCTTGTGCCCTGTGTCTCTGCCTTCCACCCATGCGTTTCGTCCCTCGCCCCTGTCCCCCCCCCCCCCTTCCTGTCCCACACAACACCAGATCAACCACCTGCTGCCTTTGTTCCTCCATCCAGTGTCACACCTCGTTGTAAGGACAGCACAGCAGCAGCACATACTCCTCTCCGCCCCTTCCCCCACCATTCGCCAACTCGCCTCCCGCCTTTCCTCCCTCCTTTCCGCCCTCCTCCTCCCTCACTCGCACCCCTTTCCCTCTCTGCCAACCAATGGAAATAAACCCCGTCACATTCAACCAGCTCTTGCGTCTGATTGGTCCATCGATTTCACCCTGGCTGGGGTTGCCCGAACCAGAGAGATAGTCCAGCACCTGCTTGCCAAGGCTGAGCTACAGGTTCGGCAGCTTCTGGACGCCCTGGAGCCTCGGCCCGGGGCAGAAGGCGAGGCTCGGATGGCTGATGTGGGTGATGTGCTGGCGGAGCAGTTAGTGGTGGCAGCAGGACCTGTGCTGCCTGCAGGGGCAGGAACGGCTGTAACGGATATGTGGAGAGGAACAGCTGCTGAGGGAGCGGCAGTGACAGGCATGGAATCATCTGTGACAGGTGTAGCTTCAGGCGGTTTGCAAGCTGCAGCAGCACTAGTAGAAACATTAGCAACAGCAACAGCAGAACCATTACCACGGCCACCATTGCGCCCCCCTCCTGGTGCTGTCAGACCTGCACCCACCCACAGAGATATCGCAGGTCAAGCATTGGGGGGGAAGGAGGAGGAACGGGAAGGAGGGCAAGGGGGGAAGGAGCAAGGGAGGGAGCAGATCTGCTCTGGCTGTGGCTGGTCGCATGAGCCCTCCTGGCATGCACCTGGTGATGTCGTGGCAGCAGCTGATTGGCCGTGGAAGGGCACTCACCCCGCTCCTCTATCCAATCTGCTTGCTGGTGTGCAAATGCCAAGCAACGAGTCAGCACGATCCCCCAGCAGCACTAGCCCCAACCCCACGCTGCGGCAGGCATGGGTGGAGTGCGGTGCCATGCTGCGCCTCACTGACCCCCGCTCTGGCCCCTCCTTCCCCTGGTCGTGGATGGCCTGTAACGAGGATGCTTGTAACGGGGATGGCTCTGGTGGTGGTGCGGTGCATGGTGCGAGTGGCATCTCATGGCATGCAGTGCTCCAGCATGCACAGAGGCATGGGGGGGGTGTTGTTGAAAATGCGCAGGAGCGATCAAACAAGGGAGCAGTGAAGGGAGAAAACGAGGGAGCCAAGGGAGGAAAGGAGGGAGGCATGGGAGCAAAAGAGAAGTCAAAGGAAGGAGGAAAGGACGGAGGAATAAGGGGAGCTAAGGAAGGATCAAAGGAGGGAGGAAAGGAGGGCTCAAGAAAGGGAGTGGCAGATAGTGGGGGGCGAAAACAGAAGGGCGTTGAGGATCAGAGGGGGAAGCACAGTGCGAGACAGAGAAGTAGGCAGAGTGGGAAGCAGGAGGGGCCAGGTAGGCAGCAGAGTGGGATGCCTGGTGAGAAGCAGAGTGGGGAGCCGTTTGGAAGGCAGGGTGGGCGTGGAGGGGCAGCAGGGAGGGGAGGGGGGCATGTGACGGATGAGGAGAGGCGGCTGGAGGGCATGGCTGTCACAGAGATGGATGGGAGCTTCGATGATGCCATGCATGCCCACCTGCTGCTGCCCATCCGCGCAAGGTATGCAGGCCTTAGGAGCAAGGCTTGAACATGGTATGAGCAAGATATGAGCATAGTCTGACCTATGAGGGAAGAGAGCTTCGATGATGCCATGCATGCTCACCTGCTGCTGCCCGTCCGCGCAAGGTATGTTGCCCGTACCAGCAATGTATGTGCCCATTCGAAAGAGGTATGCTGCTAGTTGCTGGCGGCTTGCAGTGAAAGGAGTGTGATGTCAACGCCACAACCTCTTCCTCTCCCACTGCTCCACACTGCCCTCTGCTCTCCTGCACACCCTCCACTCCTGCTCCCCTCCGTTTCTTAAACAAACATCAAATGGAGCTTTGATTCAAGAGGTAAACAGTCTTCTTTATTTCTTCCCTGCCTCCTCCCCGTCTCCCTCCCCCACCAGCCACGCACTTGTGAGCAGGGCAGCAGTGCGGGTGCTGTTCACAGTGGGGCGCTACAGGGACCACTGCACCGCACTGCACCGCCTCTTCCTCTCCCCCCACTCCGCCCTGCCCTCCACCCTCCTGCACGACCTTCATGCCGTGGTGAGTGCTACATCCCCCCTGCTATGACAGTACTGGGCCGGGCCAGCCTTCGCTCACTCTCACAGCAGCACCACGCCTGTCTTTTTCCCTTGATTGCTGCCTTCTTAATCAACTCTCTTGCTTTTGCTTCCGTTCCCTCTACCCGCTCGCCTCTCCCCTCACCCCTATCCACTCATCCACCTCATCCCCCCTACATCAGGACTGGGCCAGCCTTCGCTCGCTCCCAGAGCAGCAGCACGCTCTCTCATCCGCCCTGGACACCGCCATCTCTTCTAACTGCTGCTTCCATCCCATCTCCCTCGCCCCTCTCACCCTACTGCAGGACTGGGCCAGCCTTCGTTCACTCCCAGAGCAGCAGCACGCCCTCTCATCCGCCCTTGACACGGCCGTCTCGCGAGCCTGCCTCTCCTCCCTCCCCTCCTCCTCCCTCTCCCGCCTCCACGCCTTCATCGCGCCCTCCTCCCTCTCCTCCTCCGCCCTCTCCTCCATATCAACACCGCCTCCTCACCCAATGTCGCCAGGGCAGGGAGGGGGGGGAGTGGGCAGTGCGAGCAAGCAGCTGACGTGGAGCCCTTTGTCTGCCCACCGTGAGTGCCTGGGTTATTGTAACAGTTGGGGCACTTTCTCAACCGCACTGCATCCCTCCCCACACCCATCACCCGAATCTGGTGCATGTTACGTTCTGCGAGTGTAGTACACTACTCGCCTGGGCATCTTCTCAGCCACACTACATCCCTCTGTGCCGCTCCCCACACCCACCATCAGGGCTGGGCGCGTTTGACTTTGTGCGGGTGGGGTACGACCCTGGCTGGCCCGCCAGCGTGGTGTTAACGCTGCCTCTGATGCAGCAGCATGCGGACATGCTCATTAAACCGCACTGCATCTCTCTTTCCGCCCTCCACACACCCACCATCAGGGCTGGGCGCGTTTGAATTTGTGCGGGTGGGGTACGACCCGGGCTGGCCTGCCAGTGTGGTGATAACGCCCCAGCTGCTGCAGCAGTATGGAGACATTCTCACGGCGCTGCTCAGGCTGCAGCACGTGCAAAGGGCCGTTGTAAATATCACGCTTCATGTCAAGGTAAGCTACTTGTGAGACGCCTTAATAGCCTTTTGAGATGCCCCAAAAGCCTGCTACCGTTGTGATGACGCTGCTGCGGCAGTATGGGGTGGGGACACGCTCAGTATGGGGACACGCTCAGTATGGGGACACGCTCAGTATGGGGACACGCTCAGTATGGGGACACGCTCAGTATGGGGACACGCTCAGTATGGGGACACGCTCAGTATGGGGACACGCTCAGTATGGGGACACGCTCAGTATGGGGACACGCTCACTGCGCTGATCAGGTCACGCTGCAGCACGTGCAGAGGGCGATTGGCAACCTTACCATTCACGTCAAGGTAGGTCACTCTTGGGACGCCTCGAAGGCCTGCCAGCGTGGTGAGAAGGCCACAGCTGGTGCAGCATTATGGAGACATGCTCACTGTGCTGATCCGGCAGCAGCACGTGCAGCGGGCCATCAGCAGCCTCACCATTCACATCAAGGTAGGCCCTGGTTTATGACTTTCGCATTGGCATTATGTGCACACGGCACAGATGGCAACGGCAACATCAGTGTTCGTAACATGTCAATGCGCACCGCATGATACCGGTCGCTTGCCCCGACCTGACCCATCATGTGTTCTTTTCCCCGTCGGCCATTCTACGCGGGAGCATACCCTTGTGCTCCGTAGCATATAATTTCATGCTGCATCATGCCGTGTCATTGCCGCATCGTGCTATTCCGATTGATACCCCTGCTTCCTGTCAGGTCCTCCGTTCAGCATTGTTGAACCCGTCGCTAGCACCACCAGCACAAGCACCAGCACAAGCAGCAGCAGCAGGCAGGGGAGCACACAGGGAGCGGTATCGGCGGCTGTGCTTCCTCAACGTGTTCACGTGAGAGCCCCTCCCTCGCCTGCTGTATCTGCGCTGTTCTGTAACCCCAGCATGCACTTGTGAGACGACTCCATAGGCACGGCAGCGCACAGGGAGCAGTATCCTCGGCTGTGCTTCCTTAACATGTTCACGTGAGAGCCCCTCCCTCGCCTGCTGTATCTGCGCTGTTCTGTAACCGCACCGTGCGCGCATTGCAGCTGGTTTTGGGGCATTCTGGCCTTCGCGAGTGCTCAGGTGCACCAAGCAGCACTGCGTGCAGGGTAGCCACACCCCCCCCCGTCACTCACCGCTCCCTGTATTCGCCCTCCTGCTCGCTTCCCCTCCTTTCCCCCATCCAGTATGCGTGCATCACAGCTGGATTCGTGCATGCTCGCCTTCATAAGTGCTCAGCTGCAGCGAGCAGTGTTGCTGACTAACCAAACCTTCCCCCCACACCCACACCCACACCCACACCCACACCCCCGCTTTCCTCCCATCCAGCATGCGTGCATCACAGCTGGTGGCGTGCATGCTCGCCTTCATGAGTGCTCAGCTGCAGCGAGCAGCGCAGCATGGGGACCAGATTCTGCTGCTGGGCACTCAGGCAGAACACAAGCCCCATCTGGTGGGTCAGGGTATTCCTTGGGTATAATATTGAGCAGCTTCAAACATAGATTCTCGCTTAATGAGTGCTCAGCTGCAGCGAGCAGCGCAGCATGGCGATCAGATGCTGCTGCTGGGCACTCAGGCAGAACACAAGCCCCATCTGGTGGGTCTGGGTGTTTCATTGGGCGAAACACAAGCGCTTAAGGTTGGGTGTGGGCCATGGGCGAAACACATGGGTCGATTCTTGTGCGCTTTGAGGGTTCTTTGCTTGACGTTTTGGGCAATATTGCGCCTGCTTCGATCATTTATGCTCCTTGTTTCGCCTCTCTGCCGCTTTTTTTTTTCCTCTATCCATAATCCCTCCCTTGCCGCTTCCCCTGTCCCTCCTTCCCTTGCTCCTTCTCCGCTTGCGCCACCTCACAGGACCTATTCTCATTCCAAGAGGCACATGCACAGTTTCTGATATACTGCACAACCAGGTAGCCCCTCCTCCCACACTCATACAACCAGTTTGCCTATACCCAAAGTTTCTTTATCTTCGCATATAAATAAACATAAACATACCTTGCTGTATGTCACGGCAGGTGTCTGCTAGACACTCGAAGTGCGCCCATCAGGGAGCGCCTAGACAGCCTGCTGCAGCTGGTGTTGGATGTGCATCGCAGTGTGGCCTCTGCCCCCATGGTCGCCCCGCTCTCCGAGTTCTTTCTCGATGACGATGCTCCCATCTGGGAAGAGGTGAGGAATTCAGTTTCCCTTGAGAGAGACACTTCTGACTAGACAGCCTGCTGCAGCTGGTGTTGGATGTGCATCGCAGTGGGGCCTCTGCCCCCATGGTCGCCCCGCTCTCCGAGTTCTTTCTCGATGACGATGCTCCCATCTGGGAAGAGGTGAGGAATTCAGTTTCCCTTGAGAGAGACCTTTCTGAATAGACAGCCTGCTGCAGCTGGTGCTGGATGTGCATCACAGTGTGGCCTCTGCTCCTATGGTCGCCCCGCTCTCCGAGTTCTTCCTTGACAACGATGCCCCCATCTGGGAGGAGGTGAGAGCTCTAACATTTCTAGTTCCCTGTGCCTTTCGTGCTCACAGGCTATCTGCACTCAGATATGATTTTAGGATGTGTAGTCATGCGCGCATGCCTGCTCTCTCACTCCATGTGTAGTAGTCTGTGTGCACCATTAGTTGCACTGACTCGTATCTACACTGCGCTGCAGCCAATGGGAGTGTTGTTCCTTTGCATGTGATTCTACTCGTTCTCACAAACTCCGTGGCTTGTTTGTGCTTGTGATGGGTGGCGTGTACATGGAAGAGCATGTGGGAGAGTTCAACGAGGCTCTGAATGAACGTTTATTTTTTATTCTGTCAGAAAACGTTATCATTAATGCACATTCTTTGCTTGCTTGTGCTTGTAATGGGTGGCATACAGGTAGAGGAGCATGTGGGAGAGTTCAACGAAGCACTGAATGACTCGCTGGATTTTCTCTCGCGGAGGCAGGAAGTTTCTCGTCCTGAAAAGCACCTTCTCAAATACCTCAGTTTCCTCGAAATCAAATAGATCAGACATGCCACGTGGCTACATCTTGTTGTGCACTTATTTTGGTGTATCCTCTTGCTTTCTTGTATATTCCATTTCAACGAAGAAGTTAACTAATAACCAAATATGAGCTTATAGCGCATACTAGGTGCGCGTGACCTAAGTGCATCTGACGCGTAGTTACGTTCCCCTTCGTTCTCAATCACCATTCATACCCATTCCCGATCGAACGACGCGGCGAGATTCAACAATGGCAAGCGACAGCTATGGCACAAGCAGCAGCATCGGCGGCAGCAGCACTAGACGAACGCGAGTGCAGCAGCTTGAGCGACTTCAGGTGTGCGGGACATTACACGGTTGCACCATCAGTTCCGTCTCATTCGGTTTTCTCAAATCTCGATGCTCCCGTTTAGAATTCGCGCTTTCACTTCCCTCGTTTCCACGTACCAGCCCCACTCGTCCCCCCTCCTCGCGTCCATCGAAAGTTAGAATGAGCTGTCAATCTGCCGTCCATCCCGCCCGCCTACTAGGAGCTGTCGCGGCTGCGGAGGAGTCTCTCGGGAGGCAAGGCTGTCAGCTCAAATCCCAGGGCTGAACCTGCAGGCTCGGCAACCCCAAGGATGCCTGAAGACTCGGCAATCCCAAGGACGTCTATAGGCTCGGAAGTGAAAGAGGGGATGAGGCGGCGGATCCAGCTGGATCACCCATGCGGGGAAGCACCGGGGGAGGGCAGAGATGGGGAAGGTAGAGCAGGGGAAGGCAGAGCGGGGGAAGGTAGAGCAGGGGAAGGCAGAGCGGGGGAAGGTAGAGCAGGGGAAGGCAGAGCGGGGGAAGGCTGTAGAGGCAGAAGCGGGACAGATGCACAGCCCGGGAGACAAGGGGTGTGCGCAGGGCCTGGGGGGTTTGGTACGGCTGGGGTGGGCGACACAGTGCCAGCGCGGGAGGATGCAGAAGTAAGGTGCGGCAGAGTGCAGGAAATTCGTGGTGCACAGCGGTGTAGCGAGGCGCAGATGGTGGGGTTCTGTTTGCGAGGGGAGGATGCAATGAGAGGTGGGGGAGTGGGAGGCCGGCCGTTGGTGGTTGCGGTACCTGTGACGAGCGGGCAAAGCACAGGCAGAACAAGCACAAGCACGAGCATGGACATGAGCGTGGGGATGAGCATGCAAATGAGCATGGGGCGGTTTCAAGGCACCCCTCACGGCACATTGGGGAGGGAGGTAAGCATCTGTGAGGCGTCATTTGAATCGTCTCAAAAGTTGGCATAGGGTCAGCCCGTGATTGTCGGTTGTGGGTGGTTTGTTCGTGCAGTTTGTTCCGTCTATGTTGGGTTGTGTACATGTGCTTGTGCTCATGTGCCCTCATGTTTGCACCTTCTCCCCCCGTCACATGCTGCCCATCTTCTCATAATCCCACCTCCTGTGTGCTCCCCATGCTCCTCATGCTTGTCACATGCGTCTATGTGCTTCCCATACCCCCCACATGCCCCCACATGCCTCCCAGACGAAGCTAGACCGCAGGTTGGTGGACACGGCTCTACGGTCTGGCGACCATGCTTCTTATGCTCACGTACTCCTCATGTGCTTCCCACACAAAGCTTGATCGCAGGTTCGGGGCAGCATTACAGCATGGCTACCATGCTCCTTATGCTCGTCTCCCCGCGTGCTCCCCATGTGCTCCGCATGTGCTCCCCACATGCGTCCCAGACAGAGCTGGACTGCAGGTTGGAGGCAGCCCTACGGTCCGGTGACCACACAGCAGCGCTGCGGGTGAACGAGGCGATTATGAGAAGGGAGAGCGCGCGCCGGCAGAGAGGCAGAATGGCACATGCAGCTTGCAGCGAGCTTGCAGGTGAGCAGACGGGCAGAGTGACGGGCAGCTTAAGGCTGTTCAAGGATTGCTGCAAAAGTAGCTTCAACGTTTCTGAACAGGGTCTTTCCTCAATAAACCTGCACCCTTTGCATTGCCACAGGAGCAGGAATCGGTGCGGCGCAAGAAACGGCAGCGGCTGAACTGGGGGTGAGATATTCTTTCATTTTAGCTGGTCATGTAAAAGTTTTTCGCTTTACGAAGCAGTTTACTTCGTGCTTCTCTGTGCTTGTTTGTGAGCTAACCGAGTGGTGCTTGTGCAGGATGGATGTGCTGCGCAAGTCAGAAGGGAAGGGCAACATGTGAGATATTTTGTACTTGTAGGGTACACATATTGTATTTGATAGCCATGTCTGGTACCGTATGGAAGTTTGTCAGGCCAATTATTCAAGTATAAATATGTCACTGCACAAAGCGAAGCTTTCCGCGACGGGTATAGTGTTTTTTCACGTCCGAGGAATCGAAATGTAGCCAGGAGAAAGTGCCCCATATGTAGACGGCTGCGATGAATCCAAAGGAACTTGATCGGCAGTTGAAAGCCTACGCGATTCGGTCAAATGGTGGGAGTGAAATTGGCGCTTCGAGAATTCTACAATCCAATTTTCAGCCTGAAAGTTTGACCAACCAGTACCAGCGATGGATTTCATGTCCAGCAACCCCTATTTGCCAACGTTCCATTCCGTGTTTGCTTCACACATGTTGTGTGCGATGGGCATGATACTCTGCTTTACTTTACCACCGCGTTGACCGCCTATCTACCATATCTTGGCGGCCTTCTCTCTCGTGGAGATACATTCCTCTTTCTCGCATCCCTCGACAGTTAACGTCCATCTAAAAAGGCTTTGAAACTGCAACCGTGAAATGGACACGCTCTCAGCGACAAGACTCAGTTGTTCAAAATCGACGAGAAGCCTTATCGATGCTTCCCAGGTCACAGCGGCGCAGGTCAAACCATGCAGATTGGTCCAGAGAGCCACTACTAAGCTTACCAAGTGTGGGACACCCCAATGGCGGTGCCGCGTATGTCACGGAAGCGTTGACTGTAGGTCCTCTGTTGCAGGAGCAGACAGGTCCACCGCCGTGACCGCCGCGACCGCCGCGACCGTGGTGGCGGCACGGGCGAGGTTCTTTGGGGAGCGCTTTCGATCTCCTGGTAGCGCATCGTCGGTGTGGCGGTCCGCCGCGCTGCGCGGGCATACGACGCGGCGCGAACGAGGCGGTAGAGGGCCGCGCGGAGTTACAGTGACGGCCACGTGTAAGCCTCTCGATGGGCGGGAAAGGGGAAACTTCCCGGGGGAGGACGACCGGCGACGGGGAGAAGTTTTGGGGAGGAATGTGAGGTGGTTGGATGAGCACAACGGAGGGATACACCGGAGGGACATTGGCCTTTGCGTACTTCTCGCTCTTCGCCCCCTGAGAGACACAGCATCGTCCGCGCCTTCACGGAGCTCGCACCCTCCATCCAGTATCCCGTCCCCATCTCCCCACCTTCTCCCCTTTTCCCCCGCCTCTCCCGCCTCAACCCCATTCCCCTTTCCTCCCCTTCCCCCACCTCTTCCCCCCCCCCCCCCCCCGCTCCCCGCGCTCCGCCTTCCCCCGACCTCCAGGGGACGTGGTGAGTCGCGGCGTGGACCGCGCGTTCACGGAGCTGGCGGAGTTGGACCAGTCGCCCGGGAGCGACGGGCGGCAGGTGATCAACGTGCCCGAGCTCTACACGGGCATCCTCATTGTGTACGAGTGAGTGCTCATCGCGTTTATTGCGTACGAGTAAGTGGTGCTTGTTCCGTATGAGTGGGTGCTAATTGCGTACGAGTGAGTACTACTTGCGTACGAGTGAGTGCCTGTAGTGCCTTATACCCAGCACCCAATCAAGCACAGTTCAAACATCAAACGTTACATCTCCTCCCACTTCAACCCCTCTTCCCTCCTGTCGCGCGCCACACAGCAAAGTGAACCAGCTGGTGCCGGGGATGCACATCAAACCGCCCTCCAAGAAGCAAGTTCTTCAGCTCGTGCAGGTACGTCAACTTCATGCATTGTGCACAATGTGTACTACGCTTAGGAATACTCGTTTTGAGGTGCCTCAAAACAAGTTATTCAGCTCGTGCAAGTACTTCAACTTCATGCATTGTGCACAAGGTGTACTTTGCTTGAAGTGGATCGAAATTGTATCCATTCCATTTTGAAAGTCACCATTTTTGTGCACTCCATCTGCCCTGCCAAGCTTGTCGTTTACCTCCCACTCTAATCCCACCTATTCTCGCCATCACGTGCGAGGATGCCAACGTGCCAGCATGTCCCACACCCCTTCATTCACACCCTACTAATCCGTTTCGTTCCTCCATTTGCATCGCAGGATTACGACATTAACCACGACGGGGTGTTGGACAGGGAGGAGTTTGGCAAGCTTGTGCGACACTTCGCACGCACCGTCGTGGCGCGAGTGCTGCTCAACGTCCTTCTCATCTTCTCTCTCGTGCCCTTGGTCGTGTCGATTGCTAGCAACCTTGCGGAAACGTTTGGATGGGAACTACCTGAAGCGATCGCTGCAACTGTGCTCACGTTGCTCGTAAAAATGGTAGGAGTGTGAAGCTTAGTGTCTTTCTGTTGGCAACAGTTCAAGTGCTATCGCTGTACAGAAGAGTTCTCCAGGTTAACAGCTGTGTAGGGAATCCAGGAGGAATATAGTGATCTGTGGGGTGGGGATCCTAGTTAGAACTTAGATCCCCACAGCTCCCAGTCCCCGTAGCAGCACCAGTGGCACTAGCGGCATCGTCAGGACTAAGCACTGCCAGCAGCAGCACCATTATGAGGAGCAGCAGTAGCAACAGGGGCAAGCAGTGAGGCACCAAGCACGTGCTCCAGCAGCCCAACCCTCTCCTCCACTATGGGCTGGGCGGCAGGGAGAAAAGGCCTGAGCAGGTGACCAAGAGCAACGGTATGGATCTCCCGTTGCCCTCATCGACGCTGTACTCTTCCTCCAACCTTCCCCACCCTCACCCCATTTGGTACCCCACCCAACACCTCCTCGTACTTCCCCTCATCCAGCTAGCTGTCCTCCTCCCACCCGCTCTCCAGCTGACACGTTAGTCCATGAAACACCCCCCTCTACTTCACGCCACTCTCCCCAAGACCCTTACATCTTCCACTCCACCCTCCTCCGCCATGTACAACCTTTGCGTAACCCCCACACTAGTGGCATGTAGAAACGAACGGCAAAGGCGACAATTCGTACGGAGAAGAGAAGAATTTCCTTGTCATCTGTCCTCATATGGAGGCAACATCCATAGTAGTTGAATAGACAGTTTCTGATAGTCTTTTGGTTCTTATGTGTGTACATCTATATTGCTATTGATCAGCATTCTAGGTGCTATCCTGTATGTTTGAAAATGTGGGAGAAAAAACATTGGGGTACACATTAGTCAATGACACGAAGTAGAACATCCCACGACGGGGATAATGCGATTTCACGTTCGACGAATCTACGTCAACGGACAAGAAAGTGCCCCATTTCTGGACGGCTGGAATTAACCATTATTGAGCGCTCCGAGTTTTCCCAACCTGCTCGAGGCTGGCTGGACAAACCTTTTGCATGTCCAGCTGGCAACACGTACATTGCCAAGCCAACATTGCCTCAAGCACTCCGAAAGTAGTGATTATTTTCTGCTTCGCACTTGCGCCGCGTTGACCTATATCTATTACCTATCGGCCTTATCTCTCGCGGGTGTAAGTCCCACTTCCGCATCTTTCGACGGTTTACGAAAGTAATTAGACGGCTCCGAAACTGCAATCGTGACATGGACACGCTTTCAGCGACGAGGCTCAAATCGCCAAGATCGACGAGCAGTCGGGTCGCCGCGGCGCAGGTTAAATCGTGCGAATTAAGCCAGAGGGTCGTTCTTACTAAGTGGGGTACACCCCACTGGCGGTGCCGCGTAACCCACGCAGGCGTTAGCTGTAGGTCCACGGGGGCACTGGGCGGGTCTACCGCCGTGACCGCCGGGAACGTGGCGGCAGCACGGGAAGGGCTATTTTGGGAGCGCTGTTGGGCTTCTGGGAGAGCTTTGTCGTCACGGAGGTCCGCCGCCCTGCGCGGGCACTCGACGCGGCGCGAGGGAGGCGGTAGAGCGGCGCGCGGAGTTAGAGTGATGGCCACGTGTAAGCGGGGGGGGGGAGGGGAGGTTGAGAGGTGGAACGGCAAGGGGCGATGGGGGGAGCGAGAGGAGGAATGTGTGGGGGTTGTGGGTTGTAGAGCCGAGGGGAAACAGGGCGGGTATGGAGGTCCTATGTGCAGTTGTCGCTCTTCGCTCCGTCTCGATACAACGGGAAAACGGCGAGTCGCAGCGTCAACCGGGCATTTCAGGATTTTCCCTTCCCACAGTAGCGCGCGCACATCCATAACTCTCCCCCCTCTCTCCACACCCCCTCCCCCCCCCCCCCCCCCCGCCCACATCCTCCCCCGCGCCCGCCACGCGCCTTCCCCCGGATAATCCCAGAGGACGTGGTGAGTCGAGGCGTGGACCGCGCGTTCACGGAGCTTTCGGAGTTGGACGAGACGCCCGGGAGCGACAGGCGGCAGGTGATCAACGTGCCCGAATTGTACACCGGCATTCTCATTGTGTACGAGTAAGTGCTGATTTGCGTTCGAGTGAGTGTTGCTGGAGTACAAGTGGTGCATTGGAGTACGAGTGCTGCCTGGAGTGCTCGAGCTGGTTGTGCTCTCCCAGCTTCAACCATTACATCTCTCCTCCCTGTTCGCCACCTGGCCATGCAATCGTTACATCTCCCACAGCAACGTGAATTCGCTCGTGCCCGGGATGCACATCAGCCCGCCTTCCAAGAAGCAAGTTGTCCAGCTCGTACAGGTACTTCTGTTTTGTACATGATCTGAGGATCTCATTATATCTTGTCCATATTGAGGCACTGACAAAATCTTCTCGACTACCTCTTCCCCCTCGTCCCATCGCACCCATTCTCGTCGCAATTCCCGTTCACAATACCTCCATCACGCGCTTTTGAGAGGACTTAGAAGCTGTTTTGCTTTCCCTCTGACGCCTGCTCTCTCGTTCAGGATTACGACATAAACCACGATGGCGTGTTGGACAGGAAGGAGTTCGGCGAACTCGTGCGACACTTCGCACGCACCGTCGTGGCGAGAGTGGTGCTCAACCTCGTCGTCCTCTTCTCGCTCGTGCCCTTGCTCGTGTCGCTCGCTAAAACGCTCGCGGAAAAGGTTGGCTGGAAATTGCCCGAAGCAATAGCGGCAACCCTGTTCACGTTGCTTATTAAAATGACAGGAGTGTGATGTAATATATTTACAACAAGCCAAGTGCTTGTGCTGTATAGAAGTGATAAGCTCTTCAGTACCGTAGTTGTGCAGGCTAGAGAGGGAGGTTAGAGTGGCATGTATTGTATACAGATGTCTCTGAAGATGATTACAATCATGCAGCAAAATGGGCTCATCTTATCCTTCTACTGCATCTAAACTCGCTAAGAATCCACCTGCCACCATATCTACACGTTCTAAGCTCCCAGTCTGCACAGCATCACCATCCGACCAACCAGCACAAGAGGCACCAGCAGCAGCATCAGCAGCTTCAGAACCTTTAGCACAGCCAGCTGTAGCAGCAGGTTCAAGCAGCGGTGCAAGGAGCACAGGAGCCAGCAACCCAGCGTCAGCGGCCTTGGCGGCAGGGAGGAAGGGCCTGAGGAAATCACCAAGGGCGTATGACAAAGAAGCAGCGTCACCCGCCACCGCCACTGGAGCTTCAAGCAGTGCAGCTGCCAGGGGAGATTCAGACACTGCTGCTGCTAGAGGAGCTTCCAGCAGTGCTGCTGCTAGAGGAGCTTCCAGCAGTGCTGCTGCAGAGAATGAACCCACTTCCTGTTGGGCTAGGGACTGCGGGTCAATCCTTCGTCGGGCTGTTGGAGCGGTTGTTTCTGAGAGCTCTCCCCATTCCAGTCCACTTTCCGGCTCCTTCAAATCCGGCAGCGCTCTTTTCTTGCTCCACCCCTGCGCTCTATCACTCTCCATCACGGCCCCCAAACCACCCATGGCACTCAAGCCACTCCAGCTGCTCAAGCCACGTATGTCACCGACGCTACCCACGCCACCACCCCGGTGACTCCCCTGGTCCTCATCGATGTTGTGAATGCGCGCTCCTCTCTCTGACCCCTCCTCCTCTTCCTCCGCTCTACCAAACCCCTCCTCGTCCTCTCTTCCTCTTGGCTCACGTATGTCACCTTCCGTTCCTGCATACCCGTGATCCGTATCATTGGTAACGTAACGAAAACCGGCGAAAGCAGCCTGTTCGCGCAGCAGAAGAATCTCCTCCCCTTGTCTCTCCACCTCCGCCCTTAAACCCTCCACCTCCTCCTCCTCGTACCGCGCTTTCTCGACTAGGATTCTCTCTCTCTGCCGGGCGGCTAACTGGTCGGCAGCTTTGTCGGCTTGCAGCCGTCGGATCGACTCCATGCTGGCCATCGCAGCGCTGTCCGCTGCCGCCCGCTCCTGCTCCAACTCACGTTGCAGACTGTCGCTCAATACCCACTCTTGCTCGAGCTCTTGTCGCAGAGTGTTGCTCATCGCTCGCGCCTGCTGGAGCTCGTGTCGCAGCGCGCCGATTTCTTGCGCGTGTAGCTCGCCAGACATATCCGCTGCAACAATCGTGTTTCGTCCTTCGAGAATACCGAATCCTCTTCTGGTTACACGGTCCTCTTCGCCAACTGCAGTGGCGAGCTTCGTAACGGCCCTCGCCTCCTCAACCCATCGCCTCATGTTCTCATCGTCCCACAACCGACCCGGTGAGGTTTTATCGCCTAGCGACGACGACGACAGCCTGAGTTGATCGCATGGCGACCCCTCGTCGCAGCCCACTTGCTCACCGCCCTCGCAACTCCATGTACCAACCGCATATTCCGTGTACTCCTCCCCGTGATCCAAGTCCCGAGCCTTACCGTACAACTCAATATCGCGTACAAGAGCCGAGAGCCATGTCTCGACAAGGCACACGAAACTCACGACTCTCTGTACGACGCGGAGCGGCGGCAAGAGAAACGTCAAGGCGAGTCTGCAGGCGGCGAGAGCGACGAGGGCGCGAAAGAGAAGGAGAAGCGAGCTGAACACGTGGATGATCTGCGAGGACATGGAGAAAATCTCAGCTGCCGTACATCGCGCCGAACAAAGAAATGAAGTCGACATTCGTCTCTGTCGGGAAGGATTTGAGTGGAAATTCGTGCGGGCGTGCATTCTTGGTCGCGGCGCTGCTGGGGAGGTCGTATGCGATGGCCTTGCTGAAGCTGATATTTCGCGTGGATGCTCTGTTGCTCCGAGAGCTGCTTCTGCAGCTATACGCTAGATCGACCATAGAGGTTTTACCAAGCATGTGACACGGACGCTACGAGTAACTCACGACGAGATGCTAAAAGCTCGCACACTTTCGGGAAAGGCGTTGGGCATCCCTATTTATTGAGTTTCGCACCCTTGTCTTGCTTCCTGGACCAGCGTCAGCAAGGGGCGCTCTGTGCATAATTGGGGGGTTGGGTGAACAGAGTTTGGTGGGGCAAGAAACGGGGAGATTCCATGGTCGTGGCCGTCGAAAGCGCCTCAAATGGCAAATTGCTCAATTCGGGTTTCGAATGTGTGCGTGCATTGAAGGCGACGCGTGCTTGAAATGCAGAGTATGAGCGGCGCGATATACAAAAGGAATGGAGTCGGAGTCCGCCACGTGTGAGTGTGAGAAAAACGAGCGTGAAGCGCAACAAAGGTGATGTCTGCGTGATGGATGCTTTTTGCGAAGTGTATGTGTTACAAGAACAGTCGAATCACAGTCGGCTAGACTGCGTAGACTTCGCAAACCAGGCCGCAACCTCCAAGCGACGTCAACGGCGTGGTGCTTCGAAGAATTTTTCATTCGTTCAGTTCGCGAATATACTTTTGCGAGTCACGAGTATGGCAAGCCGAGTGTTTTGATTCGTTATGCGAATAGAAAGACTCCCAAACAGTGTTGAATCGGGTAACTGGACCTCTCGTCGATGTGTACCGAGTCGAATTTTGGTGTAACCTACATTCGACTTGAGCAACCTCCACCTGATGAGTGATGTGATGAGTCGCAGCAGGCAGTGTAGAAAGTAAGGGCGAGTCGAGACAACCTGGCGCAACCCACACCTGCCGCGTCGCATGTGAAACCTCCTCGCTGCAACCATCACTTGCAGCCTGCTGTTCCCTCACTCTCACGTTTGGACGGCCCAGATCATCCCCTCGTTGCGACCATCCAGCTCATTCCACACCCAACCCAGACAACTATGCGCGACGCGCCCCCCACATGCGCCAGCGATCTCGATTCTCAAGATGCACTAGTGATGGATGCCGGCATTAGCACCGAGAGATAAATAGGTCGTAATCGTAATTTTCTCCAAACCACAAGCTCATTCCACACTGGAGCTCCTAAAGCAATACATTTTTCGCGTGATTCTTGAAACGTCGAGTGCGCGAGTGTCTCTGCTCGCTAGTGCAATGTGTATGATTAAAATGCTGAATTCTTTGCGGGATTCGTCGCTGGAACGAAGCGAGTGGCTCGTACTCGCTGCGGCTGTTACCTAGGCGTCCATGTCGGATTCTTCAGCTCCGTTAATACTTTTCAGAAGCACAATCAGGCATTCCAGCGCGACAACAGCAGAGCATAAGCAGCACTCAGCGCGGTCGTGGAATGGGGCAACAGATGATATACGACAGCAGAGTAGTTCCAAGCGGTGAGAGTCACGCAGCGTCACGGCGAAGTGGATCGCACGCGAAGCTTTGCCGTCTCAACAGTTGGTCGCTGTGGGAAGTTACGACAACGCGAAACCTCACTGAGAAAATTACTACGTGAATCACGTCTCCACGAGAGAATAAATGCTGCTGCAGCCAGTGATTGCCGCAGCGAGCTGCGGCAAAATACCGTCCAACAACCGCCGGACAAGAATAAGCGTGGGCGCTACCAATAAGTGAGGATGCGGCTCCGATTCTCGCAATCCAGCAGCGTCCTCCAATACCAGCGCACCACCTGTCCGATAGCAGCGCGGGGGACGAGAGGAGCATGCGCTCTGCTGCTCCCCCCCTCCCCACCGGTCTTCTGTGTCCACCAATAAGCGCCGGGCTTCAGCTGGCTTCTGCCTTACAGCGTATCCTCCTACATCGAGGATGCTCTGCACTAGCTGCAGCTTCAGCCCCCACTCTGACTCGAAGACGAATAAAGCGCGGCGAATGGCGACAGGCCACGCGAACGGCCCCGCGTAGCCAGTTACTGCCCGCAGCGAGATGCGGCAAAAATCCGTCCAACAACCGCCGGACGAGGACAAACGTGGGAGCTACAAATAAGCGGCTCGATTTATCGCAATCCAGCTGCATCCTCCAATCATTGGAGGATACCAGCTCGCCACCTGTCCGATAGCAGCGCTAGGGACGAGAGGAGCATTCTCTCTGCGGCTCCCCCCTCCTCCCCTGGTCTTCTGAGTCCACCAATAAGCGATGGGCTTCAGCTGGCTTCTGGCTTACAGCGGGTCCTCCTGCATCGAGGATGCGTTGCAGCTGCAGCTTCAGCCCCCACTCTAACTCGAAGACGAATAAAGCGCGGCGAATGGCGACAGGCCACGCGGACGGCCCTGCTTAGGGCTCACACGCGGTTACCCTCCCGGCACATCGCACACACAATAAGCGGCTCGACAACGAACCAATCCACTCCGGCCCAGAATCCGATCATCATCCCCTGCTGTGAACCTCTCCTGCGATTGCGACTGCCCGTCGGGCGGATCGCTCAGAGTCGCAGGACTGGTCGGATGGCGAATAAGAGGCGCTACCGCCCACGGGAAGATTGGCTGCGGATTTTTATCTGCAGGGGAAGTTGGAGCGAGGAGTGTGACTATAGCCGTATGAAGTGCGATGACACAATAAAGGGATGGGTATCAGCTGAGAATTCTCAATTGTAGTCTTGAAGGACTGAGTATTTTTGTACAATAATGCTTCAATTCTGTCAAAGCAATACATTCTGTGCCAACACGTGCGCATCCTTATGATTGAGTACCAGCAAAGACAGGCTTGTGTTGACTGGCAATCATCATTTCTGCAGCACAAGCACACCCATGAGCCCCCCTCCAATTTCATAATGCACCGCCTTGGAAAAGCCAGCATCTTTTGCCAGTTGCTCCTGCTGCCGCCCTGCCACACACACTCAATGATGCGCACAAGAAATAGCTTAGGGTTGAACCACGGGGTATGGAATGGGAGCTGAGTAAAACACGACCCATAAGTCAAGGAGTGGTGGTGAGAAGGGATATTGGGAATACTCAGTGAGCATACATCATCCGTGTTGCAGAAGTCACCTGTGAGCAGGCATCACTCTTGTGAGAAAGCGGTGGATGGAGGGCAGGCATTATCTGGGGGAGGTACTCTCCTCTGACAGCCCAAACAGACAGCAGCACCTGGGGGAGGCATCACCCGTGAGGAAGGCGTTACCTATGGAGCAGGCATTATTTGCGGGACGTGTTACCTGTGGGGAAGCGGCGGATGGAGGGCAGCAGGTACTCGTACTCCTCTGACAGCCCAAACATGCGTGCTACCGGCACCACCGCATTCTGCAGGGCGAATTCCTGCATGTGGGGGCGGAGAGGGGTGGGGGTATGGTGTGTTCCAGTTTCTGAGAGTGTTATTGGCACCACCTCATTCTGCAGCGCATACTCCTGCATGTGGGGTATGGGAAAAGGGGGAGGGAAGGGGGAGGGAGGGGGGAGGGGGGTATGGTGTGCGACAGCTTCTGAGAGTGCTATTGGCACCAGAGAAAGGGACTGGTGAATGGCAAAAGAGAAAGGGGGGAGGGGGGTTTGAGATGAGTCGAACCAACACAGTGTGCTGTGCAGGACCAACTCGTTCATGCCGAGGAGTAGAGGAAAGGATCAATCCAACTGGTTACTAAGCAATTTGAGGGGAAATGTGATATACCAAGGGCGCCAAGGGGAGAAGAGGAAAGACTGTTAGTGATGCCTCAACAACGCTCTGCTTCTGCCCTTGAATGCACCCTTGCTGACCTGGAACGGGATAATGCTGACCTGGAATGGGATAATGCTGACCTGGAACGGGAGAATGCTGACCTGGAATGCGGCCACAAGAGGGTCCTCTGTGTGGTTGAAGTCAAGAATGGCTGCAGAGCTACCTGCAGGTGGGACGAAACACAGAGAGGGACAAGGAAAAAAAGAGAGATATGGCACCTCTGATAGCCCAAAGAGACGCACGTGAGGCACCATTGTTCAACCAGAAGGCCCTTCGAAGCGCAGCAGTCCACCCGACCCCTCTGTCCCAGTCTCTACAAGCCTGAGCAATCCACCCAGGCATCCATCCCTCTTTCTCCCACCCCTCACCATTCTACACACGGTGAATCTCCTGCTACACCACTCACGAGTGCACTCGTGCACTCCCAGACAGACATCACTCCGCTCCGCCCAGCCATGCACCCACCCACCCAGCCACTCCTCTCCCTTAACCCCCCTTCTCCCTCCCCCTCACCAGCCTTGAGCACGCGGTGAATCTCCAGGCGCACGCAACGTTCTACACCACCCATGCATCCACTCATCTCCCATTACCCTTTCCCCCCCCTCTTCCCCCCCCCTCACCAGCCTTGAGCACGCGGTGAATCTCCTGCAGAGCCCGCGGAATGCTGGTGACGTTCCTCAGCCCGTACCCCATGGTGACCGCGTCAAAGGAAGCCGCATCAAACGGCAGGGCTAAGGCGTCGCCCTCCACCCACCTGGAAGGGAGTGGGATGAGGCGGGAGGGGAGGACATGGGAAATGGAAGTGGGGAGCAGGGTGTTGCTGCTGGTGACGTTTCTCAGCCCGTACCCCATGGTCACCGCATCAAAGGAAGCCGCATCAAACGGCAGGGCCAGGGCGTCGCCCTCCACCCACCTGCAAGGAAACAAGGGGGGTGGAGGAGGCAGGGGGGTTGGTTGGTGCTGGTGACACCTTTACCCCCCGTACCCCATATGGTTTTTGAGACGTCTCATAAGTCCTTTAGCCCCATACCCCATGGTCAGCTTTGGAACACCGCACCTCCCTCCTTCACCCTCACCCACTTTCCTGCCCGCCCTCCCTACCTCATGTCCACTTGGCGAGCGGAGTAGCTCTCTTGCTGCGTCTGGGTGGCAACTTTCGAGTCAGCTCAAAAGTCACCTCGTTACAATAAAATGGCACGCGGCACTTTTTCCCCCTCTCACTCCCTCTTGCCCCCCTCCCCCTTACCTCATGTCCACTCTGCGAGCGGAGTAGCTGTCTTGCTGCTTCTGGGCGGCGACAACGAGCTGCTGGGCGGCAAAGTCGAGCCCCACCACGCTCCCCGTGGGGCCCACCTTCTCCGCCAGCAGCAAGGAGAGATCCCCGCTGCCACAGCAGATGTCCAACGCGGTGTCACCAGGGCGAGCTCTGAGGGCGGGGGGAGAGATGGTGGGGGTGGGGAAGATAGGAGGGGGGTGGAAAGGTGGCAGCAAGGAGAGATCGCCACCGCCACAGCAGATATCCAAAGCGGTGTCGCCTGGGCGAGCTCTGAATGAGAGGGGAGAGATGGTGGGGTTGTGGATGAGAGGAGGGGGATGGTAAGGTGGCAGCAAGGAGAGGTCGCCGCTGCCACAGCAGATGTCCAACGCGGTGTCGCCTGGGCGTGCTCTGAAGGAGGAACGGGGCAGGGGGAGGGGGCCCGGGATGGGGAAAGGGAGGGGAAGGAGAGGGGGAAGGGGAGGGGGAAGGGGAGGGGGAAAGGGAGGGGGAAGGAGAAGAAGGCATTGGGCATGTTCTGCAACAGAGCGGACCTCCCCTTGCTGATCCCGCACCATTCACATGCCGTCTGGACGGGCTCTGCGTGAATGGGGAGGCGAAGAGGAGGGCGATGGTGAAGTAACAATTGGTACTGGCCATCGCCCAGGCGAAGGGTGATGGGGAGGGGGGAATGAGGGATGGAGAGCCCACTGGCGCAATGGTGCCCTGTACTGCACGCACTCTGATGGGAGGCTTTGCCAGTCTGGCGAAGGGTGATGGGGAAGGGTGATGGGGAGGGGGGAATGAGGGATGGAGAGCCCACTGGCGCAATGGTGCCCTGTACTGCCCTTTACTGTACGCACTCTGACCTGATGGGAGATTTTGCCAATCTGATGGCGATTATGAGCTGAATATAGGCAACGATGTTGGAATTTTGTCAGATTGACATGACTTCATCTGGACACGCTCTGACTGCTTATCCGTCACTCTCTGCTCCCTTTGCTCCCCCTTATCCCCCCATTCCTCCCCCCCCTCCACTCCTCCACTCCCCCTGCTTTACAACTCAGTCACTTCACTCCCTCTCACTGGGCAGTCACTCCCTTGACAACTCACCTGCTCCACCCGACTGTCATTCGCTTCCACACGCGGTGCTGCCCCAGACTCAGCCAATCATTGAGCTGCACGTGGCAGGCAGGGTAGGGGGAAAGGGGAATTAGGTTGAGAGGGGAGAGAGGGGAGGGAGAGCAGGCAGACGGGAGAGCAGTAGTTTCGAATTGGGGAACGGGCAGGGGTTTGAGAAGGGAGGGAAGGGACAAAGGGGAGTGAGAGGAAAGGAGGGTTAATGGGTAAGAGATGATGGGTGGTGATGGGTGGTGGTGGGTGGTGAAGGTGGAGTATGATGGGGGGGATAGCAGGAGATGCAGTTTACACGCATGAATCACACAATGCGCAGTACTCACGTCGTCATACATGGGAGCGATGTTATTAAAGATCTTCCGTCGGCTGTCGCTCTGCAGTGCTTACCTCGCGGCATACGCCAAACAGTGTACGCACATTCCTCACGTTACGCTCATATTCACACTCCTCACATTCCTCACAAGCCTCGCAGTACTCACGTCGTCATACATGGGAGCGATGTTGTTGAAAATCTTCTGTCGGCTGTCGCTCTGCGCTCGCTCCTCCTCGCTCCGCCCTCCCCTCCATCCCGCCTCCCTCCCCCTCTCATCCTCGCTATCAGTCAGGTCCGTCGGATTCACATCGGACGGCCCCTGATCGTCCCACCCCACGCCCGTCGAATCCGCCGCTGCCGCAACTACCATGCATCGCCGCTCCGAGTGGCGCAGCAGACGCGCGCCGAGGCTTCTTTGAGAAACAGCGGCGGGAGCGCAGCGCGTAGCAGCAGACTCAAAACTCGCGCTGGCGTTGCTCCTGCTGCTGCACGCTAAGCTCCCGCTGCTGCTACTACCTCTGCTGCTCCCTCTGCTGCTACCTCTGCGCGTCAATTCCGCGCAGGAAGCAGCCGCAGTAGCCACTGACGCGACGGCGGATGCCATTCTGGAACCTGATTGGTTGCACGGGTTTCAGGTTCCGTTGTCTCAGGAATCGCCTTGAAATTGTCTCACTTGTGTCAGGCTGGCACGATTACCGCCAAAAACGTGTCAGCCTGTTTTTGGCGACTCTGCCAACAAGGCTCAACGTAACTGACAACGTTTTCGGGATTTCGGACGATCACGTCATCGCGAACAGCTAAACGTAACCATCTCCGACTGTTGCGGTTGTGTTCTTCAAAACAAACGAAACATGCGAAATTTGCCTGGCTACATAACTATCAGGATTCAGAACCGTCACATGTTTGGTGTAAGGATTTTTCCCTTATCCTTACCGGGGTTGACTGCTACGCGTACAACCCCGATTTTCGGACTTGCACGTTCGGCGGACATCAACGATGCCGAGGCTCCTCCGCGTCGCCTTCGGCTTTCCGTCGCCAAACCTGCACCCAACCTCGTTTCCCGAGGTTCCCTCCTAGCTAGGGTATTCACTATATAGTCGCGTGCCTTCATTGTAATTGACAGTTCATTAAGTCACAGCTTCGTTATTCGTTATTCCGCGCACTCTCCATTACAACTCATAACACCTGGTATCAGATCTACTTTCCTAATTCACCCCGCTTTTCGAGGGTAGTTTGGTGGCACGGGTTGGCTTGGTAAAGAGGGCTGCAAAACGGTTGGCTGCAAGGTTAGTTAACTCTAACCTGCCCGACTCCGATAGTTTTTGCTTTCCTCTTGCCTGCAAGGCCACGGATACCCCTCTGCCCACCAGACGAAGCGTGCGACTCATGGACCAGGAAGCGTTGAACAAGATGATGGCGCAAATGCAGGAGCTACAGGCAACAGTGCCGAATCTTTAGGCAGAAGTGACAACACTACGTGTGGAAAACACCGAGCTACGCCTGGCGCGAGGTGAAACGCGCCAGGAGCCGCCCGATGAAGAAGGTGAATGCAACAGTCAAGCGATGAGCAATCCTTTCGACGCGCTCACACGTGGCTTCGAAGAAGAAGACAGGCAGCGAGCGGCAACGACGCCAGTAGCAGTTACGACGATCAAGATTAAACCTGCGAACCCGCCCCAGTTCAATCCCACGGACAAGACGACTACAGTGAAGGGGTGGCTGTTCAGCGTTGAAGTCTTCTTCACTGCAGCAAACGTCTACGACGATGCCACGCGTATTAATTACGCGGTTTCTCTACTTCGAGGCGCAGCGCTTGAATGGTGGCGCCACACCTTGGACACAGGGACTCCGACAGGTGTGACACATGCGGCAGACGGGACCTTGACATCGGCTAAACAAGGGGCAACCTCAATCTTCGGAGTGACCAAGATACGCACGTGGAAAGATTGGGGCGCAGCCTTACAGGATCGCTTCGAGCACGTATCCGCTTCGGAGCAAGCTCGCATGAAGCTGCGTAACTGGTATCTGTTCAAGACTACACGGCATCGTTTATGGCCTTTGCTGACCAAGTGGACGACATGGCGGAAGCAGAGCGGCTAGATAAATACATCGGCGGCCTGAAATATGAGATACAGTACGAGGTGCGCCGATGCCGCCCGACTTCGTTTCTGGAAGCCATACGGTTAGCTGAGTCTACAGACGCGTTGATGCAGTATGCGAGGGCAGGTTCCCGGGAGGGAATCCATTTTCGTGGACAGACCCAACGGGCCACAATCAACGGAGTCCACGCACCGGACCGCCCCTTTACAGAGACGTGTTTTAAGTGTGGGAAGACGGGTCACTACGCAAGAGAATGCCCCGTGAAAACACCGGCGAAGGGGAACGACAGGAGGGAGCAGGGAAATGGGAAGAATCAGTAATTTACGGGCCCCTTACTGACTATGCTTCGTCGCCCGAACACCAACATCCCCACCGAGTAGTGGTTCCGATTCATGCAATCGATCGCACTCGGCCGAATAACGGGGATAATCATGTGGATCACCCTGTGCTGGTCGTTGGCACAGTGTTAAAAATTACTCTGAAAATGTTCGTCGACGGAGGGGCCAGCCATAGCCTCTTCAACTTGGCGACAGCAAAAAAATGTAAGCTGCAACTTGACAGGTGTCTGCCCGAAATTGACGCTCGCCTCGTGGATGGGACTGTCAGAATCTAGCACTGTCAGCCTCACAACTGGAGCCGAGAACTGAAGACGAGCGTGTAGAACGCCAAGAAACCGAACCAGAGCCAAGGCTGAAGGTGTAACCCTGTGACGACCACTGCGTAGCCTGGTCGTCAACCCAAGAAGCGTCTGAGTGCCCAGTGAGGACAACGTCGCTCCGTCCTCCAAGCACGAGCCCCATGCCCGATGTACTGCACAAGTAGCGTAGTACCCTCTTAGCAGCATCCATGTGCACCTTTCGGTGCCGACCAAGAGCCACGTAGCGAGCCAGAAGGCCAAGAGGGTACGCAAGGTCAGGACGAGTGTAGGTCATCAGGTACATGAGGCAGCCCACTAGCTCTGGGTAAGGACCACTCGGCTCTACGGACTCGTCCGAAGGTGGAGCTGAGAGCGAGTGACCTGTAGCCAGAGGAGTGGCCTGTTCCGAGGACCAGGTGAAGCCGAAGCGCTGAAGGACCTGCTGCACCATGTGTGACTGAGTCAGTGTGATGGTGCGGCGTGCTCTGTCCCGGGTGATCCGCAAGCCAAGATAGCTTGTCAGCTCACCCAGGTCTGTGCACGTGTGTCTCTTCTGCAGCTCCGACTTCACCAGGGCGAGAGCCTCAGTGTCAGCAGTGGCAAAGACCAAGTCGTCGACGTACACGAGGATGTAGAACGGCGGCAGCGAAGTGTCGGTGCGCGGAAACAGCGACGGGTCAGCAGTCGACGGAGCAAACCCAAGAGCCGCAAGTGTCGTCCTCAGTGTGTCGTGCCACTCACGTGGCGCCTGGCGAAGACCGTAGACCGACCGCCTGAGGCTCCACTGGGTACCAGGAGGGAACGACCCAGTGAAGCCAGGTGGGCGGCGCAGCCAGATCTCCTCGTGCAGGCTGCCCTGTAAGAAGGCTGTGCTGAAGTTAAGAGAGTGAAGCTCATAGTCACGCTGAGCGGCAACGTGCAACAGCACCCGAAGAGTGGTCATCTTCGGGGTGGGGGAGAAGGTCTGGAAAAAGTCTACTCCCTCTCGCTGACTGAAACCTCGTGCAACGTAACGCGCCTTGAAGGCAGGCGGAGAACCCGGCGGCCGCTTCACCCTGAAAATCCACATGCCACTGACGATGTTCGCCCCAGGTGGGGGAACCTCGTCGACGTAGGTGCCTGTGGACTTCCAGGATGCCATCTCTGCGTCCATGGCTGTCTGCCACTGAGAGGAGTACTCACCCAGCGATCGCCTCAGCGTAAGAGCGCGGGGTCGGGATGTCTGGAGCATCCGGGTCTCCCTCAGGGGCAAGCAGCATGGACACGAGATGAGGCGCAGCGGCTGCAAGACACTCAAGGTCCTCCTGCGTGTCCACAAGGACGTCCGTGCCAAGAGCACACTCACCCCCGACGGACGGAGGACAGACAGACTCAGACTCAGCAACAAGACTAGCGGCGTAGTCTAGACGATAGGCAGCAGCAAAGTCAACAAGCTCAGCAACTAAGGCAGACGTAGCAGCAGACTCAAACGAG